AGATCGGGGTAAGTGCAGATGCAGATGCAGTGATACCGCAACACCCCGAGATCCCGGTTCTTGAAGAGGGAAGAAAAAAGAAGATGGCGGGAACGAGAAATGCCAGAAGGGTGTGTGTGTGTGTGTGTGTGTGTGTAGAAAACCCGAGAACCAAGGGGAAAAGGTGAAAAGAGAGGAGGAAAAGAAACTCACCTAGCATCCAAATCATACGCTTCCCACTTCGCAGCCTTCTCCAACCATCTTGAGCAATTTTCCAATTGCTGTCTACCACCTCTCTCACCACCCGCGTCTATCCATTCGATAACGGACATTTCGTAATGCGCAACGGGGAGTGACCAATTATCTTTACTCCCACCTTTGAATTCACTCCATTCGTGGTTCAAGACTTGGGTTTCCAAGATCTGACGGGCTGTTGCAGTGTCGCCGAGCCAGCGGGTTACTGTAGCACGGAGTAAGGATAAAGTGGCCAGTTCGTCGATTGCGTTATCGTGACAGCCGTTTTGCTCGCTCCAGGCCAAGCGCTCTAGACTGTGTGTGAGGTGTTCCTTGCGCATTCTCTTGAAGCCGGCCCAGAAGTAGATTATCTCCTCCACTGGTGCGATACCTACAGCGTCGACGAAAGCAATGCCACGGGTCTTGGAGCGTTCTTCCCACTTTGTAATCTTGCGGGTTACAAATGTGTCAAAGGGGAGTTGACGGGCCATGAACTTCTTCTTGCCTGCGTGAACAGGCACTTTACGTAGAAGTTCTGTCGCCCGATCTGCGTACTTTTTGGCTCTGCCTGCGTCTACTGACTTGGCTTCGCGGTATAGTTCGACGTAACATGCACCGGCAATGTAGTAGTATAGGCCATGAGACCAATTATTGAGCTCGACGCACTGTCGAACATGTCAGCTAGTCTCACAATCCAGGACGCCATCAGATACGAACCTTCAAGAATGAAGTAGCACACTCTTCATATCTATGCAGATACATCAAGTTAAGACTCTTCTCAAACCACTGTAACGCCTCGACCTGTTTCAGAGGACTCTTCTCATCAGTACCGCACATGATTACAGCATCATCGAGCTGTTTGTCTGCTGCCAACATTCTTGCTTCCTCGAGTCTCCAGAGGCGTGATTGAGGATAACGCTTGCGCATCTGAACCAGCAGAGTAGTCAAACGTTCCTTGGGGTAGGCATCGGAAGTGATAATGTCGCAGAAGCCCACAGTAAGGTTGTAATATCCCAAGGTAATCAAGCCCGCCATGGCACCATTGACATTAGAGTACTGAGTAGCGCGCCATAGCATCTGAATGCCGAGCTCACGATCGCCTTGGAAACCAATGATGTATAGTAGCTTCGAAAAGGCTGGTGGGATCAAGGAGAGCATCAACTGTAGAAGACCGAAACAGAGATTGGAGCCAGAATGAATGAACAGGTCGACGGGGTGGTTGCTAAAGTCACTGAAGTCATCCTCCTCGACAACAGGTACCGCAAGAGTTTGTGCAGATGACGAAGCAGGACGTATAGACAGAGTCCCAAGTTTGGACTCCAGCTCTTTGGACTCTAGATGACCCTGGTAGGTAGTCGGAGTGGCCGGACCAGCAAGGTCTTCATCGGCATCCACGAAATCATCATCGTCGTCCTCGTCTGCAGCAACAAGTGTTTGGCCAGACGTTGAAGGAGCCTCTGAGACGAAAGACGGAGCCGAGTTGACGGTCGACTTTGTGCTTGTACTACCGACCGAAGTCGAGCTTCTCCCTTTCAGATACCTCTTCTCAGCATCAGAAATCTCTTGCAAAGCGACGTAGGCTTTCCTCAGCTTGTAGAAACCCTTGATACTTTCCGAGAGACTCTCGTTCAGCACAGCGACAACAGCGGACATTAGTTGTGATTCGGCGAGACACAAGGCGTACTCGCTGCCCGGTGGATAGATTTGAGATTGGTAGGCGTCCTTGTCGGCACGGCGTTTGTGGTCGTAGGCGGCGGATTCGGCTTGTCCCAGGCGTTCAGAGGCTTCTCGCATAATGTCCTGCTCGAAGCCGAGGGTTGCTCGCAGGAAGGCGGCAACACCTAGACCCAACTACTTCAGACATGCAGTAAGTTGTCTGTTGAATGAGCGTGAGAGAGGCAAGTCATGGGCATACCTTGTGGAAGGGCGAGTTGCCCTTGCTCAACTCTGCTTCTGCCGTTTCGACATCTGGACATGTTAGAGTTGACGGACTTGTATGGCATGCATATATTGTAGAGTAGTACAGTACCGTCGTTGAGAATGTGTGACACGGCAGCCATGGCATTTTCGACTGGGCATGCGGATCAGCCCACGTGCCATGTTGGTTATGGTTCTTAGTACATACGTGCCTGAGGCTCTTCAAGAGCGCTCAGTGAATGTGTCGAGCTCGAGGCACTGTGCTTTGCTGCTCCTAGCCATCTCTTCATTGTATTTCTGTTATGTTGATCACGTGGGTTGGTGTGAAGTGTTAGGACAAGTCAAATCAAGCATGCAGGAGAAAGTCGAAACAAAACATCGACTGCTCATAGCACCCGGGACATGATGGAAGATTGCGGGCATGCACTGCCCATGCCGCACACGGTCAGTGAGATCATAGGTCGTATTCGTACCCAAGGCGGTTTGCGGAGAAGGGCTGGAGAGCTTCGGACTTCCAGTGTTTGCTCAGTTTGGCTGCATGATGGCAACAGCCCGCATGAGAGCACCGCCAACACCACCATCGCCGTCACCAACACTCACCCTCCGTCAATATAACCACAACCTCATCAGACCGATCGCACAAACATCACTCCAACCCTCTACCAGATACACACGCACATACAAATCGCGATCATGTCAGGTGCAGCACAGGCAGATGCCACCACCACAAAGGCCGTCGTGTCAGACCGCAAAGACGACTCGCAACCGCTAGCTCCCCAGAAGCAAGCCGCTCAACTCGAGGAAGACGATGAATTCGAGGACTTCCCCGTAGAAGGTGCGCCACCTTTCCACAAACCCACAATTAGTCCACACGAGAGACAGAACCTCTGAGCTAACGCTCTTATCAAAAACAGACTGGCCCGCAGAAGATGAGCTCGGTTCTTCCGGCGCTGGAGCTGGAACCACTCACTTGTGGGAAGAGAGCTGGGATGATGATGATACAAGTGACGAGTTCTCCGTTCAGCTTCAGTATGTCTTTGCTCTCTGATCATCTCATCTTGACCGATCGCCTTAACTAACAAATGTCTCCAGGAACGAGCTCAAGAAGATGGAGAAGCGTTGAATCATTCTCGCCTTTGCGAATATATCAAATCGCCTCTGTTATGCCACACATCACTTCAATCAGTGACCCGGCCCAAGGACGCGATACGGAAATGGCATGGCACGGCGTCTCGGAGTACTGAATACACAATCATGAGGGAAGAAGAGGCAGCATACACGATCAATGCAGACCGGTAGAAAGTCACTGGCCACAAGGAGAGAAGGAGAGAGGATATGCTAAAAACATAACATAATGCATTTCGGACATTTCTTTTTAAAGACTCGCTCTGCTTGCCTTGCCCGTGGTATAAATCAGATTCCGGATATCTCCCATTTGCGACTTGAAAAAACACTCATGTAAAAATTTACTTACTCGAAAGAGCAGTAACACCGGGGAGCTCCTTGCCCTCGAGGAGCTCGAGAGAGGCACCACCACCGGTCGAGACGTGGCTGAGCTTGTCCTCGACACCGTACTTGGCGGCAACGGTGGCAGTGTCACCACCACCGATGATGACGACCTTGCCGGCCTGAGCAGCGGCAACGGCGTTGTCGAGGGTGGCCTTGGTGCCGTGTGCGAACTTTTCGAACTCGAACACACCGGCGGGACCGTTCCAGAGGATGGTCTTGGCCTCGTCGATGGCCTCCTTGAAGAGCTTGATCGACTCCTCGCCGCAGTCAAGTCCCTGCCAGCCGTCAGGGATACCCTCCTTGTCGGTCGCCTTGCCAGTGTTGGCGTCCTTGGAGAAGGCGTCGGCGGTGATGAAGTCGGTGGGGAGGACAATCTTGACGTTGTTCTTCTTGGCCTTCTCAACAAGGTCCTTGACAGTCTTGCTGCCGGCCTCGTCGAAGAGGGAGTTGCCGATCTTCATGCCCTCGAGGGTCTTCTTGAAGGTGAAAGCCATACCACCGCAGACGATGAGGCTGTCGACCTTGCCGAGGAGGTTGTCGATGAGCTGGATCTTGTCCGAGACCTTGGCGCCACCGAGGATGGCAAGGAAGGGACGCTTGGGCTCCTCAAGAGCCTGAGCGAAGTAGTCGAGCTCCTTCTTGACGAGGAAACCAGAGGCCTTCTGGGGGAGGTCGACACCAACCATGGAGCTGTGAGCGCGGTGGGCGGTACCGAAAGCATCGTTGATGTAGACGTCACCGAGAGCGGTCAGGCCCTTGCGGAACTCCTCGACCTTGGCCTTGTCAGCCTTGACCTTCTTGCCCTCAGCATCCTTGCTGCTGCCCTCCTCCTCGGCGTGGAAACGCAGGTTCTCGAGGAGGATAATACCACCGTCGCTGGTGCCGTTGACAATCTTCTCGACCTCGGGACCGACACAGTCGTTGGTGAAGGTGACCTTCTTGCCGACGAGCTTCTCGAGCTCAGCAACAACGGGCTTCAGCGAGTACTTCTCGTTGACCTTGCCGTCAGGACGACCCAAGTGGGACATGAGGATGACGGCCTTGGCGCCATTGTCGACGGCGTACTTGATGGTGGGGATGGCACCAGCAATGCGCTGGTTGTTGGTGATGTTCTTCTCCGAGTCGAGGGGGACGTTGAAGTCGACCTGAAATTATCAGTATGCGAGGACATTGGTAGCTTCATGCTCTTTGAAGACATACACGGATCAAGACACGCTTGCCCTTGAGGTCGACATCGGAGATGGAAAGCTTGTTGGAGAGAGACATTGTGACTGTTCAATGGTTGTTAGACAAGTGTGGGCAAGAGGCAGAGGCACGGAGAGGCGTACAGGCTTATATACAACAGTGATGGATGGAGTGTTGTGGTGTGAGGGGCTTGAATCTTTCCCCAACAGCTTTCGGCGCGCGGGACGAGGGGCAGCTCTTCAAAATTCTGCGTCATGCCCGATGTGGTCCGAGAGCTGACCTGGCCATGCCCTCTTCGTGTTCTCGCCATCTATCCCAGCTAACACTACTGGGTACTGAATAGATTAATTGAATGTACTGAGAACCGTCTGAATCACCTGCTGCACTTCACATGGCATGACACATCATCTTTTAGGTGGACTCTCTCAAGAGCCGCTATATCATTCGGAACGCCTTGCTGATCAACTGTCCGATCGGCCCGTAAAGTCGCCAGAACGCCAGCCCAATTCGCTTCTTGATGCTCGTAAGTAATCAACACTCTCTTCCTGCCTGCTCTTCGTGTATAGCTTTCTAGGCCTCCTCTGCCGAGTTAGTCAGAGATAGGTAAGCGGTCCATGCAATACCGATAGTAGAAACAAATGGCTGTACGATAATTAGATATAATCTTCACCTTGGACTTTGTTACAACTCACAATCTGAAATTGGCGCGGCATCAATCTGAAGTTGATCAACTGCACAGCAGGCCAAACGAGGTAGTTGGCCTTGAGAGAAGGAATGTAGATGTCCTGGAACTTCTTCTGCACCTCCTTGCGACCACCACCCTCGGCCACAGTCATGAACGTGAAGAAGGCTCCGAGACCGACTGGTGCGAAGAGAAGCTGGTCGAAGGCGACTCTCTTGGCTGCTGCAGTTGTACCGGCTGTTGCAGTGAGAGGGAAGACACGGCTCAGGAAGCCGAACCACTTGTGTTGAATGGGCGCCATGATGAAACCGTATGCCATGAATCTTGTCAATCTGTCCAGCTTATCAGCACCTGTTTCGTTGTACCCGCTCTTGGTTCTTCGTACCTCTCAAAGTCGAACGGAGGAGGCAGGACCTTGGAGTCGGGGATGAGCTCCTCCTCGGGCCAGTGGATTCTGCGGTCGACATCGTGGATCTCGATGGCGAGTTGATCGGTCCTGGGGTCAGGACCACCGGGCTTGCGGACGGCGCGTTCTCTGACCGCTGTGAGGGATTGAGCGACAGTATCGGCTACACCACCAAGCACCTAAGCGATGTCAGAAATGTCTATCTAGACGTAATCTCGAACAAACTTACGGCGTTGGTGACCATGGTCGTGAGCACTGTGACTGGAATCAGCACCTGCCCGCTAGAGTATCTCCAATCGACCAATCGTACCTGGTCTCGCAGCATAATAGCTGTTGAATTTAGATACCAAGAAAGACACCATGATTAACTCGGTGATGAATACTAAGGTGTGTAGGAGTGGCTGTCGCGCGGGACACGAACAGGTCAGCGAAAGGCCATATGAGTGATGTCCAAGATGAATGAGACTCACATAGCGTCCGTAAATATATCTCGAGTTCAAATTCCACAGGACCTGCCTGCGAATACTTTTGAAAGAAGCCATAACTAACTGAAACGGAGGAAAATGTAGAATGACGCCCGCACTTCTCCTGGGGCTCTGACGTATCTCGAGAGCCGTCGATCGGGACCAAGGTCGGCTACGGTGGGGCTCGCGCGACTTGGGGCCTTCTTATCGTCAAAGAGCCTCTCAGCGGTTTGCGCCCGAATTGTAATGCTCAACGGATAGTGTCTGCTAGAGTAAAAAAAACTATGAGATGTTGTATGAAAATCGACAGGATTGTGTATGCCAGAGGAGGGGTCTAGGTCTGCGTCCAGCCGGCATCGTCAGTCGCCATCGATCAGCACCCTGCGTCGCGCCTCTCTTGGTGGCTGGCCGAGGCACCCGAGAGGAGGGATTGCCGCGAAACTTTTGACTCCGCTGGGCGATGGTCATTATGTCTCGAGATAGTTTCATCCATGATGCTGGTTTCGGGCACCTTGATTTCTTGGTTTCGACTACGTGTGGCCAGTGATCGCACTGCTGGACGCAGAGACGAGCCGTCAAATTCTTTAAAGCTAGGTTATCTGCTTGCGGCAGGAGTTCTAGCATTTATCGAGTTTCAGCACAAGTGTATACTTTCGTATTCGAGTCGCGCTTGCTGCGGTCTCTACTGATGAACCTGATGCCTACTGTAGCGAGTCTCATTATCAAGGTCGTCGTTCTCGAAGACTGTACTTGTTCATCGGATCACGGTATCCCTCCCGACGACAGTTTTATACCTTCGATTGACAACCACTGCCATCGTAAGCTCCTGTCTCCTCTCATTGAGGCCTGAGAAGCTTGACTATGATCTGTTTTAGTTCGCGGTCCGAGACAATTGGCGAGGTATTGGCTCGGGGCACGCTCGACCATCCCAGTCAAAGTCAAGAAGTGACAATAAGAAGAACTGACACCAACACAACGTAATACGGCTCAGGGTATCCGTGAATTAAACGTGGACATCTGACAGTTTCTTGGCATTGTACATAGCTACCAGTCCTGTGTCTTGTAAGATGGAGCAACAGGACTACTGCCGTACCATTGAGTAGACGCTGTAGACGATGCATCCATCTCATATGGCTGTGTGATGATTCGTAGTCTGTTGTCCGGCAACTCGACTCGATGTTCGGCTGGCAGTTCTACTCGACAACCCTCCGGCAGCTCCAACATCCTTCCATCAGGCAATTGCACTCGCAACAAGCCTGGCATCTCTACCAGAGTGTTGGCTGAAATTTCAGTGCGAGAAGATGTGGCCCCGTCCCCGGCGTGTGATATGGTGTCTGGTAATTCTGCTCTATGATAGCTCCTCAAGTTGGAACGCTGTAGCTCCATGTCTTCAGATCCGATTTTCGGCTCAACAGATTCCACCTTTAGTCCAGCAGGGTCGGCCTCGACGTCTTTGGACTCTGTTGACTTGCGCTGTTCTCGCACCATACGTCGATAAGCATGCACTTCCCAGATCTCGGCGCCGAAATGAATGGCGTGCAAACAAGCCAATCCCAGGTCAATACACCATGGTATCTGTAGAAGAGCATCTCCACCGCTGTTGATTCCGAGGTACCAGGAAGGATAATACTGCAAATTGAACACTAGATCCACAGCTATCAGGGTTTCAGTGACGAGGTCGGCGACAAGTAACCATGCAGGACTGATGACATAGTTCCTTCGTAGCAGAAATAAAAGTGTGAGGGCAATGGCACTGGTTGCGCAAGACAAAAGCCGCTATGTTTCACTGACAGTAAGCCAAACAAGTCCTTTGCAAGAAAATCGATACAAACAGAAAAGCAGAAATTTGGTCTTACAGATACGATTGAAAGAACAGTTCTTTCCTCGGCTGATCCATCATACCAATCATGATACACGACCCCGAAGATAGCGAACCCAACGATAGCGCCGACAATAGCGAGCCAGCGAAGACAAGACTTGACATACCAGTAACTAGTATATCCATTCAAGATGTACTGCCACCTCGCAGTCGCGGTCGTGTGAGAACGCGGTAGCATCACGCGCAAAGCCCAAAGGATCTGTTCGTATCGCGGCCAATCCGTACTTCGCTTTTGTTGGTCCAATGTTTCGCCGTTCGAATTGGGGATTGGAAACAGGAATAGCGCCACACGACGGTACGGGGAGGGAGAAAGGAACAGCTCTGATGCTAGGGCGACGACGAACTGCTGTCATGAGGAGCCATATTTAGATTTGTTCCTTCCTCCGGGTAAACTCTCTCCACAGCAGCGGCACGACGGCCCACTTGGGATCATCTAACGAGATAGATCGCCGTGATATTTCACCTCGCAAATACTACTACCATTCGAACGTGGCGGTCAGAGAACCGAGGTCGATCAGTCATATGTTCACTTGCTCAAGATTGCGGAATTCGAGATACTGGTTTGGAAGTTGTCGAAGTCGGTCAAGCACTCTCGCTGCCGGACAACTGACGAACTTCCAGCTCTCCACATCGATGTTTCTCTGGTACACTGACACCATACTCAAGTGGACTGTGGATCATTGTTCGTGTATACAAATGCTTCTTGGAAGCGGAAGTCATACTTGACTCGCACGTGCTTTCTCCATAAGGACAGCGACACCATCAATGCTAGGCATGATTGCATTCGCTGGAAGTCTCGATTCGACAGCAGTACAGACCGCAGACGTCGAAGCTCGGAAGAAAAAATTTGTGATCACTAGCACATCCAAAACACTCCATGAATACTGGATACGTAGCGACCTCTACCTTCTCAAGTGATCAAGATCTCTTGGGATTCCCAGTCGTATGCCATGTCTATGGATCGTTTGCATACAGACATCGAGCTGATTCTACAGAAGCATACCACAGGACCAGGATATGAATACTACACTACGATCTCTCGCGCTTTACCTCATCCTTGCTAAAGCAAACCCATGGTACCGCTATCCTGATACCAAAACCGTGCTTTTCGATACTTGCTGTCCGTCCAAAAGAATTTTCAACTACCAAACTTGCATCTTCATACAGTCTCCTCGGCAGACAGTATCGAATTCACTTGATTCGATGTCACATGCAAGGTATCTGTCCTTTGCACTGATGTTCTGCCCATCGTCCAATGCCTCGGTGTCTACTGATCATGTCTGTCAAGTGTGACGTGTTATAATCGCAGAGCGCGCACATGCAGCTGACTGCTTCGCTGGTGTTTTGATAGCATTCGCTTTGCAAGCATCGTCAGCATATACAGTCATTTTTTGAGAAGTTGACTGTGATTAACAAAAGAAAAGAAAAACTTTCATTTGAGAATCGATTCATGTCTAGAAGAGTAATTGCAGGAGTCCATCTAATCGAGCTCGCTCACGATTGCCACTATTCAGGTAGTGCCATGGCATAAGTCTGTTTAGCTTTAACATCTTGAAACGTAGACATACAATGGAGTGCGACTTCAACTTTTGGAAGAGCAGTTGATTTCATAGGTGAGACTCGATTTAGTATAGCAGACACACTACTAGGGTATAAGACAAAGCAACCTACATCAACAACCGTCTCCAAACCCCTTTCTCTAAAACCCACTAGCAAACTTCTTCTTCAGCTTCTCATACTTCTCAATACTACCCACACTCTTATGCACAACACTGATCGCATACTCAAAGTCAACAAGCGCAACCTTGTTATCCTTTCTCTTCAAGCAATGCTGACCAGCCTGCCTAAGCAAAGACTCCAAATCAGCACCAGAGTACCCATTACACTTTTCATTCCTCGCGATTTCCTCAATCCCAACCGGCCAAACACCTGCTCTGCCATCCTTGGCTCTGGATTGAATAAGGGCTTTGAGTATCTCCACGCGCTCTTCGGTGCCGGGGAGACCGACGTAGATTTTGGTTTCGAGACGGCCGGGCCGCATCATGGCTTCGTCGATTATGTCGGGACGGTTGGTTGCTGCGATTACGTAGATGCCTGCGCGGTGGGATAGGCCGTCGAGTTCGGTAAGGAGCGTGTTGACTACACGAGCAGAAGCTTCTGATAGCGAGTCGTCGCGACGGGGCACTAATGCGTCGAGTTCATCGAAGAAGATGACACAGGGAGCTGAGGATCGCGCGCGATTGAATAGCGTACGCACTGCGCGCTCTGATTCGCCAACGTACTAGAGCAATCGTCAGCCACAAGTTGCCAAAAACATGAGCACAAAAGAGCCCCAGTCGTCTCCTTGTCCATGTGTATTCAAGAATTGACCTGCAGTAATGCAGAGATATATTCAAGAGAAAGCGTCGACCATCGAGAGCCCTCAATTCATGGTATAATTGAGGGCTTTCCACGGATGATCTTCCTCCCATAGAATAACTCTGCATTGCGACAGGACGACTTTTTGATAGCGAGGCACTCAGGAGTGCTTCTGCGCTCTTTTGTTGTATTAAACTTACCTTGTTGAGTAGCTCGGGTCCCTTGACACTGATAAAGTTGGCCTTGGATTCGGCAGCAACTGCCTTAGCGAGCAAAGTTTTACCACAACCAGGGGGACCCCATAGCAAAACACCGGTAGGAGCTGAGATACCAACTGCAGCATACAAATCCGGTGATTTGATAGGCTCGACAATAGCCGTTTGAAGCTCTTCTCTGACGCTTGTAAGCGCGCCAATATCCTCCCAGGTAGTGTCCGGTATCGTTGCAAAGCCTTCGCGCTTGGATGATGGTGTGATGGTGGGTAGAACGGTGAGGAAAGCTTCCATGGGAATGATGGTCTTTTCGAAGCCTTCTGGCTCCTCCATTTCGGTGTTTCTCGCGCGAATGACGAGGCGGTCCCATAGCTCGTCGACGTTTGGCTCTTGGTTATCGTCTAGTTCCATACCGTCTGTAGATGCTTCTACCTGCTTGATCAAAGCGTCTTGGTAGCGATCCATGGCCCATGTGGCAGCCTTACCCACGAGATCCCTCAAGTCAGCACCGACGAAACCGGGAGTCATCTTTGCCAGTCTGGGGAAGTCGACGTCGTCAGAGATAGGAGTGTTTCTGGTTTGGGTGCGCAGAATCTTTTCTCTCATGGGCTCATTAGGTACGCCCATGTTGATCTCGGTGTCGAAGCGTCCGCCTCGTCTTAGAGCAGAGTCGATTGTGTCTGGCCTGTTAGTGGCAGCGAGCACGATGACAGGCTTGCCATTGTTCTCCTTGTTATCAAGAGCCAAGCTGTCCATACTGATCAACAGTTGAGCAACGATACGCTTTTCCATTTGACTCTGGGAACTCTCGCGCTTTGGAGCGATGACATCGATTTCGTCGATGAAGATGAGACACGGGGCATGTTTACGAGCTTCATCGAAGCGATCACGGATCTGCTTTTCAGACTCTCCGGACATGCCCGATACGACCGAGGGACCAGCAATCTCGATGAAGGGCACGCCGAGCTTTGCAGCACTTGCTCTTGCCAGCATAGATTTACCGCATCCAGGAGGACCGTGAAGAAGGATACCGCGGGGGAGAGGAACGTTCAGATCGGAGTAGCGCTGTGGGCGCAGAAGAGGTAGAGTCAAGAGGTTCATGAGCTGGCGCTTGACGTCGTTGACACCACCGAGGTCCTCGAGTGAGATGCCTGTTGGTGGAGAGCGGTCGATTTCCTCATTCTTGTCACGCTTGATACGCTTCTTGACGGGTTCGCCGTTTGCTTCCCTCCTCTTTGTTTCTGTTGCAGAGCCATTCACTGCGGCGGGCGTGTCAGGCGCAGTGACAGGAGTGGCAATCTTCCAGGAACCAGTGATGCTCTTGTTCATGATGTTTGGTTCCTCTTCTTGCATGACAAATCTATCGGCTTCGGCCTCTTCGTCGTCCTGAGCATCGTCTTCTAGGGTATCGAGGATGCGTTCGAGACTGTCTTCGAGGGCTCGTTTCGGTTTGCGCTTCAGACTAGAATTTGAGCGTTGTATGGCTTGATATAGACTGCGAACGTCGGGACGATTTCCAGGTTCCTGCAAGAGATGAGTGACAGCCTGGTAGACCTCATTATCGAGGCCTTGACGCAGGCGGGATGACGGCCTTCCAGGCATGGCGGATGGTTGTTGGGCGGTACGATTGTTTATGTCGCGCTGGGTGACGGACTTTTTTTCAGGGAGAGACTTGAATGTGGGGCAGGCCGAAGCACCCAAGTGTTTTCGGCCTCTCAGAGCGATCGCTGCCATCCAATCCAACACTGTGCATCACTACAGCTATTTTGCTCAAGACGCTTCAGCGCGAGACGTTTATTAGCTAACCGACCCGCTCTTCTCAATTGTTCATCAGGCAGCAGAAGCTCACCAAAAGTGGCTACCCAAATTATTCCCCTTCAAGAAAGAGCCTCACTGGCCGAAGCTTCTCCGGAGTGTCGAATGACATCAACATTCACATGCCAATCGTCGTTCGAGGGGCACGCGCTGACTTGCCCGCTATACCGTCTTGCATCCAAACACATCCATATTCCTCAACATGGGCAACTCATCGAGTACGCCCAAGATATCCGCCCAGGATAGGTTAGCCACCATGTCCCTACCCACGGCGACCATCCTTCTGACCCCCACCCAAGGGCCATTCTTGACATGAAGAACCAACGCGATAAGCTGCACCAGTACCAGAAGCGCATTACCATCATCACAAATCGTGAAAAAGAGATAGCCAAGGAGTGTTTACGAAACGGTGACAAGCGACGCGCCTTATTAGCCTTGAGGAAGAAGAAGTACCAAGAGTCATTACTCGCCAAAACAGATCAACAATTGGCTCAACTCGAGACCCTCACAAGCGACGTCGAGTTCGCTCTCGTACAGAAGGATGTCGTCTTTGGTCTGCAACAGGGTACAAACGTCTTGAAAGAGATTCACAAGGAGATGGGAGGGTTAGAACGCGTCGAGCTCATCTTGGGCGAGAACGAGGAGGCCCAAGCATACCAGAACGCAAGTCGCACCATGTCTGCCATCGTCGCACGTCCATACTGACCAACTCCTAGGAGATCAACGAGATGCTCGGAACAAGAATGACCAACCAGGAAGAGGATGAAGTCGAGGACGAGCTCGAGGCCCTGGCGGCAGAAGCGAACAAACAAAGATTGCCGAGCACTGCAGAAGCAGGAGTCATTGCACCCATGCCGAATGCGCCTACAGATGCGCCCAAGGAGTCATCAAAGGAGAGAGCCGCGAGACGAGCAAGAGAACGAGAGATGGACAATGGCTCAGAGCCTATACTTGCATAAGGCATACAACGTGAGCATGCATGATGCGACAACGATTCAACGGCGGTGTTGGTTTGTTTTAGATATGTTTAATACCCATTAGCATGCTTTTCCGTTTATCTCCATACTCCGGATTGTCTTACTGCACCTTGGTGTGTGATTGTTGACTTGAGCTGGCGATGACGCACGGGCGACAATAGCAATGACATGAATGGGCAGCTTCACTTTTCTAGAACTTCTCAAACTCGCAACCATGTAAACTCTTTCCACCTCCAAGAAAGAAAACACTTTCCGAATTACACCAACGCAATGTCGCACTGCCACGACGAACACGAAGGCCACGGCCACGCTCATGGTCACTCACACGGCGCCCACGATCACTCCGACGACATCACACCAGCCCTTCAAAACAGCCTCTACCAACAAATCGACTTTGACGCCATCAACACCCTCAACGAACTCAGCTCAGGCTCCGGCAGCAAAATCTGCAAAAAGACATGGGATGAGCGACTCAGCACCACACCCGAACTCTGCAGTGACGCAGACGAGCAACTGTTGATGCATATTCCGTACGCCTGCCTTTTCTTCCTCACCACCATACACTTTTTCCCCTCTCTCTATACGAGGAGACTAATTCGGGAGAGAATCTTATAGCTTTACTGCCCAAATACGCCTTCACTCCATAATCATCCGCACATCAACATCCCCCTCCGCCCCTCTAACCCTGCATCTCTTTCCCAACCGCGACGATCTAGACTTTTCCCTCGCCGCGGAAATCACACCCACCCAAACCCTCTCTCTATCCCAAACAAACCAAATCCAAGAAATCCCCATCAAGCGCGCTTTGTTCAACACAGTACGCTCATTGGATCTCTTTTTCGAGGATAATTGGAGCAGAGGAGAAGAGGATACGACGAGGATTACTTATTTGGGATTCAAGGGGGAGTGGATGGCGTTGAATAGGGAGCCGATTAATTTTGTCTACGAGGCTGCTGCTAATCCTAGTGATCATAAGATTGTGGAGGGGGTTAGGGGTGGGGTGGGGAGTCGATTGGGGGGTGCTGGAGGAGGTGGTGGTGGGAATGGCATGTGAAGAAAAGTCACGATCTTGTGTGTACGACAAGACGGAAGTATGATTCAGGATTATGAGGAAATGTGTAGTAATGTACAATTGAGCCATCACTCAAGCTTGTTACTTGCGTATCTGGTAGTATGCAGGTGCATACTCTGTCAGCCATCCCTTTTCTATCTTTGTGATGTCTCTGATAAACGTCTTGTCTCCTGTCTGCATGACTTCGTGGAAGATGACCCAGTCCGCCTTGCGATTCTACATAAGCTGTCAGCAATCTAGACTCGAAGCGTATACTTGAACTTGAAGTACTCACAAACATCAAAGAGCTGGGGTGTGCGTGTAATGTCATACTGCCATCCACAGTCTGGAATGTTCCATCCGCCTGCATTCTGGCCGCATGCACAAAATAACCAGCTGTCAGACATCGTCGAATCTGTTCAGCTTTGTCAGGTCCTCCGACAGTCAAGACCGATTTCGAGCTCAGCGACTCGTCCACATTAACGCCGAATCGCTCCATGTATCGTTTGAGTTGGTTTCTGACACTGACGGCTTTGGTCATGCTCTTGAAGTTGAGATGATGGTTGCGGCACCATGAAGCGTCTTTTTTGCCTTTGGTTACAAAAGCTTGATACACATTGAGTAATGTCAAGTGATCGCCCTCTGCGACAGCAAACTTCCATCTCGACGACTCCATGGCTTTCTTCTCGCCATCGTGTTGGAACCAGACTGCTCCTTGCAGAGTTGTCATGGCAGCAATCGACAGCACCTCACTGAGACATCCAAAATCTGGCGCTGAAAGCAGTACTTTTGCCATCATGGGTTCTACGGCCAGTTCTGCCATTCGAATGCCCAGAGGCTTTGTTAATCTTGCATAATCATCCAGAGCTCCCAGAGAATATAGTAACTCCAGTGCTCTGATGACTAGTTCCGAAGGCGGCGGCGTGAGATAGTCGAAGCGAACGATGTTGTCGATGCCGAGACATTTGAGCTGTAGTATGACAGGCGCGAGATTACTTCTCTGTATTTCAGGAACGGATGCATCTTCGAGTGAGTTGTACGCAGCTTCCGTGTACAGACGATAGCACTTTCCAGACTTGGTTCGGCCAGCTCGACCAGCTCTTTGCGTTGCTGCAGCTTTTGATACCGCGGTGGCCGTCAAAGTCTCAATTCCTGTACTTGGATTGAAGGCGCGCAATTTGACGAAGCCAGAGTCGATGACAAAGACAATGCCGGGAATAGTCACTGAAGCCTCTGCAATGTTTGTAGCCACGATGACTTTACGGGTCTCCACAGCCGCAGGCTCGAAGACATACATCTGTTGTTCCGTGGAGAGACCAGCATATAGTGGTAGTGGTTGAAGGGTTTGTGAACCTGGCTTCAACGATGGTAGACGATCAGCGATCAATGACATGCATGTATCAATCTCCTCACGTCCAGTAAGGAAGATCAATACGTCACCTTCGCCTTCTTGGGTGTGTATGTCAAAGACAGCCTGAACGGCGCGTTCAACGTAATCTTCAGCAGGTGTTGTCAGGTAATGTATGTCGACCGGGAACATCCTGCCTTCAAGGTTGACGATCCGACCTATATCCCGACCAGGTTCATCATTAGTATTCGTGGAGACCTCCGTTTCATTCTCGTCTCGAACGAAGAAGTCCAAGAAGTCCTCGGCCTGGAGAGTCGCGCTGCTGACAACTATCCTCAGATCGGGTCTTCGTTTCCTGATCTTTTTCAAGACTCCTAGTAGAATGTCTGAGCTGAGAGAGCGCTCATGAGCTTCATCTACCATAATGACTGAATAGCGTGATAGCAATGGGTCCACGAGCGCTTCTCTCAGTAGTAGGCCGTCTGTTAAGAATTTGATCTTTGTGGCTGCTGAGGTCACGTCCTCAAATCTGATCGAATAACCGACCTATATTGATTAGCTTCCTGCGCCTTGAGCTTTCCAGAAAGCACGCATACCTCCTGACCAAGATTGCATCGCATTTCTTCAGCGACTCTTGCAGCGACTGTAGTTGCAGCAACCCTACGGGGCTAGTATACCTGTGAGTTTGTGTCATGACGGATATATGTAAAGTAGATTTACTCACCCACCTGAGTGACTGCAATCATTTTGCCATCTCCACACCATCCTGCCTGGTGAAGGAACTGAGGGATCTGAGTTGTTTTGCCGCTGCCAGTCTGGCCAACGACTATGACAACAGGAAATGTTTCAATCAGGTAGAGGAGACTTTTACGATGGCGAGCAATCGGTAGTAGAGAGGAGGGCTTGTGAAGAGCGGGAATGAAGTCTTTCGACAAGTCAAAGTCGCCCATGTTTGAGTAGTAGTTTGTTAAACTGCCATGTCGTCGAATGACAATTATGGTGTTGAAGTAGGAGAGCAAATGACATAGTGGAGTAATTTTAGGGCAGCTCCGTAGGCGGCATTGAAACAGGGTCCAGCTGCCTACCCCTCGGCGCAGCAGCCCAAACATCGACTTGACAATCTTGACATCTAAAACAAAACACGCCACCATGTCTGACAATTCACATTCAGAGAAGCCCGTAAGAGCTGTCATATAGAGCCACCTGTATGCACGAGCTGACGCGACAGCCGACCAGAAAGCTGGCGCCGAATCGCCAACAACCGCACGCGAGCTCGACTTCGACGACGACCACGACCACGACGAGAGCAGAGCAATGAAGAGTCCTACTCCCAAGCAGGTCAGCTTCGTCGAGGTCGAAGACGAGGATGCCCCATCCAAGCCTACCCGCCCTTTGAGCCCACAGTCACAAAACGAGAAGACACTCAAGGAGGCCTTTCCCACAATCGACCCCAAGGTCATCAAGGCTGTCCTGATTGCCAGCAATGGCAACGTCGAGCCAGCCTTCAACGCTCTACTCGGTACGTCTCTCTGGAAGGAAAACTGTCAACGCCTTCTGATCCTTCGATAGCGATGTCAGACCCAGACTTCAAGCCCGAAGAAGCCCCCCCACCACAGCCTCCGAGACCTACCCAGGCTCAGCGACAGCTTGACTCAGACGAACAATACGCTCGTCAGCTTGCCCAACACTTCCAGTCTGAGTCGCGCCCTAGACGCACCATGAGAGACGAGGACGACCGTGGCCCCCCTCTTCCCAACCGCCCCAGACAGCAACGTCCTGGCCCCGGAGAGGACGACAGAGAATACAGCTTCTTCGATGGTACCGTTGCGACCCACCTTGGAAGTGACTACTCGACTTGTGGCTGACTTGATTGCAGACGACCTTCCTCAGATCAAGGAGAATGTGCGCAAGGGCTTCTTGGAGACGCAGACAAAGGTCAACAAATGGATCACTGCCTTTACAAAGAAGCTGGACGGAGAAGACAACGACGACCCGTACAATGGCCCCACCAGACAGGATAGTCCTCCTCGCAGGCAGAACTATCGCAGGCAGAACTACGGTCCCTCGCAATCCGAGCAGCTCTACGGTATCCGCAGATCGGCGGACGTGAGCAGAAAGAGTACCGACAAGGATCGTTATGACTCGGATAATCGCGTCTTGGACGACGATTTCACAGCACTCGAGCTTCGCGACGATGAAGGTTCGTTGGATTACAACAGACTAGGCTTGTATACGCTGACCTTGAATCCAGCTCCCCATCGAGCTTCGTCCTCGCGCAACCGTCCTCTCGCAAACCCTGACCTCTACAAGGCTAACGTCGCGCCTCCTCAATCCGGCCCGGTTGACGAAGTCGATGCCATTGACCGAAGGAACCAGCGTCAACCATCTCCCGGTGCTGCTTCCAAATCAGCCAAGTGGCAGCCTTTGACCTCGATTGCTCCCAACCCCGAGTCCGACGAGAACGATCCTTTCAGTTTGGGCGACAGCGATGATGAGAAGGAGACCAAGACCAAGGACATCAAGGAGTCCGACACTGCGCGACTGAAGGAGGCTGCTCGCGAGAGCGTGACTGCAGAGTCCGCAGATGCTCCCAAGACTCTCCAGGCCAGCGAGAGATCTGGAAGCTCAAATGTCAGAGATAAGGAAGCCGAAGCTATTCTGACCGGCAAGAAGGCTTGAGAAGTCTACATAACCTATACCCCTGCTACATTTTCTATCCTCCCATATAGCGAGCATGGTGAGAGTAATACATTCGTTTGCCAATTGAAGCCTGTCTGCACAATACAACCTGATGTTCGGAACGGCCAAGAGCTACGTCAGCCTCGACGCAAGAACCTTCCTCTTTGAGCATGTCCAGCCGATACTACGTGTGATAGCCGAACATCAATCACTTACCGTCAGAGCTGTGTCGAGGTCTTGTATATACTCTTGTGACTCCTCGACCATTGCCAGTGCATCCTTACCAATGATTTCTTTACTGTCAGTTTTATTGATTGCTTCCACCGCCGCAGGTCGGGACATCACGTTCCCATCTGTGGCAGGCTATCAGTCTCCTATGATGGCATTGGGCCATGAGAGTATAGACATCACTGGTGCCAAATTTGCAGGCTTGACCACGTTTGCAAATCTGCCTTATGTACACTGCTTGAATAAGGACGGATCTGAGAAATACGACATTGCCATCTTGGGTGCTCCATTCGACACTGGTGTTACCGGAAGACCGGGTGCCAGATTTGGACCCGGCGGAATCAGAGCAGGGTCTCGGCGAATCTCCCCAGAGGCTGGATGGAACATTTACAGCGGCAAGAATCTGTTCAAGGAGTGGGCCACTATCATAGATTGTGGAGATGCACCATTGACAGTGTTGGACAACACAGTAGCCTTGAAGCAGCTCGACACAGCTCACGGGATCATCTCAAACCGAGCTAGCAATTCCACCGAGTACACTGTACCGAGAATTGTGACGTTGGGGGGTGATCACACTACTACACTGTCTGCACTGAGATCCACCTTCAAGCATTGGGGACCTGTCAGCGTCATCCACTTTGACAGCCATATCGATACTTGGGATCCTGAAGTACTGGGAGGAGGCATCTCACACTATGCTGGCGTCAACCACGGAACCTTCTTACACATTGCCCACGAGGAAGGTCTCGTCAGAAACACCTCGATACATGCAGGAATCAGAGCTCCAGTCATGAACAAGAAGCACGATGTAAAGCATGATCGCCAATGCGGGTTTGAAATGGTCACAGCCAGGGATCTTGATAGGCTCACACCCCAAGGAGTCATTGAGAAGTTGAAGCGCCGTGTTGCCGGAACCAAGGTCTACATATCTATCGACATTGATGTTCTTGATCCTGCGTTCGCACCGGCAACAGGTACGGCAGAGGTGGGGGGATGGTCGACTCGAGAACTTCTTACCGTTCTCGATGGACTAACTGGCTTGGAGGTCATCGGTGGTGATGTTGTGGAAGTGGCACCTATCTATGACAATGCGGGAGAGCCGACTACTTTGGCAGCGGCAGAGGTTGTCATGTCCTTGCTGCAATTGATGGTAGACCAACCCGTCAAGGCAGAGTAGGTGACTAGAGAGATGATCTGATAGAGAAGATAAGTAGAAGGCGGTGTGTGGAGGCGGGATGGAAGTTCAGCACAGGCCCGCAGATCTGCCTCGGAAGAAAGTCTCAGTCCCCAAAAAGTTGGTCCCTGTTTGCTGCTGCTGCACTTTTTTTCTCTTAATTCAGGCAATTCCACACAACAACACATACACAATCATGACACCCCCACGCAAGAAGCAAAGAATGTCGCTGGACGCCGCAGAGGTCAAGGCCGCTGTCGAAAACGCCACAGAAGCTGCTGTCGAGAGCAATTCTGTCTCAAAGGACGCTACCAAGGAGAGCGAGGCCGAAGCTGCTGCACAACGCCGTTCGCTCTTTGTCCGCTCGCTGCCCGACTCTGCCACCTCCGAATCTTTGACTGAGATCTTCTCCGCTTCGTTCCCCATCAAGCACGCCGTTGCTGTTACCGACAAGGAATCGAAGAAGTGCAAGGGTTATGGTTTCGTCACCTTCGCCGACGCCGAGGACTGCCAAAAGGCAAAGGAAGAGTTCAACGGCTTCGCTGTCGACGGAAAGAAGTTGCGCTGCGAGGTCGCCGAGCCCAGGCACCGTGAGAAGGGCGCTGCCGCTGTCCCCTCAGCCGGTGAGAAGTTCAAGGATGCTCAGGCCAAGGAACGCGCTGCCGCCCAAGTCCCGAGACTTATTGTTCGCAACCTTCCCTGGAGCATCAAGTACCCCGATCAATTGGCCAAGCTCTTCCAGAGCTACGGAAAGGTCAAGCACACCGTCCTTCCCAAGGGCAAGACTGGTCTCCTCCGTGGTTTCGGTTTCGTCATCATGCGTGGTAGACCCAATGCTGAAAAGGCTATCGAGGGTGTGAACGGAAAGGAAATTGATGGTAGACAGTTGGCTGTTGACTGGGCCGTCGACAAGGAGACCTGGGACAACACTCCTCAAGAGGAGAGCAAAGAGAAGGATACAACCAGCGGAGACGCCGCTGAGGAAGATGCCGTAGATGGCGCCAACGAACACATCATGGACGAGGATGATGACGAGTCTGGTTCTGACGACGACGACGAAGACGTCGACATGGATGACATGGACGAAGAGGAGGATGTGAAGCCGAGAACAGAGGACAACTCTTCCACACTCTTCATTCGCAACCTGCCCTTCTCAGCAACAGACGAGAGTCTTGAGGACCACTTCACTCAATTTGGCGCTGTTCGCTACGCAAGAATCGTTGTCGACCAAGAGACCGAGCGTCCCAGAGGTACTGGTTTCGTTTGCTTCTACGAGCTGGAAGACTGCGACAATGTTCTCAAGAACGCCCCCAGACACCAGCCTCCTCGTTTGAACGACCCCAAGGCCAAGGACGGCTCTATTCAGATGACCCACTCCGTACTACAGAACGAGGACGCCGATCCCACTGGAAAGTTTACCCTAGATGGACGTGTCCTGCAGGTATCCCGTGCCGTCAACAAGAATGAAGCCAGCCGTCTTACCGAGGAGGGTGCCGCAAACCGCTTCAAGCGTGATACAGACAGAAGACGCCTATACCTGCTGTCTGAGGGTACCATTCCTTCCAACTCGCCGTTGTACGAGCAGCTTCCTCCCTCCGAGAGAACCATGAGAGAGGCCAGTGCTAAGCAGAGAAAGACTCTGATTGAAAGCAACCCTTCTTTGCATTTGAGTCTGACCCGTCTTTCCGTCCGTAACATCCCCAGATCCATCACATCGAAGGACCTCAAACAGCTCGCCAGAGAAGCTGTCGTCGGTTTCGCCACAGATGTCAAGGAGGGCAAGCGTGGAAAGCTCAACAGGGAGGAGCTCGGCAGAGGTGGTGAAGAAGACGTCAAGGCCGAGGCCGACCGTAAGAAGCGTGCCAAGGGTATCGTCAAGCAAGCAAAGATTGTCTTCGAGGGCCGCGAGGGCGCCAAAGTGGACGAGAAGAGTGGCGCCGGCCGCAGTCGTGGTTACGGTTTCATCGAGTACTACACACATCGTTCAGCTCTGATGGGTCTGCGTTGGTTGAACGGTCACGCCATCGGCTACCAAGCACAAGAACAAAAGGGCAAGGGCAAAATGTCGCAAGAGATGCTCGCCGAACGCAAGAAGCGCCTGATCGTCGAGTTCGCCATTGAAAACGCCCAGGTCGTCAAGCGCAGAAAGGAGATTGAGGAAAAGTCTCGCGAGCGTTCATTCGCGGCCACCGCACCCACTGCCGATGGCAAGAGAGTGCCCACGGGTCGTGACACCAAGTTTGGAGCGGGTGACCGCGGCAAAGGAGGCAAGTTCGACCGCAAGCGCAAGCGAGATGGCAAGGACGAGGCTCCTGTTGAGGAGGAGAAGAACAAGAAGGATCCCGCGGATGAGAAGTTGGCGAAGCGTCAGCAAATCATTCAGAAGAAGCGTATGGCTCGTCGTGCCCGCAAGCAGGGCGGTGCCTAAATGGATGTCGACGTTCATACCCGTCGACACGGCATGATCATTTGTGCTACTCGTGGGTCTTTTTTTTTCACCAGAAGTCGTCAGTCTTGTTCTCGAGCGGAGTCGCGCTGAGCGCCCGGTCGAAGGATCAATTTTGTCACACGCAGTGTTTGGGTGATTGTTGATGATAGGAGGGTGTGGCAGTGGGACAAGGAGTGCATTGGCGTTTATTGAGTATGCTGACCGGCTAGCATTTCGTACAATTCTCATTCTCATACTGTAATCAAAAGCGAGCATTATTCAATCCAACCACAATCTCCAGACAGTTGTCCTGTGTCATGGTAGTCATCAATCTTCGTGAATTCCACAGGAGATCGTCAAAGCTATCGCACGAGCAGCTATCCATATGTCTCACAGCACAACTTCAACAGCATGCAAGTAACCAGATTGTTGAGCACACGTCCGGCAAGCTCTAGATCTTTGCTCTTCCATACCAGGTTCACAGGCACGGATGATGTGCAAAAACCAGAACCTGGTTTTCATCCATTTGTTTTTGTTGATGTTGATGCGGAGGGGTCCCAGCTCTGTGTCTCTGTACCACCTCCGGGTCATCACTGCCGTCGGTAGTCACCCATCGTCACGGGTCTTTTTGTACTCTTCTCGAAGCCTGGATCATCTTGGTAGAGTGAATTGATAGAAGCGTAGATGTGACTTTTTCCCAATGAGGTAGTGTATACAGCATAACGGGGAAGTCAGGAAATCCGTTCTGCACTCAAAAGCTCCACAAATTTGAGCAAACATCCGGACCTTGTTTCTTGTGCACTCCGAGGAAGGGACAGATCTTTGTTATCAAAGGAAACAAAGAATCTGGATAGGTACTTGTAACTTGTACTTGTAGCTTGTACTTGTAACTTGTCACTCTATCCGGGAACTGTTTTTTTGATCCTTTTTGCTTGATCCTGTTCATTCCTGTCATAGGCCGACGACCCTGCATATACATGTCGATAGCCTTTTTTTTGCAACTCCCGCCTGTCAAAGGAAGCCATTGAGATATTTGTATTTCCAACCTTGTTTTCCCCATCTCTGCTTTCTTGCTGCAAGTCATATCTGCATGACCACTTTGGTTTTCTTGTGTTCCTGGTTTGCTCGTTTCCTCATTCGTCATTTTATGCAATGACAGGTCTCGGACATGCTTTTGCGTCATGGAAAGAGTTACAGATCCTAGAGCAAGAAGAAGCGTGTGGTTGAGTAAACATTTGCAGAGCCTTATGTTGATTGGAGGAGATGTAGGATAGGTTGGAGATATATAGATAGTTGGAATGTCCCTCGTTGACGTTAATCAAGTCAGTACCTTTTCATTCAACTACGACATCGGATTCATTTGTCAACTCATACTCCTCATATTCGACTGTTACATCCATTCTACACTCGTCAATCTCACAACATCACCTCCCGATATCCACAACAAAATCCCGCAAGTCCACAGCATTTGCAACTCCTTCTTGCCGCGTGCCACCACTTTTCCCCTATATCCCGTAAGCCTCCCTTCTCCGTAACCTTCATCTACTTCCCATCTCCATGACCTCCTCCTCCTCCCCCTCCCATCTACCTCCCATCTCCAAAAAAAAAAAAAACTCCTTCCTCCCTTTCTCCCTCCCTCCCTTCTTCCACCACACTAACCCCTCCCTTCTCAGAAAAACCCCCCCAAAAAAAGCAAAAAAAAAAACAAAAATGTGCCAATACGAAAACATCCACTACGGCTGCGGCCACGCAAACCGCCGTCTAATCAAACACTGCCATTTCGCCCGCAACGACCCAAACCATCAATGTTTCGGCGCTTGGTCTGTCAAGAGGGAATGGTCGAATCCTACAGAATATTGTCGTAATTGCGCTTATTATGCTAGACAGAGGGGGTTTGGTCATGGGCGTTGATTTTAGAATGGGGGGAGAGAGGTTTGGGTATCTCTCTTTTTGTTTTTGTTGGAGAGAAGAGGCATGTCCCCGCGGACAGGTTCTGTGGGTTTTTTTGTTTGGGGGGGGGGGGGGGGGGGTGCACAAAGGGTGTTGGTGTGGGAATTGGGCTGGAGCTTGGTGTATTGAGGAGTTTTTTGGTTGGGTGCAAAGATAACGGGTGGTTTTTTTACTTGCGAGACAAAAGCGAAGAGTATTCTATTACTTGCGAGAGGAGATTGGATGAAGAGTATTCTTCCTCCAAACTTGATTTAACCAGTATATTCATTGAAATCATGGTGATGTGTTGTCTTTCGTGGGACAGCTTTCGAGAGTTTTGTTGCAAAGATTGAGGCGAATGTTACACCCGTGCCAGGAGCAGCGAATCAATTTCTTGCCGCATGTCCCATCCTCTTGCTGTCAGCGTCACGGTTAGCAGCAGGAAGATCCTTGCAACGTTACCTTTGAGGTTTAGAAACTTGAATCTGTGGCAGAAAGCTTGTAGTATTCTTTGCCAGCGCCATTCGCGAGATGATTCTTTTCTTTCTCTGATAAAGAGATTCCCCGAGCCTTGTGTTTCTTCTGCGTCTGTCAATAAAGAAAAGGAGAAATCGAGTACTCCATCAAAGTGGAAAAGTCACACAAAGTCGAATCACCTTGTCAATCTCCAACAAGTCTCTCGAGAAGGCTTATACACTCAGACGAAGAGCACGACAGTCGATCGATCCAAAGATGTGCACCTGGAACGCAGTCCACTACAGCTGTGGCCACGACTCGAAAAAGCTAGATCATGCTTGCAGATGGGCTGCCTATGCCGAATGCAAGATGGTTCGACGTATTGGAAAACATCTCCGGATGAGAAAGAGTTGTCCTAATTGCTCCGGAAGAGTGGCGGCTTGGTGTCGTCAGTGTTGAGAGGTATGTTCGAGATTGCTCTGACTGATGCGACTTGAATGTGCGCTGACTTTTGTTGCAAAGGATAGATGTGGCTCCCTGATCCGTGTCTGGATTTCTTGTCGAGGTTTGGATAGCTGCTTGGCATCATCATCAGCAGGTCTGACCAACCATCTTTTTTCTTCCTGTCTGGAATGTCTTGTGGAGAGCAGTTGTGGATATCATGATCGGAATTTCTTCATGTCGAGGTATTATTTCTCAGGAGTTATCAAAGCGTCATCTACAAGTTTGCACTATCAGTGGCAACCTTGCCCTTGATGTTGTAACGCTTGCTGAAGAAAGTGTACCAGTCATCGAGCACCTTTTTGTGTTCTGGTTTGAGGTCTTCCCATTCTGGTCGACATTCCTCTTTCTTGAGGGAAGATTGTGCGAGAGCTCTGGATGCATCTTTGCCAGCAAAGACTGTGGTTGGGGAAAATCAGTGGATATCTTGTTGGTTCGTTTTTCCGCGGAGAGAGGTTACCAGAGTATGAAGCTCCTGGTTCGTAGGCCTTGTTGCCAGTCACATCGAAAACAGTTCCCTTATCACATGTCAATGTTTGAGGGATCAGTGTAAGTGTGCAATAACTACCTTGATGGCAACATAAGTTGGATATCCCTCATGCGTTCCTCCGAATGAAATCAGTTGTTGTCTCGTGCGTGTCATGCTGTTAACCAACCGTCGCATTTAGATAGGTAATCCAAGCTGATGGGATCGTCCTTCGGCGGGTCGAGTTCGACTTTTTGTTTCGGCTCAAATTTTCCAGACATGATGAGATGTGAGATTGTGATTGAGACTGTTGAAGTTGTTTGTTCGAGGTGATCTCCAACTAGTCGTTATCTACTCGAGTGGATGCTCGAAGGATAAGGTATGGAGTGAAGTTCGGGGAGCGTGGCGGCTTGGCGTTGACCGAGGTTATTTCTCTGTGACAACACGCCTTCCAATCATTCTTTGTGCATCACTTTCACTGTTGTCGGCAAGCCACATATTATTGTATCATGCAGACGCAGGAGTAATCGATATTAAAGCGCTTTGATTGACCGTGCGTTTTCCCTATAGTAGCCGAGTAGAGTAGCGAAGAGGCACCGCACATTTGCGTTATCACATTGTACTCGTAATCGTCTTCACCTCCCCGTCTCTCATCTTGATACATCGATTTCAAGCCTTGAACCGCCATTATGCGCAATCACTTCCCGTCGGCGACCTATGCGGAGCTCGTTGACGATGACCACAACATGCTCGTCCAGGCGAAATATCCACAACAACAACAACGCGAATTTGTGGATTACTTGCAGCGTGAGACGCTGGCTCTCAAGCAGGCTGTCGCACATCATCTGTCGCTCCCATCAGAGGAGCTGTGTTCTGTTGAGCACTTGGAAGCGTGGACCGGCGGCTCCTTCAATGTCTTGATACCTGTTGTCGTCAACAACAGCTATCGTGTCGCGGTCCGGTGCCCCTGGCCTCATCACACGCAGTCGCTCACCTCTCCCAACATGGCTGATGAGAAGATCCGTGAAGAGGCTGCTGCATACGTGTGGATGTCTAAGTACTGTCCCAGCGTACCCATTCCTCAATTAATTGGCTTTGGTCTGTCAAATGTGCGCTCCTTCACGCCTGTGGTGCGATGCTCCTGGATACGACGGACATTCGAGTCCATTCGAGAAAGGCTCCATTGCGTCTTCTTTGACGTTCAGTACTGGCGACCGTTCGTGCTGTCGTCGAGCCCGGTCCACTTCAAGACCGGCTACCGCATCACAAGCTTCATAGAGCCTCGCCAAGGTAAAATGCTGATGGAGCGATGGCCATCTCACGACCCGGTCCACCGCCAGAACTTATTTCGCTCTCTTTCCAAAATCATCCTTGACGTTGCTCGAGTACCTCAAACTCGGATCGGCTCCTTTACGGTGTGTGACTCTGGTGAGGTGACGCTCAGCAATCGCCCGCTTACTGCACCTTTGGCTTTGTTCGAGGCTGAAGGCATTCCTAGCGACATCCGCTCCTAGCACCACATACAATTCTGTCGACACATACGTTGAAGACCCCCTTCATTGCCACGAAACAATAATGTAACATCAGTTAAATGCTGTCGAAGATGATGTTGACGCCGAAGGTCAACTAGCAACTGTCGTTGTATGGAGAGCTATTCGATCTCACTTCACTGATCCAAGTCTCCGAAGGGGCCCGTTTGCCATGCAGCTTACAGACCTCAATGAAGGTAACATCTTCGTGGACAATGATTATAACATTACTGCGGTTGTCGACTTCGAATGGACTTGTTCTCTGCCTCTTGAAATGTTACAACCTCCGTTCTGGGTCAGTGGACACATCCAGGACAGCTTTGTCGGAGCCACGGAAAAGATAGCGATCAACGAGAAGGTTTTCATGCCAGCATGCCACGAATTCTTCGACATTCTCAGCCAGGAACAAGCTTCCCGTCATCCTTTGCAAAAGCCTGCCTTTGACGTTGCAAATGTCGCGAGGGTGGCCTTCGAGAAGAAATCACACTGGTACTTTGCAGGTCTCAGATATCCTCGTGTTGCGTACAGCTTCTTGCTTGGTCACATACAACCACTTTTCGCGGCCTCGGCTGGTTTCCCTGGGCAAGTAGAGATTGCGCCTTATTACACGAAAAACGTCTCTCTATTCATCGATCAGAAAGTGAGGGAAAAGGCTGAGTACGACGAAGCGCTCCGCAGGATGGTCATGTAGAGTTGAGAAAGGGAGTCGCAGGGAGCTATGCTAATGATGGGGCCAAGTCTATGTTCATACATTCCATGAGATCGAGGCACTCGGACTAGCAATAATGAAGAGTTGCTAACTTGTCCATTCCAGGTATGGATCTCGATACATACCATCGCGTGTATGTTTAGTCCGTTCATCACGTCCGCACCGATCACTCCATCCTTTCTGCTTCGTTCGATACGCGTCGATGATGTCTTAACTGAAATAAGGGTGTATCATCGCCTTATTATGCGAGAGATGTATCGCAAATTGTTGACAAGAAGGTCAAAGACAAGGCTCAGTACGACGAGACGCTATGTCCGTTGTACATGATCAAGCCATGAGCTTAAAGCCGGTTTGCAAGGTTTTGAGTGGCAATATAAGGGGAACAAAGGTGGGTATCAAGCGCTGGTCGAGGCAGATATCCTCTGCGCTCTATAACATGTGTCTTTATCAAAAAACTATCCTTCAGCTAATATGCACAAGACTGGCCGCCTCGAGCCTCCCACAGACAATTGCCGCTCCGGCTCGCAGAGCTATAGATCCAGTTCGCTTGCCCCTAAAATCCGGAACTCGCGATCAATGGGTGAGCCGCAGAGTTTTCTGGTGGCTATGCTTGCTCGGTCATGCACTCTTCCTTATCCCAATCGAGGTGATCACTGGCGGAGAAGTCTCCCGGGGGGGGGGGGGGTATATTTCCGATATGCATTCCGGAAATGGATGCTTGTCATCACCTCTGGTCCAGATCCACACCAAGCGGAATGTAATGACTCCCAGAGTTCGGTCCATTCTCCTCCATCCGATGCTCATCAATGAGCTCCTGACTGAAGTAAGGGGGCCCCTGTCTTGCGAGATCGAACGTGCCAGGGTCAACACCCATACATCGATATTGAACCACATCAACGCAGACTTGCACACCTACTTCTTGACCGAGGGGTATCAAGATGTCAGAAAGGAGGTCAGGATCCCACTGGTCCCAGACAAGATATGGTACTTGATAGACGAGAAGCTTCAGATTCTTGAGCAAAGGCGTATAGAGATTCCATTGATTCAGATAATCCGATACGATGGAGATGATGGCTCCTGTACTGTGCATAGGCATAGTACCAGGTTCGTCTTCTTCTGGAAAATCGAACCCGTCGAGGTTGATCCAGAGAGTTGTTGGTGATTTGGGGAGCTTTGGTGTAAGCTTTGCCGGTTGTTCACGGCTTCCAACCAGTGCCTGGAGAGAAACATGCAAGGTGCGTAACTGTGGGTAGTCGTGGAAAGACATGTGGCCATGAATGTGGTCAAAACAATCGTTCCAAACTCCAGATCTCCAGGAACACTTTCCAATGTGAAAATGGAAGACTTCCAGAGTCAATTTGCTTGATGAGAGTGAGCTCGAGAGTACATTGAGATCTACAAGTGCTTCATCCGGTCTCTCGTTATCGTTCATAGGATCCATCGTGATGCAGAGATCGTATTGTAAGATACGGAGCATTGGGCATGCTTCAATCAGATGAGCCAAAGAATTCTCGTTCAAGAACGTAAAGGTAAGATTGAGGGATTCTATCTTGGTAGTTGGTGGCAGGCTGTCCTTGGCTGGCCATTCGAATTGCAGACCTTCCAGTAGTTTTGGGACGTTCAGCGCTAGATGTCGAACGCTCGGGAGATAGAAATAGAGCAGTGGATTGATTGTCTTAGAATGGATCGAAGGTGCTCTGCCGGGTGATATGTAGACTGCCTCATTGAAGGTATCGCTTGACATCGTGTCCAGGTCTACCAGACCCTGAATAACGGATATGTCGATGAATGAGAACAGACTCGTAAATTCGGCACTGATCTCGAATATTTTGAGCCTTCTCAGATAAACTAGTAAGAACGCTGCAAAAGCACTCGGAGATCCTCTGTCGAGTTCGTCTAGCCATCTGTGCTCCAGGGTTGTGTCTGCAAGGCCTTCACGCAGAATAGTCACCATTCGCTCGCGGTCATGATGCGTGAGTCCCGTTTGTTGTTCATCCATCCACACAGACTGAATAACGGTACCATCAAGGTGAGGTGATCGTACGCAGCTTGCGCGCGGTGCCGAAGACACCAATGTCCTCACGAGTAGATAGAGCGGAGGGTATGCCTCAGAGGTGCAAGACACCTTGACTAAGCACGGAGAGGGCCAGTTCACCTGTGGTCGATTGTCTCGTATGCAGAGGCTATCGTGTTCGTAAGGACAGGGGACGGGATGTATGTCGCCCACGGTGAGTCTGCGAAGTCTGAAGCCGCAAAGGTATCTGGTTCGACGCCACACAAGCCTTATGTCTCAATACACGATCAATTGAATAACCGCATACCATTCTCGACATACGAAGGAGAAGAGTGGTAGACAACTCCTCGGTACGTAGGATAGGATCTCGTAGAGGATCTCCTCGTGGTTTTCGACGTTTCCAAGGTTTGGCATCTTGACGAGGCGCTCGTCAAGATAATGAGATCAGTCGTGACAACTCTATCTAGGACCAAAAGTGCCCTCGTCTGCTGCGATCATTCCATATTCGAGTCAAAGTCTTCATGTTTGACACGTCAACCAGCTCTTGCTGGGTTTCACAAGTGGGCTGAATAGTGAAACACCTCGAGTCATGGTCATTCGTCAAAGTTGGAAATCTGCGATATCAATAACATGTATATGTAAATGCGCCATGTATTAACTAAACTCCTCCCTCATACATCTCAATCATGCTTGCCAGCCGTATATGGCCCATTGCCACGTCCCGATCGCTCCAACTCCAGCCGCCTTCTTAATTCAGGCGACTCCACATCCCCTGCACTAGAACTGTCTTTTTTCTTATCACTCATATGCGCGCTATCTCCTTCCTCTTCAGATGCCACACCCCTCTTTTTCCTCTCGAGAGCAACTTCAGGCATGACAGGCTTGCCTCCCAGACTGCAGAGCACGACATCAGAGTCTGCGGTCAGTGCATCCATGGTCTCCAGCTCTCTACGGGCAAACAAGTGCGGCATGATTGACCAGCGAAGAGGAATCAGCGAGATGATGATGACGGGGAAACCGATGGCGCCGATAGTCTGCGAGATGGCGACACTAAAGCCAACGCCGAGGATTTGGAAGAGGAGGAAGAGCATAATCTTCTTTCTTGAAATCTGAAGCAGTGGTTCCGAAGGGTCGATGAAGCGGCGTTCTTTGATGAGGAAGAGAACTTTTTGAGTCATACCGTTACCTTCGATGGAGCCCCAGCCGACGACAAAGAAGACACCGCAGAAGAGAGCGCGGGGAATGGTGTGAAGGACGACGAGGAGGGGGCCGGTCATGGTACCCACGATGGCGAGACCCATGAGAAAATGGCTGACGCGTTGCTCGACGACGCCTTCGGCTACGAACACCTTTTTTCTGCGCTCCATTGGGCGACCGTCCTCATCTTCAGTCTCGTGGCTGATGATGAGCTTGTCCTTGTATTCTGTCAAGGAGTCTGTGTGTACAGGTGCTTGCGGAACGAGACCATTGGGGAGAGGAATGCCGATGATACCAGCGATGAAGCATGTGGCGCCGAGAAGAGCAAAGTCCCAATGAAAACCTGCAGGCTTTTTGAGAGGGTATTGCCTGGCTTGAGCGCCGATACTGCTGACGTTCTGCATGTATGTCAGTACAAATTTCTCTCGTGGCTGCGTTCTGTGCTTACATGATCGTAGTAGAACAACAAAGTAACGAGGATGCCGATGGGCAAGGCGACGAAGACCCATTTGACAGGCAGGTTCCAGAAATGGATTAGCCAGCTGCGATCTACAGTAGGGTAGAAGGCTCTCGTATGATCTAAAGTGAGCACATTGGCCCTCTTAATGGTTCCAGGAATATGGACGAAGCCTGTCCAAAACAGTGTGGCAATCTGAAGCAGTCCCTGTTAGTCACCTGGATGATATATATATCGAGTGATTTACTTGCAGGATAGGCATAGTCGGAAAGTAGCTTGCGAGTCACTGGTGTGAAGACCACGGTATGGGGCAGCATTTCCAGAGCATATACAGTAGCCCAGTAACAAAGTGCTACAACGATACTCAAGAAGCCTGCCGCTTGTGAACTCTCATCGAATTGGGCGATGAGTTCTTGAACACCCTTGACTGGACGATTGTCAGCATTTCTTCGTTCATACTCGATATAGCGACTCACTCATATAAATGATTCCGACATACATGCCGAAAGCATTGCTCGAAAAATCGGTAATGAATCGCATATAATCGCAGAGATTGCCAAAAGATGTGATCCAATGCGTGATGGCAGCCCAAATGGACACCCATGCCAGGAACTCAGGGTACAGATTACCGATACCCTGCCTCACAGCGATGTCGTAGATCGTGTAATTGAATAGAGAAATGAGACCAGTGATACCGACAATGGTCAATGGTTGAGCAGCCAAAGTACTGAATACAATCGCGGCAAGGGCGGATGAAAACAAAGCCTCATTAACCCCGAAGAAGCCATCTGTGTGACGTTCCATGTCTAGTATGAATGCCAATGCGGGTAAGAGACTTGATATGCTGTGTCAGTGTGGTCTCTCCTCTCGCAATTGATGCTCGGTACATACTTTACAAAGTACATGCGAACTGTGGCGGCAAATGTTCTATAGGTAAAAGCATCTCTGATATCGCTCCAGTAATATGGTAGTCGTCTCTTGACATCGTAGTACATGCCACGGCCCGGTCTTAGCATTCGATATTGTCGCCATCCAGTCGCACCTTCCCAAGTGTAGGGATCCTGTGAAGCGTCCATGTCCGCTATGTTGTCCCGATCAATTCGGAAGGCAGCCGATAAATGCAAAGGCTATCAACGAGTATATCTCCTATATCCTTTTCGACAAGGCCTGGTAGATGTTGATGAAATCCCTTTTGCCGAGGTCGTGCGTATTATCTATCTCTTCAGAGAAGGAGTATTAAGGTTGATTCTGTTTTGTTTTGTTTTTCCTCTAATCCAGAAGAGGGGTGCCATAGAGCAGCAGCCAGATATTAAAAAAGGTCGAATGAGACGCAAGACAAGAAAAGAAATATAGCAGAACTGAAAAGGCGTGCAAAGCAGGCCTAAAGCATGGTCTGGGATTCAAAACGGAGAGAAAGCCATAAACGTTCGTATTTATCCTTCTGGTGATTATCCTTTTCCGCCTCGCTGAAGTGATGAAATGGGGCGCGCAGGCCGCACGTTGGCTTGTTTGGATCGTGTGGGGGCAGGCAGATCTGTACGGTTTGCCCGTGCTTGCCCAATTCTGACGCCTCGCGCGATTAGACTTCTACGAATGCCAAGTCGAAGATACAGTTGTACAAAACATAGATGCATATCTTTGGGAGAATCATCGAGTTGATCTCATCTTTCACGTAAAGTGTCGACGCGACAAGAAATAACTCTCGGATTGCTACTATCAAGCTCGTGCGAATCTGCTTGTCTTTCGAGCGCATAAGAGTATGACGAAATTCGTACAATGACCACGATCTTTACATGCCAAGACGTTAGAACACAAAAGCATGTCAGTTTCAGACGATGGACCCCGTCAGAGTTCCTCTGCTTTCATCGAACTACGCTGGCCGTCGGCTCGAGAAGACTGTTTTTCCCACATTCGATCAAGCAGACAATTTATTGCCCGTGCACGACAATTACAGTGACGATGAGGCTCGGAGACACGTTCTGATTTTTGCTGCCCGGGCAGAGGAAGCTGATCTTCTGCTCAGTCTCCAGACATTGAGGCTTGGTATGTATTTTCATATTCGGATATTCGTACATTCTTTCCTGAGATATTGATACAAAGCAATCTTTCTAGTCAGTAGACTTTTCGGATTGTAATGGTGTGGACTCTTTACGAGTCATCTGGTTAGCAGCAGCCTGGTAGCGGATATAGAAACCCGCGAATATACCAGCTGCAAGACCAGAGAGATGGCCAGGGTAGTCAGTCCTGGTGTTTTTGCCCCGCCAGGCTCTGAGAATCTCAAGTCCAGCAATCATACCGAGCACTGTCAGGCCGGTTACATCCGGGATCTCGTAGCCGAGCACTGTCACGTTATTGCTGGTGACACGGGATGTTAGTGGAATTCGATTGACTAAGGGGAGGGTGGAGCGTCGCTTACTTTGCTCTGACCAGGCAGGCCGCAGCCATGGTACCAATGACGGCAGTAGATGATCCGAAGCTGTAGTTCATCCAGCGCTTCGCAAGCACATTGAAAGCCAAGGAGCCGTATGTTCCCATAGTACCACAGGCAAGGTAAGTGGCTAGGAAAGTGCCTCTTCCTACATCATCATGCACTGTACGTCAAAGGTCAGCGTGAGGTTGTCATGGCGATGCTGCAGGTCAGCACTTACGTATCCAGCCGAATGGCCACAGCATGATCGTATTCATGAACAAATGACGGAAGCTTTGGTGGCTAAATTGTGCACCAAGAGTTCCAATGGCGAACGGATATGCTGCAGTGACCTGAAAAGTCTTGTTCATGGTTCTCCACAGAGGCGGGATTCTCCAGGCGACAAAGACAGCAAAGTTGATGGCCGTAATGGCTCCAAGTGTAGCAATGGCAGGCGGTACGTCAGGGAACATTCTAGCTGATCGAGGTGGAGGAGTGTACGTTTCGTTCAACATCCAGCAGCCACCTAGAACTGCGATGAGTACTAGAGCAGATGGACCCAGTCTGCGAAGGTTGGACAGATTAGGGATTTTGTTGTCCTTGATGATGGTCGCCTGCTCTTCGTAGTACTTGACCCAGGGTTTGCGCTCGACAGGTTCCAGCCATGCCTTTTGTGCGGGTTCCGCAAGAGCAATCTCATCGAACGGACTGAATATCTTGCCCGGCTCGTCCTTTGATTCAACAGTAGGACTTCCATCCTTTGCTTGGGCCTTGAGAGCTGCAACTCGTTCGTCCTCCTTTTGCTTCTTCTCCTCCTCCTTCTTTCGATCTTCCTCCATCCATCTTGCTTTGTTCGCCTTTCTCAGTCTATCCAAAGCGCTCTCCCCGTATATGTCAGAAGAGCTTGCCGTCGGTTGCGGTTCGTCCGTCTTCTCGCCATCCACAGGCTTATAGATACCAAGTCTCTCGGCGCGAGCCATATACTGTTGCTCCATTCGCATGATTTCCGACTCCGCCCAAGCAGCACCAGCCTCGTTCTCATCAAATGCTGGGTCCTGAGCTCTGATGTATTCCAAAGCCTTGGTAGCCATTTGATGGGTGATTTCCGTCTCCTTGGGGAAGTCGACACCAATGTCAATAAGACTACCAGAGAGTCTGCGATAGTGCATCAATCGCAGGATATGGTTGCCATCTTCAACGTGCATGTCTGGTCCGAATATGTCCGTGATTGTGGCTTGATCGAGTTCTCCAGATGGTAGAGGGATACCAATCTCCGGATCGTAGTCTCGCCATGTAGGAAGTTCTTTACGTTTGCGTGTGTTTCTCTGACCATCTTGTCGAGCAGCGGGACTGGGCTTCTGTACTGCAGGTGTTGGTTTTGGAACGAAGCGGTTCCTGGCCGACAGCTTCGCACACGCTGAAAAGTTGCGCAATCCAGTCGGCACAGCAAAGCGAGAGCGTAGAAGAGATTGCGAGAGGTTATGAGCTTCGGTATGGCCCAGGACAGATGCTAGAAGATATGGCGCAAAGGGAGATGGAGAAATCGAGCATGATGCCCGCATGACTACCGGGCGAGCATGGTTCATCTCGACCTATCCACACTCAGTAGACTTACTGAATGGTCAAGAACAAAGAGATGCAGAATTGACAAATTTCGAACTGGAAGAATAATGTCGTCGTCGACAAATGGACCATGATGATTTGCGGAGCTCGGCAGTGCTCGGACCATGCAAGGCGGCGTCATGGTTGTCTGCCTGTGATTGACAGCCACCATCTTGTGTACTTATACCACTTCCACTTCACACGTCTACACGTCCGACACTCGTCATGTCACATGAAGCACTACCCATCGACCGCGTCAGGTTCGCCGAAGCGCTAGAATCACTCCCTATCGATGCTCTACACTCCAAGGTCGCCGAGCTGCGCAACAACATGGATCATCTCAGATTCTCGAATGAACAAATGGTGCCTTTCGCCGATGAGGGCGATCAAGGTATGTTTGTGTCTACTCGATCTACCAGTCTCCCTCTAACATGCCTCAAGATTGCAAAGACGCCATGTACGAGAACCTCATCGTCATCAACCGCATGAACGAGCGCATCGAAATGATCCGAGCCGAAGTCGAAAAGAGAGGAATGAGATGGTCAGAGGCAGAAGTCGAGGATCGTCAGACCAGCGAAGCAATGGTCAACGGCTATACCACTACCAACACAAGTCAAACACAATCATCACAGGCTCAAAGTGGTCGCTTGACCGACGAACAATTGAGAGCACAGTTGGAGGCCAGGCTGGCTCAGGATACACAGCATGACCAGGAAGAAGAGGGTCTCCATCTCTGAAGCCTGCATACAAAGTCGCATTTTCTTTCTGTACGATACCCTCTATGCTTGTTGGATGCCCACAATTCCACCTGCTTTGTCCTTTGCATTCCTTTCTCTCTATGCTCAGACACCAAACTATTCAAAAGCTCCAAGATCCAGTGGCACCGTACTACCTCTACCTGCTCGGTACATTTTGGTGACTCCTGAAAACTCTCGCGGTTTTGGAAGCGTCGCATCTGCCTGAAATTTGAATCGTGTGTCTTCAATGTGGAGGCGTCCTGCACCACTTCCACCCCCAATTGTCCCTTGGTATGACTGGCTCGGTGATTTCAATGCACCTCCGTTGCTCAGTGTGTATGATGAAGCATCCATGGTCGATCGCGAGATGGAGCCTGCGTGAGGTCTAGAGGGAGCGAACGAAGGAGGTGGTGAGGGTGCTGCTTGTGGGGGACTAGGCGCTGCAACTGGCGGTCGAGGCGGTGAAGGTGCGGCTGCGGGGGGTGGCGGTGGTGCTGGCGCAGGTGACCTCGGAGGTGTCGTGTTGTACATGGCTGGAGGGGGAGGCGGTGGAGGAGGAGCGATAGCAGGCGAGGCTCGACCAAATGCATTGCGCGCAGCTGTTTCGGCTAGAGATGGGGCAGCACTCATTGGAGGTGGAGGCGCGCTCATAGAAGGCGGAGGTGGTGGCGGTCTGGGTGCTGAAGATGGCGGCAGAGGAGGAGCAGCCGGAGGAGCTGGTGAAGCAGAAGGAGGTGGGGGCGGGAGGTTGCCAGAGGGTTTGCGCGAAGAAGGCGGAGGCATAGGAGGCTTCTTGCCGATCGGAGGAGGTTTGGGCTTGGACGGAGCAGCGGGCGAGGAGCTGGTAGATTGTGGTGGAGGACGCACACTGTTTCTGAGAGCCGATACTGCTGGATTTGGGGGCGGTGCTAATGGAGGTGGAGGCGCTGAAGGAGGGAGCGGTGGAGCCGAACTCATTGGACGAGGAGGAGCGCCTGGGGGTGCGCCTGAAGGTCTAGGAGCAGCAGATACAGGTCGTGATGGAACATCTGAGCCTCCCATGTATGAAGAATCTCCGTCTGCGCCTGTCTTGACACCGCCAGACTTCCGCAACTTGGGCATGCCGCCAGCGAAGAGGCCTCCTAACTGCGGTGGTGCAGCTCCAACATCGCTCGACGCGCGGTCTCTGTTTGCGCCGGATGGAGGCGGAGGGGCAGAACCTCCTGGTGGTTTAAGCATGCCGGGTACTGGAGGAGCGCCCATGGCAGCAGGACCTGATGACTTCTTCTCGTTGCCTACGATGGGAGCAGAACGATCGTTGATTTGGGTGACCTTCTTCAGTTTGGCGCCCTTTGTGATGTCGCCTAGTAGTGCTCCCTAGAGACCGGTCAGTACTTGATGGGAGTGGTCTATTTCTCTGCACGTACTCTGCCCTGGGCAGCAGCAGCAGGTGGTCTGCTGGGCAGCCCTCCAGGAGGTGGTGGGGGNGGGGGTGGTGGGCCTGGTTGTGCAATCAGCGCAAGTAACCATGTTGATGATGCTTGGGTGTATCTTACCGCCAGACATGCCTGGGGGCATTGGCGGCGGAGGGGGAGGTGGTGGAGGTGGCGGCATAGTCGTGATTGTGCTCTTTCAAGACAGTCGGGGTGCAGCGGGCGCGTGACGGGAGGCAGCGGCTATGATTCGCGCCGGTAGGACCAATGAGCAAGTTCGGATGTGCAGAAGTTGCTCTGTCTACGAGGAGGAAGGATAGGAAGGCGACGGCAAGGCTGATGGCAGTAGTAGTGGTCGAATGGTGGTTGGTAGTAGGTGGAAATGTGTCGATGATGGCTGAGCAAGCAAGAGTACATGCCGGCTTCGTCACTCATCCCGGCTGCCCAGCCCGAACGCCTGCATATTTCTTATTTCCGTCGTCCTTGTGCATGGATAACTTATGACCACAACTTTCCCATCACCGGTTGTGCCGTCTAGCAGGAGATTGCTGCACTCATATCGATCTGATCATGATCTGACACCTTCGGCACACACATATCAACTGCAAGCCTGAGGTTAGTTGGACATCTTCGATGGAATTGATTGTTGAACCAAAACAATCAGGGCATTGTCCGTTCTCGAGAAATCCGCATTCTAAAGATTTGATTCTGCATCTCCTCGACATCTGAAGGTCTGACATGACCAAGAAAGCCTCAAGTACATTCAGGGTACCTACTAAGTGTTTCAGAATATCAAAACTTACAATTGGATCTCAGCAGCAGTCAATATCGAGAGTATGTGATGTGGGATTCTTGTCAGAAGCATGACCCTGGCCACGATGGAGACAGCTGATTAGATAAGATCTTTAGCATCTTCCACCAACTTTGAATGCTGCGACACGCATTGGCAGGTGAACATATCCAAACATGAAAGCTTTCGCACCGCCACGTACTGTGTCTGTATGCCAACTCTGTCGTCAGACAAGCACGCGACAAACGGCACCATGGCCCTCAACTGGTCGAGTCGCGCAACAATCGCGTCTCATCTCATCCACTCCCACACGCACTAGAGTTCAATCAAGAGATACGCCCACCACCCCTGCTTCATGTCGACAGTCGCGCAGATGGTTCGTATCTGATACCACGGCCTCTGCTCCTGCAAATATATCCGCCGTTGTCACCCAGCTATCACAAAAAGAACTTTCGGACTTCCACGCACGCATCGAAGAGCTTGCGAAACATGTCCTGGATCACCCAGCCGTGCCAGACGAGGCTATCGTTCTGAAAGCACTGGAAGAGTACCTGTCCATGGCTCGGAAACTCGTTGGTGCCAAAGATACAGCACAGAAACAGACAACAACACAAACCGAGAAGACGGCTACTTCTGCTCTACTGAGCAACCTCAATACTCCCTCCAACTCATCGATCACGAGGTCACGGATTATGGATGCTCTCACTACCAGAGCTTTCGACATGCTCATCTATCGTCCCGTCTTCATCACACCTGACATGCTCAAAACCTACGTCGAGCTACAGTGTCTGCTACAACGTCCAGAATCCTTCCCAGCAGTCTTCAAACTATATCGCGAGAAACCCGTACCCAGACCATCAAAAGACGGTGTCGTTGCCTACGACGAGACAAATCCAGATAAACCCAATGCAGCCGTAGCCCCCGCAGTAGCAGACATGGCCATCGATGCCGCAATCGACAGCCGTGATCTGTCTCTCGCTCTTGGAACTATTGACGCCACATACTGCACAAAAGCCTACAAACGCTCTAAATTCCTGCGAAGTGCTTTGTTTCCCCTGACTGGTTTCTTACTCACACCTCCCGCGGCTTACACACTTGCTACACGCTTTAGCGATTATCAGACTACCATGGATCCGGCAATGGCGACGAATATCGCCATGGCGGGTATTATGACGTATACAATGGCTGTGGGTACTGTGGGCTATGTTGCTCTGACTACGGCGAATGATCAAATGGTAAGAGTAACTTGGGCGCCGGGAGTACCATTGTGGGAGCGTTGGGTGCGTGAGGAGGAGCGCAGTGCTTTTGATAAGTTGTCTCAAGCTTGGGGATTCGCGAGTAAAGACAAGTGGGGCGAGGAAGAGGGTGAGGAGTGGGAGTACCTCAAGGAGTTCTGCGGTCTTCGTGGTATGATGCTTGATCGTGTCGAACTGATGGATGGTATGGAGTAGAGAGAGAGAGCCAATGCCTTGATCCGATAATTGTACAAAAGACCCAAATACTATAAACCCTTTCCCCCTTTATATTACAAGCCAAATTCTTCTACAATCGCGTCAACAAGCCTTGAATCTTTTGCTCCAAAGAACTCGAGCCTTCAACACCTCCACACACCACCTCTTCCTTGATACCTAACCTCCTACACTGCACCTCCACCTTTGCCTCACTCTTCCAAGCCCTCCCTAACACAACAATCAACGGATACCCCACCAAATCCGCATCGTTCAATTTCCAACCCATTGGCTTAACCCGATCATCCACCACCACATCCGCCACTACTCCCAACCTCTTTGCCAAAGTTTCCGCATCTTGCTCATTGCCCTTGCCAGGTACAACGACGACTTGAAAGGGCGCAATAGCAGCAGGCCAATTCAACCCCTTGGTATCTGAAAGAAGTGATGCGATGGCGCCTACGAGACGAGAAACACCGATACCATGACAGCCCATCTCGATTGTTTTACGCGTGTCGTTTGCATCGACGAAAGTGGCGGAGAGGGGTAGACTGTAGCGGGTTCCGAGGTGGAAGGTGTGACCTACTTCTATCGCTTTATCCACTGTAACTTTGCCCCCTTTGCATTTTTGACAAGGGTCTCCTGTAAGTGTGCGGGTGAGTTGCATGCTTTTCCCATTCTTCCTGGGTCGGAGTTGGAATTGTACGCTATTGAAGCGACTGGTTTCTGGGTTTAGAAGTTCGCGTGGTTGGAGTTGGTTTTGGATTTCTGCTCTTTCAGGGCTGGAGTCCAGACGTTCGTCGTTTATCTCGATGATTTGAGCAGAGGGGCGAGAACCATCTGATTGTTTTGGGTTTGCTTGATCCCAGAGTTCGAGGGGGTTTTCGACGGAGAGATCAATGTCGGGGGCGAGGGCTTTAATGACGTTGGGGTTTATTTCATTCTTGACATTGTCTCCAGAGGTTTGTGATGTGTGGGTGGGGAACCAGGCTAGGATGATGTTCTTGCGGTCCTTTGTGATTCCTATCCAGCGAGAAAGATGTTTCTTGTGGTCGATGGTGACTAGATCTGGTTGCTCGACAGAGGTGATGGCGAGTTCGTCGTTGATGGTGTAGCCGCATGAGTCGCAGCTGATGACATTGTCCTCTCCTTTAGCAGATACAAAGTGGTATTCATGACTCAATGTGCCACCGATATTCCCAGAGTCAGCTTCAGCAACCAGATAGGGTAGTCTTAGCTCATCGAGAAAAGCTCTATATGCCAGTCGAACTTCCTCGTATGTCTGTCTGGCTTGTTGTTCTGTGATGTCGAAAGTATAGAGGTCTTTCATGGTGAACTCACGACCACGTAGGAGACCTTGTCGCGGCCGAGCTTCGTCTCTAAATTTACGACCAATCTGGTATAGTCGAAGAGGAAGGTCTTTGTAAGACTGAACCGTGCTAGCGACCAAAGATGTGATTTCTTCCTCATGGGTTGGCGATAGCAGGAACTTTGCATCTTTTCTGTCGTGGAAACCGAACAACTTGAGGAATGAGCATGGGTCGAATTGGAGGCTTTGAAACGCAAAATTGTACTTACTTCACCGCCATGGCCTACGAATCTACCAGTCTTCTTCCACAACTCTTCTGAAGAAATGGTAGACAAGGAGACTTTAGCAGCACCTACATGAGTCTCAGCCAACTGCACCTACCTTTCATGTGCACTAGTCGCATACCTATACTCTCCATGTGCTTGTCAATCAGACCTTCAAGCTTTTGTTGCACACGATTGCCGAGTGGCAGCATGTGGAATATGCCCGCATGAGCTTGTCGTACATAGCCAGCTCTGATAAGTAACTCATGAGACTCATCTTTGGCATCTCTAGCTCGTTCAGCACCGACAGTAGGGATCCAGAAGCGAGAAAGACGTTGAATAGTGCTGCTCGATGAGATTGATCTTGAATATGTCCTCGTCAGATTGCCAGAGTACTGAGGGCCGTTATGACCGGAAGTCCTCAATCGAGACACGCATCTCGCGAGTCCTACTTGAGAGTACATCCGTGATCTAGTAGCCAACGTGCAACTTGCTGGTTACGCAACAATAAGTTCTTGTCGAAAGATGAAGTGTCGCGAATGGAGGTGGAAATGACATGCCGCAAGCCGGGGTTAAGATGCGGAGTTTGACGGAAAATTTGGGCCGATGGCAGTTCGCTCCCGCAAAACTTCTTGGTCGGCGCATGTGAGAGATCCAAAAGTTGGACATTCTTGTTTTTCTCTCCAGAAAAACATATTTATTTCTCGACATACAGCGAAGATGGGCGTAACCAGGAAGCGCTCTGCCTCTGAGGCAAATGGCGGAAACTCGCGCCCCGAGAGATCATACCCGAAGAAGGAATATCCCAAAAAGGACTTTCCCAAGAAAGAGTACTCTAAGAACGATTACCCCAAGAAGGACTTCCCTAAGAAAGAGGGTGGTGATTACAAGACAAAGAAGACTCCGTTGGTATGCGATTCACCATCTAATTTCATGAGACACGAAATCTGACCAGAGTCCAGATTTTCGAAGTCCGACCCGACTGGTACGCCGCTACACTGACCGATTTGCCCGTGTCGACATCTGCGCAACCGCCGTCGCAGAGACTGGTCGAAGAGATTCACGATTATGCCTATTCACTGCTCGAGGCGGAAAACACAAACTATGCCGCCAACAACAACTCGGCCTCATCATCGCACAAGTTCTTGTCAACCATCATGGCATCCGGTACCCTCGAGGATAAAATCTCGGCCTTGACCCTGCTGGTCCAGGAGTCGCCGCTACACAACACAAAGGCCTTTGAGACATTGCTTGGTCTGGCAAAGAAGAAGAGCAGAAACCAGGCCCTCATGGCCGTTGCCGCCGTCAAGGATTTGCTTGGCCAGGGTGACGTTCTCCCTGGTGACCGCAAGCTGCGCGCATTCGTCAAGCAGCCCGCTTTGGCCAAGATTGTCGAGGAACATCACACTGTCTGGAGAGTTGGAAGTCCTCTGCCAAATGGTCTCGACAAGACCCATCTCATCTACTGGGCATTCGAGGACTGGTTGAAAAAGCAATACTTTGAGCTGCTCAAGATTCTGGAAAGCTGGTGTGGTGACGAGGTCGAATATGCAAGAAGTAGAGCAATTACCTACGTCTGGGAGTTGTTGAGAGACAAGCCCGAACAGGAAGAGAACCTTTTGAGACTGCTGGTCAACAAGCTCGGTGACAAGGACAAGAAGATTGCTTCCCGCACATCATATCTCCTGCTTCAGCTTGAGAACACACATCCCGCCATGAAGGGCATTATCGTCAACGCCATCGAGACGGAATCACTCTTCCGCCCTGGACAAGCCGCCCACGCCAAGTACTACTCTATCATCACACTCAACCAGACCATCCTTAGCGTCAAGGAGCCCGAGGTTGCCAACAAGCTTCTCGACATCTACTTTGGACTCTTCATTCAATTCCTGAAGCCTAGGTCGCATGCTAAGGCCAAGGCGCAGAAGGTACAAGGAGGTGGTGGAAAGGGCGGCAAGATGGCTGCAAAGAAGGCAAAGGCTCTGGAGCAGGCTGATACCGCCGACAGCGAACTCAATGAGAAGATGGTCACGGCCGTCTTGACTGGTGTCAATCGTGCTTTCCCCTTCGCCAAAACTGACGATCCTACTTTCGAGGCCCATCTCGACACCATTTTCCGCGTCACCCACTCGTCCAACTTCAACACCAGTATCCAGGCCTTGATGCTGATACAACAGATTTCTGCCACCAAGCACTTCTCCGCCGACAGGTTCTACCGCACCCTCTACGAGTCCCTCCTCGACCCTCGCCTTATCACCTCCTCCAAACAAATCATGTACCTCAACCTCCTCTACAAATCTCTCAAGATGGATATCAATGTCAAGCGTGTACAGGCTTTCGTCAAACGTTTGCTACAAACAATCACCCTCCACGAGGCTCCCTTCGTTTGTGGTGTCTTGTACCTGGTCAGCGAACTCGAGACGGCCTTCCCTACCATCAGAAACATGATCCGCGAGCCCGAGGCCGATCCCGAAGATGAGGAAGAACACTTTGTCGATGCACCAGAAGACGAAGAGACCAGCTCTATGCACCCGTCACGAGTCGACCAGACACGGGAACAAACAGCCCCTGCAGTCCGCTATGATGCACGAAAGAGAAACCCAGAGCACAGCAATGCCGACCGCAGCGCCCTGTGGGAAATATTGCCTCTTCTCTCTCACTTCCATCCATCTGTAGCAATCTTCGCCGAGGCTCTCGTGAACCAGACAGCACTGCCACCCAAGCCTGACCCTACCAAGCACACATTGATGCACTTCCTGGACCGCTTTGTATACCGTAACGCCAAGACCAAGGGATCCACAACGACACGCGGAGCCTCCATCATGCAACCTATGTCTGGATCGAACGCAGCAGATGTGCTTATCAAGGACCGTGCCGACCCTACTCACCGCATTCCTCTCAACTCGGATGCCTTCTGGAAGAAGAAGGTCGAGGATATCGCCGCCGACGAGGTCTTCTTCCACGACTACTTTACCAAGGTCAACAAGGCCAAGCCTACCAAGAAGGACAAGAAGAAGCAGAAGAATGCCGAGGACAGTGATGCTGGAAGCGATGCCGATGAGGACGAGATCTGGAATGCTCTTGTGGAATCAAGACCTGAGATCGAGGGAGACGATGATGACGATGATGATGACCTCGACATGGACGACCTTGAGGAGGGCTACTCAGACAGCGAGGACGGCGATGCTGGTGTCGAAATTGGCGAGTTTGCCGAAGACGACATGGACGAGGCCGACTTGGGAGATGACATGGACGAGGATCTGGAAGACGATGGCTTCGAGGGATTGGAAAGTGCAGACGAAGACGCCATGCTCGGCGACGACGCAGACCTACCGTCCGACTTCGAGGGACTGGACGACGACGTGGTCGAGAAGAGCGAAAAGAAGGACGAAGCGGACAGCAAGAAGAAAAAGAAGAGAAAGCTCAAGCACCTGCCGACATTCGCGTCGGCCGACGACTATGCCAAACTGCTTGGTGGAGACGACGAGGATATGTAGATGTAGGACTTATTATACCATTTTGTCGCCTTTCATCCAGGGCTTGTTTGATGTCACTCCTAATCTTTGATGATTCCAGCCCACTTGTGCCTGCAGAAGAGTGTGCCCAAAGAGGTGCAGGTCAAGTTGTATAGACAAATAGACTTTGAGCCGCACTGCGCCATGACGACGGCTTGAAGCGCGGCGGCACGTTGCAGATCTGGGGATTGCGGATGTTCAATGATTCTCATGTGTAAACAGTGGACAATTGACTTGCAGCATGAATCGGTAGCGCCATGGGCCTGGAGAAGAAGGACGTGATCACGGCCGGATTCGCCGCTCTCGTCTCGTGGCTGCTACTCACGCACTGGATACCGTCGTTTCGCTGGATCCCCTACGCCTTTGTCGCCGGCTGTCTCGCAACCCTCGTCGCACTCGCACTCCTGCTCTTGACGTCGTCCAAAGGTCCAGACTACCGATACAACCATGCGACGACCATCCGACCTCCAGCCTTCATTACTCCGGCTCTCTGGAAGCAAGAAAAAGCGGCCTTGAAGACGCGCTCACGATACGACAAGACGCCTATTTACCCTTCCTCGGCAAGCGTCTCGCTCACCATCGACGGCCTCTTGGACTACATTCTTCGCGACTTCGTTACTGTATGGTACAGGAACATCAGCCCTCGACCGCTGTTCCAAAATGAGGTGGATCGCGCCATTAGACAAGTATTGGACAATGTGCGCAAGAGGACTGCACAGCTCGACATGGTCGAACTTGCCGTTGCTAGGATCGTACCCATCCTGACCAACCACATGCGCGACTTTTCCAATGCAGAGCGCATCGTCAGAGGCAAGAACCTATCTCGCGACATGACCGAGTCCGACGAGCTGGATCTCGCTATTGCTGCAAAGTTTAGGGACGGCAAGCTTCATCCTGCTGCTGCTCTGGCCTTTTCCGATACAAAGCTTTTGCAACAGACTCATCTGCGTCGCATAATCGCCAAAATCCTGCCTTTGATCATGCCTGACTATATGAAGAGCAGCGCTGCCGTTTCCATCTTGGTCAAAGAGATTGTTGCCTGTGCTGTTTTGGCCCCGGTCGTACTCATGCTCTCGGACCCGGACTTTTTCAACCAGCTCATTGAAAACTCTGGTCGCACTATGCTTCAAGACCGAAAGTCTGTTCGCAAACTACGAGCGGCTTTGGACGAGCATGCTGTACCGACGCCGCAACAACAGAAGTCTGGTCAATTCCCTCGTCTGAGGCCGAACGACAACGAAAGACAATTCGAAAGATTCATCCGTGCCACTCGCAATTGTGCCACTCTGTCTGATGCTAGGCGTTTCCGTAGTGAGATCACGAGCCAGGTTCGTAAGGCTACTTCGGGCCCAGAACAGGATCCTGTTTACCTTCGTCGCTTGGAGACTGGACGTCGCATACTGGATCAGAAGATTGCACACTTTACGGCTGGTGGTACATCGAGACCTAAGTTGACTGTGAAGCCATCAAATTCTAGCGTGGAGCAGACATCGAAACTAGGCCAAGCATCCCTGAATGAAGTGCTACATAATGCATCAGGGCTCTCCTACTTTATGGAGTTCATGGACAGAAAGAATCGCATGCGTCTGGTTCAATTCTGGATCGTAGTGGATGGTTTCCGCAATCCTCTGGAAGCAGATAACGATGAGCCGGAACAGGAACTTCAAGACATGCCCTGGACTCCCTCAGATAGAATGGACCTCGAGCAGATGTATGAAGCTTACCTCACGAAGCCAGAACTTAGCCTACCAGATCATGACAGGCAAGCAGTCAGAGACTTTCTGAGAGCAGGTAGTTCGGCAGATGCCAGACTCTACGTTGGTGCCCGACGAGCTGTCCTTCGAGCTCAGACTTCAGTCTTTGAGGAGATGAAGGAGCAGCACTTTGACAGCTTTAGGAAGTCAGACTTGTTCTACAAATGGCTGGCCACGGAAGAGAGTTCCATCATGTCAGCTGCGTCAGAAGGCCACCCAGAACTCTCAAGATCTCTGTCAGTTGGTGGCGAAAGGGATAGACCGCTGTACCGAGAAGCTCGACCCGCGACTGTCCTTTCTCCCAAATCACCTCGGGCACCAGAGCTTCGAAGGCCAGCCATGTCTTCCAGTGATCTGAAGAGTTTCATCAAGCCAAGTGTCGTTGCCAGTCCAGTGAGACAATCAATGGACGGCGCAAGACCGCGACCCTTGTTTGATGACGACGTCGAGGATGAACGGTTGACTCGATCCGTATCGGCACTTAGTGGTATGGAATTGGACAACGAGGTGGACCAGCAACCGGATGATTCTGCTCAAGTTGTTGATGCTATGCAAGCTGCTTTGAACGAAATCATGGACGAGCCAGACAAAGACACTGGCTCGCTGTTTTTCTCAGAGAACATAGGCGTGAGCAATGACTCGCCACGAACCTCGCTGGATGGAGGAAGACCCACTTTGGCCCAAACGAGGTCAAAGCCTAGCATTGCCTCTCTTGGCTTAGTTGGAGCCCCGTCAAGCAAAGGCGTCTTTGCTGACGATCTCTTTGGAGAAGAAGAAAAGTTCGCCGAAGACGAGAAAGAGGATGCCGATCTTGCAGACAAGTCACTCGAGGATGATATCCATGAAGCTGCACCTGGTGATCTTGGACTCACCGAAGCCATCTCCATTCTTAACGCCGACATTGATCGATTGACTGCTCAAGATGCTATTCTAGACTCCTTGACGAAGAAGGCTGAGTTGACGAACAATGCAGCAGAACTTCGAATCTTACGGAAATCGAAACAAAGTCTGGCAAGAGAAATACATCGCAAGGAGATGCAGAAGCAGCAATATACAATACAAGAAAGTGACAATAGCCTTTACGGGAGAGCAGCTGTCAGTATCAAGTCTATCATGGTTGGAAGAGAAGAGGATGGACATGAATATGCGCTTTGTGAGTCTTGTTCGCTGTTACCTCTTGAATGTTGCTGATGCGATCTAGATGTCATCGAAGTTCGACGTCAAGCCGGCGACCAAATGCCGGCCGCAGTCTGGATGGTCACCAGACGATATAGCGAGTTTCACGAACTGAACAAGCGTCTGAGAGCGAGGTTCCCTGCTGTTAGAAACCTTGAGTTTCCACGCCGACAGACGCTATTCACGTTACAGAAAGACTTTTTGCAAAAGCGAAGGATCATTCTTGAGAAATACCTCAAGGTGAGTGTCGACTGGGAGATATCAAGCTTAAGCATTGCTGATCCATGCACAGGCACTACTTCTGATCCCGGCTATATGTCGCAGCAGAGAGCTTCGTGCTTTCCTATCGCAATCGCGAATCACCTCTGGTGCCAACGGCAGTCAGATCGACGAAAAGGACTTTGTGACCAGGATTTACAACTCGGTCACAGACGGCATGGAAGAGTTCTTGGGCAACATTCCTGTTCTCGATCAGCTTTCTGTCGCCGGCCAAAACCTGATCTCAGCAGCAACCGCACAGATGAGTGGAGTACCACTAAACCCCAATGCTCCCGAGTTCTCCACAGACCCAGCCTCCGCCGCAGAAGCAGAAGCAGAAATCAACGCATTCGAAGACCGAGAAGCAGAGCCCTTTGTAAAACCCATCTGCGACATCTTCCTCGAAATCTTCGAATTACAAAAAGGCACCAGTTGGCTCCGAGGCCGTGCCGTAGTCGTCGTACTCCACCAACTCCTCGGCGGCACAATCGAGCGCAAAGTCAGAGATGCAGCAAAAGGCTTCGGACAAGAAGATTCAGTGATCCGCTATCTCGATTTAGTCAAAAACATCATGTGGCCTGATGGTCAAATGAAACAAGGCAGTATCCCACGCACAGCTGCACATAAAGCAGCAAGTCAGAAGGAAGCAGGACTTTTGCTTGCGACGTTGGTGCCGGATTTAGCTGGGAGTGTGGTGGGGAGACATAATGCGCAAGCGGCGAGTAGAAAGGTGTTTGCTATGCTGAACAATCAGCGGTTGAAGTAAGTCTTCTATTTCTTGTTTCGTGATTGGAGACATCTTTGCTAATGGGCTTTTTGAAGTACACATTTGGTGTTTACACTTTTAGATGAGTTGATAGGGACGGTGTTTCCGGAAGCGGTGACACGATGATACCCTTTTGATGATATGGTAAACATGTTGAGAGAGCTTGAGCAAGAGATTGTACATATGTTACGCCCCCCAATAGTGGCAGCCCCTGAGCCTGAAATGGGTTGCACGTCCTTCCTCTTCTGTCTTTCGGCCGTCATTTCCTTGATTACGTCAAGTTGTGGTTGCTGGATCATTCCTTCTTTCAAACGCTAGGATGGTCTACCAGGTCGGACTCAACTCAACGTATGCAAGCTCATACTCAGGCGGCATACGACAGTGTATCTCCGTGTCCCAAACCAAGAGAATCCAGTCGGATGGTCGTCCAAGTCCCCGCAATCATCCTACGAAACGCCACCAATTTCCAGCTGAAAAGTCGATTCTGGGGGATATGATGGCATTTGTTTCGTCACGGTGAGTAACAGACGTCAGAAACTCAGTAAAGTCAGAAATCCTCTAAAGTAAGCATCTTTGCTTATCCCTCTTCCTAAGAAGTTGGCTTAGTTGGGAAACTTGCCGATGAAATTAGGAACCCTTCAATCATCGATGTTGGGACGGTGTTAACATCAAAACCGAAATCATGGTAGATGTTGGTTGCCATCTGCATGTAGTCGACTTGCTTGTCGGGATTTTTGGGATTTTCCAAGTGGCTAGAGTGCCGTATGACAAATACTATGTCTGTGACTTTCATTGGAGGTGGGGGTGGAATGGCAGGCCTTGGGGCTACTTGGGTAACTTTGACTTGGATGTAGCTAGTGAGAGATTTGTTCTACTTGGCTAACTCTTATGTAAGTATCTTCCGCAACTTGCTACAATTATCGGCAACATACCAAAGGGGTGCAGTTTCGACTAAGGGTTTTACACTGTGGACAAGTTGATGAAAGTGTAAGTCCTCTACACCGTCCTATGTCTTGACACTGGGCACACTACACGGGCAGTCAGCATCGTGGTATTGACAACAGTCACGGACAAAACTCACTCTTGGTGTTTGACACTTGACTTTCATGATCAAGCCGCAACTGTCGTTGATCACTTTTGTGGTACTAAGGTCTGCACCTCGGGATGATGCCAAACCGACCCTTCAGGTGTCAGTCTGGTTGGCGATCCGGTGCGACTCAAGGGGATGGTGGCTCCACTGGCTGAGTAGACTTGGCGGACCAAATGAATAGTCTTGTTGGAGGGCGGGTGAAGGTGATTGTGGCTACTTTGGCTGGGTAGACGTCGGCAGACGAGGTGACGAGTCTTCCTCATGGGCGGCGGGAGGGGAATGATATGTTAAGAAGATAAGACAGTTTGCATTGAACAATGAACCCATTTGCTCTTAAGTGTCCACCGTGGGAATCACGCTGTCCATTGTACTCTCGTCATCAACGCTCCTCCTTCACCAATGGTGATGCGAAGTGAAACGCGAGCTGATGTGATGCACAGGCACTTCCTGGATGAAAGATGACCTGAAGAGAGAGCAGATGAGGTAGTGGCTCTCAGCGGACGTTGGGCGATCTTGCAGAAGTACTGTGCCTTGATACAGCTAGAGAATGACAAAGAGAGACGAGAGAGAGTGGTCAGTCTTGTTTGCGACTCCTGAGTAGCCGGTTATCTTCCAGTCCACTGGGTCGCGACTGCTACAAACAAACGCCAGCACCACACGCACTTGCTTCACCTTTGATCTTGCCGGAAACTCAAACACGATACTTTCCACTCATCTGACCCACAACATACATAGCCGTAAGGCATACTCTCAAGATGAACCCTCAAGCCCCTCACTACAAGTATAACACGCCGGCCCCTTCTGGCAACAACGGCACCAGAAACGGCAGTAACCTCGCCACTATTTTTGGCTCTCTGCGCACAACCTTCGTGCCTGCCTCCGTACCTACCACTAACAGCACTCGCGGAACGTCTACTCCACATCGTGAGACACCTAATCAAACTCCCACCCCAACTCCAACTACTCAGAGTCACTCGCTTGTCAAGTTCGAGCCTCGCATGAGCTCAAACGTACGCTCTCATGATTGATGAACATCTTTGGAACTTTTTACTGACTTTTCGCAGGAAGAGCTGTTCGAGCGCGCTCGTGTGGAGCAGCAGGAGCAGAGCCAATTGTTGCTGCACTCTAAACTGCTTCGCCTGACCGAGCAGGTTGATGAGTTGATGAACCAGCGCGCCGCTTTCGAAGAGAAGCAGACCGAAGGCGCTCAAATCATCAATGACCTCCGTGGCGAGGTTCTCCAGCTCAAGACCCAGGTCAAATCTCAGAACGACAAGCTTGGAATCCTCAAGGGTCTCAGCGATGACCATATCAGGGAGCACAAGGCTCTGGCTCAGCATCTCAAGGAGATGCCTGGAAACCTGGACGCTCTTCTTCGGTACACTGTTACTCGTATCGATAGAGTCGAAACAGTCGTGCGCGGCGTTGAATTCCAGGTAGGCAACCAGATCAAACAACACGCCACTCAGCTCCGTGACAACGATAAGCGCATTGTTGAGCTCGAGCAGTGCAGTAGCCATGACATGAAGGACTACAATGGCTCGATGTCACAGGAGAACATCCAGCCTAGATGTGGGTGTTTCTGCTCCCATTCACACGCCTTTGCTAACAAACGGTAAGCTTCGGGTTCCGATACCAACCACAGTGCCAGCATTGAGAAGCTTGAGAAGACTCAAGTTACGCACACGTCGTACCTCGAAACTATTGGACAGTCTCTTATAGCCAACCAGAACAGCATCACCGTAGCCGAGCACACCATGAACGATCTTCTTATCAAGCTCGATGATCTGAAGTCGGCCAATGCTGAAATTCGTAGCCATCAGCAGGCTGACCCAGGTCTTTTCAAGATGGACGCAACCACTGACGCCATCTCCAAGCTCCAGACGCAAGTTGAGCGCCTGGCTAGGAGCGTGCAGCACAAGACTGCCACGGTCGCTGCCGAGATCCCTCAGGGTAATGATTCAAGTGCTGACGACGTGGAGAGACTGGTCATTCAGATGGATGAAGTCCGCAGCAAGATTGGCGGAATGCAGGAGGAGCTCGTAAGCGTTGACTTTCAATCATAAGTACAACACATGGAACTGACGTCTCACAGAACACCCAAATTGAGATGCGTAACATCATGGACGAGTGCGCCACAGCAAGCAAGGTCAGGCTTGAGACGATGTTCTACCAGCTCACCAAGGAACTCATGCACACTTGTGAGCCTGAGCACATCGAGTTCGGTTTGGACGAAGAGCGTACATTCATCGTTAGACAGCGTGTCCTCGAACGTCTCACCATCGAGAATGGCGTTCAGCTTGAGTTCGAGCGCCTTCAGCAGTCGCAGTTGATGCCACGCTGAAGTTACGGTACAGTCAATACAAGAGACAAATCGGAGTCGGATAAGGAGAGGGCTTGAATACCACCGTCTCGCGGTGCCTAGCTAGAAGTCAGTAGATAATGCCTCCCCGAGTGCTGGGCTCTGTCAGATTTGCAGCTGTCTCAAGACACAATACTTTTCGAAAACTGGAGTAACTTCATCGGGAGAGCGTGTTTCGTGGGCTCTCCGCCCGTGCTCTGTGAAATCATGAAATTACTGTGCCTCTCTACAGCGTGTCGCTACCCTGCGATGGATGGAAAGGGAGCTGGAATGAGAAGAGCACATAGAGAGGTAGACTGTTTTATATGATCTCATGCATGTCGAGAGGTGGTGGAAAGAAGTGGTGGTGATGTTCCGAAAGGCGGAGAAGGTGGGCGGAGTTTATTGGCTAATCGCCGCGGCAGAAAAAGATAATATTTTCGCCAGGGTCGAGACGCTCTATCACAGGATATCTGCACAACACAATACAACATTAACAATGGCTGGAATCAAACGTAAAGAAGCCCCCAAGGCTGTTGCCGCCGTAGGATCTGGATCGGAGAAGAAGCAGAAGCTGGCCTCGACAGGCTCGTCCAAGAAGAAGGCCGCCCCGGTCAAGGAACCCACGCCCGAATCCTCCGACTCGAGCGAGGACGAAGATGAGCTGGATGAAGAAGAGGATGCCATGTCTGGTGTCGAGCTTGAGCAGGAGGGTGGTAACAGCGAGTCGGATGAGAAGAAGATCAGAAGTACGTTATGGACAAGGCTCGAAGAAAGGACTGAGCTGACACAGTCTACAGCTGGTCAATCATCAGCAGAAGCACACGCTGCCCAGCGCGCCTTAGCAAAGGAGCGCAAGGCCGCCAAACCCAACGCAGACATCATCGGCCGCAGTAAGAAGATTTGGGAGAGACTGCGCAGGAAGTCACACGTCCCCACCGAGGAGCGCAAGGCTCTTGTCAGCGAGCTGTTCGAGATCATCACTGGCAGAGTCCGCGACTTTGTCTTCAAGCACGACAGTGTGCGTGTCATCCAATGCGCGCTCAAGTACTCCAACATGCAACAAAGAAAGCAAATCGTCACAGAGCTCCGTACCGACATGCGCGAGCTGGCAGAGAGCAAGTACGGCAAGTTCTTGGTCGCCAAGATGGTCGTCGAAGGGTTTGTTCTTCACTACTTCCTCGCTCTTCAAACATGCATGAACTAACTTGACTCGCAGTGATGCCGAGATTCGCAACATGGTCGTTCCTCAGTTCTACGGTCACGTTCGCCGCTTGATCAACCACCCCGAAGCCGCCTGGATCGTCGACGATATCTACCGCCAGGTCGCTACCTCTTCACAAAAGGCCCTCATGCTCCGTGAATGGTACGGTGCTGAATACGCTATTTTCGGAAAGACCAAGGCCTCTCAAGGTCAGATCGACGAGAAGGTCACAGCAGACCTCAAGGCAATTCTCGAGGAGAACCCCGAGAAGAGGAAGCCTATGATGCAATATGTTCAGCAACTCATCAACCAGCTTGTTCAGAAGAAGATGACTGGCTTCACCATGTTGCACGACGCCATGCTCCAATATTTCCTCAACACAACCCCTGGTACCCCCGAGGCTGCGGAGTTCCTCGAGCTGCTCAAGTCGGATCTTGACGAGGAGAACGGTGGTGATCTTCTCAAGAACTTGGCTTTCACAAAGAACGGCAGCCGTGTCGTGTGTCTGGCTCTTGGTTACGGAACTGCCAAGGACCGTAAGCTCATCCTCCGTGTTTACAAGGATGCTGTTGAGATGATGGCTCTCGATGCTAATGCACACACCGTTCTGCTTGCTGCCATGGACACCGTCGACGACACAAAGATGACTGCTAAAGCACTGTTCCCTGAGTTACTGGGCGAGAACATCAAGGACGAGGCCGAACGCGAGAACCGCCTTGTTGACCTCATTTCCCACTTGACCGCCCGTATCCCGCTACTCTACCCTCTTGCTGGACAAGCTAAGTGGCTGGTTTCTGACGTTCAGAAGAACATTATTGCAGAGGTGCACTCTGTTCGTGAGGTCACCTCAAAGAAGAATCCCGAGATTCGCCGCGCAGAACTCATCTCATACATGTCGCCCTACCTACTCCCTATCATCCAAACTCGCGCTGCCGACCTCGCAAGCGTCGGCTTCGGCTGCCAATACATCAGTGAAGTTCTCTTGGAGGCTCAAGGTGACAAGAAGGCAGCTTGCGAAGCTGTGATTGCTTTGACCGAGGGTGACGTTACTTCCGAAGGACACATTGCACAAAACGCTGCTGGCGGAAAGATGCTAAGAGCATTGGTCAGCGGTGGAAAGTTCGACCCCGAGACAAAGACAGTAAAGCTCGTCGAGCCTCGTCTTGGTTTCGGCGACATGCTCTTCAAGTCACTCAAGGGCAAGTTCGTCGACTGGGCCACCAGTCCTTCAAGTTTCGTCGTTGTCCAATTGCTCGAGAGCGAAGACGTCAGCGACGCAAACAAGAAGGTCGTCCGCGACGAGCTCGCCAAGGGCAAGAAGACTCTCGAAAAGGCAGCCAAGGGCGAGAATGCACCCTCGAAAAAGGCACCCGTCGAGTCAGACGACAAGCAAAACAAGAAGAAAAAGAAGACGAGCGAGGGCCCGAGGGGCAATGCAGGTGCAAAGATTTTGCTTGAGAAGTTGAGCAAATGAGTGTAAGGTCTCATTCTTTTCCCATGTCGTGTCGCTATGTATCCCTTCTGGAGGCATTGGCCTCAAAAATACCCAGCAGAGTTGTTACGTTTTCTCCTCATCATATGTCATCTACTCCGACTTGCATATCATGTTGACTTACCATCTTACGAAGTTTTTCTCGCTGTCTCCTCGTGTGAAAATATAAACCGTCTGTCCACTTCTTACAAACTCACAGTCACAGGTGCTCGAGCTCTGAATCTTTACGATACCTTCTTACACGAGGCAAAATCTTCTTTGAAGGTTAAGTCTTACAGTACCATCTCGAAAAGGCTCGACTTGACATCGACAAGCGTCGAGCAGTTGCACACATCACTTCTCTCGACATACGAGTACGAAGTAAGACTTTTTTCTCGATCCATACTTTCCAACAAAGTGATTGTCGAAAAGTCATTGTTCACTTGGTAAGTGTCGACCAACTTTTCGTCGAAGGCCAACGATTTCGAAACCGACGACAACAACATACGACTATCACAACCAACTACTTTACACATTCTCACGAACAACGACGACAACATCAGTATCGACCCTCTCCTTTTTGTCATCGCAACTTCTCCGAATCCGAGTGATCGTCATATCCAAGTTTTTAGGAGAAGTCGTCGAAGAGGAAGGCGCGCTTCACTTTTCGTCGTTCACCGAATTTCACTTGCATTCGTGAAGCGAATTGCTCTATCTCCCTTTCTCTCGTCTCTTATTTCCTTCTTTCCACCTTCCACCTTCCACTTTGCGCCTTCTGCATCTTACATCTTTCGTTTGACTTGGAGACATTTGAATACTTCTTTCTCCTTTAGCATATCAACTATGCCTCGATCCACCAACACCCTGGCACGTATGCCTCGACGTGTCGGTACCCCCTTTGCACAAATGTATCGTTTGAAGCCACAGGTCAAAGCCGATGTCAAAGTCAAGAAGGTATCTGCCCAGACGGAAGGCCAGGCAGAAGCAGATCTGAATGCTTTTGAGACTCTATCGGTTGAGGTAAATTTTTCCAGTTGTCTCGAGTCAAGTCCGGGGTACTTTCCTCATTGTTAGCTTCTCAGCCACTTTCACATGCTGACACAATAAAACAGATCAGACAGCTCATTGCTTCCAACCTCGACGACAAAGATCTAGCAACTTACAGGCTCGTCTGCCAATCTACCAAGTCTGCGCTCGATGAGGATGAGGGATCCTTCTGGCGCACTCGCTTCCTCAACACCTTCGACTATCCTGAGAACATCCCTATCGAGAAGAAACGTTCCAAGATGAACGAATGGTTCAAGAAGAAGTACCAGTACCGCAAGCACACTGAACGACAGAGATTCGAGTTCCAGGTCGGAAATAGCCAGAGAGAAGTTGAGTGCCTGTCGCTCATCAAAGATCTGATCAATGGTGAGTGTCCTCGTGTCAACTAGGATGTCGCTGATCTCGCTGACATGAGGACAGAGTCTTTCAACATCAATACCCACACGCGCAGGTCTAAGGAGCCCTCGACCTATTCTCTCAATATGAGTCGCTTGGAAGCCATCGTCGGAGCTACAGGCCTTCTCGAGTGTGTCTTTCGACGACCTCACCGCAAAGGCAGAAAGTCACTACCCAACCCTGTCTTGCTGGCCATACAACTTGTCCTCACCCACATGTCTTTGACTGTATCGCTCAAATCACCTATGGCAAAGGCTTGGAGATTCTCGGATTCACAGACCATGGCGTACGCGTCCACCTTGGAGCGACCCATCTTCAAAGGTGCCAACTGTCTGGAGGTTGATGTCGAATGGACCTTGCATATCGCAAACTTCTTCAAGAACCACCTGCTTAGCGAGCATGAGCTCACTCACGTCGGCTATGACGATCTTCATTCAACCGAACGCCCACAATGCTGGACCAAGCCTTTGTCTACTAGCCCTCTGAAACTTGGCAAGCACTGGAAGGGCAGCTATGCCTACGTCGATCACGACGAGATTCACCTCATTCGTCAAAGCGAGAATGAAGACTATCCCATTCCCGACCACATGTGCGGTGAAGGCTCTGACAGCCACTTCCAGGTGAGTACTATCTAAAGAGCTCTCTGTCATATTGTCCCTTGCTAACTTGGCTGCAGGACCTTTGCCTCGATTTCCCCAAGGAGAAGCCTGCTTTATGGCCTCCAAACTTCGAAGCCATTTGCAAGGCTCGCTCCAGGATCAACTACCATACGGCCACCACCCGAGCTCAGAGCAAAGTCACTGGTCCCGAGGTAGTACCCGCTACACCCGTGTCCTTCAGCTTCAAGGGCGACGGTGAAGACGCCAACGAACCTTTCCTGGCATCCGGCTTCTTCAACCCTCTTCCTCCTCAGCACGGCATCCCGGGCTGGCATCGCATGACCATGATGAAGTACTGGCGTGACGAGGATGGTGTGATCGATGAAGACTCTCTTTGGGCTTACGAGGGCGTCGTCTTGCCTGGTTCGATGGTCATGCTGGGACGTTGGTGGCATCCTTCTGGTGGTGACGATGCATACACCGGTCCCTTCATCTTCTGGAACGTCGACGCTAGTATTCTCGCTTACCCTGAGGAAACATCTGCTGCCGTCTGATCACGGTCATAACCCGAGCCAGACACCAACCGTCCTCGTCTCGCCAAGTCTCACAACAAAGACTACTACGACCTTCACGACCAGGATGATACAGTCTCACTTCTAGGAAATGACTGGCAACTATCCTGTAACGTTTTCCAGGATCACACTCTTTCTGTTTAATAGCGATGATCGATGGAGGGACAGACAGGATATCATCGTCGCTTAACCCACACCCTTCATCATTTGTACTTTCACTCTCTAGTAATTACTGCACTCCTCTTTTTAGTGGACGGACAAAGAAGACGACAAACACCAGACCAGATAGCTAATTGATCCATCATCATTGTTACTCCACCAATCTTTTCTCCTTCCAGCAGAGATGGGTCGTGACATTACTTTTGCTCTTCCCTCAGCTCACTCCCCCCTCTCTTTGCCATGTTCCCTGGCAATACACGAGATCCCTGTGTCTGCTTCTCTTTTCCTATATATTTCTCTTTCAATTCTTCAAGTCACTGTTTTTTTTTTTTTTTTTNGGGGGGGGGCAAAACAAGATCGAAGACTTCGTGATTTTATGAAGAAGAAGAAGAAGAAAAAGGAAAAGGAAGGAAAGAATAGAGGAGGTAGATGGGGTGTATATAGACAAGTAGACAAGTATATGGGGGGGATATAGTAGTAGAGAGTAAACAAGGCAGAGGGGTAGGAGAAACGTATTCCCTTTTGTATCGATGAACATCAAGGGGAGAGAAAAAAAGAAAAACACACATCCTCCCAAAGACTACTTTAATAGATCGATAAAGGGGGGAGATATTTACTGTGGAAAAAGATGGATGAAAAGGGTTCGAGAGCAAATGGCGTCCAAGGCCCTGATCATAAAAACACGACAAGACAGACATCACTTTCCACGATGACATGAGAGAGATCAAGTGTTGTTCAGATGCAAATACTTTTTTTTAATTGTAATCATCTATAAGTGAAATTTTTTGAGTTTTTGACCACGCAGTTGAAATGCGGGTTCCATCCTTCTCAAGGAAAACGAAGATCAAATTGCTCCACTTCCTTGTTGTGTAAACTTTGTGTGTCCCCGCCTGGTATCATTGCACATGTTGAATCATCATAAGCACCCCTTGTTTTGAGAGTAAAAAAACCAAAGAAGAATATCAGAGAGGGACAGGATTTTGCAAAAAAAAAAGTCCCTCCATGCTATGCAGAAAAAGTTGTAAAAGAGAAAAAAAGGGGAAATGCTGGGAGAGAGAAAGAAGAAAAGAGGCGATAATGACAGAAGGCTAGAAAACAGTCTAGTATCTGTACATGTCGCTCTTGAAGGGACCCTCGACGGGGAGACCGAGGTATTCGGCCTGGACGTCGGTGAGGGTGGAGAGCTCGGCGTTGACGTGCTCGAGGTGGAGAAGAGCGACCTGCTCGTCGAGGATCTTGGGAAGGACGTAGACACCGACGGGCATGACACCGTTCTTGAGCTGACCGATACCCTCACCCTCGCCAGCGCGGGCGAACTCGACATACTTCTTGCCGAAAGCCTCGTCGCCGGCCTTGTACAGCATGATCTGGGCAAGGACCTGGTTGGCGAAGGAGCAGGACATGACGAAGGAAGAGTGACCGGTGGCACAGCCAAGGTTGACAAGACGACCCTCGGCGAGGAGGATGATGTGACGGCCGGAAGGCATGAGGAAACGGTCGACCTGGGGCTTGATGTTGGTGACCGAGGTGGCGTTCTTCTTCAACCAGGCAACGTCGATCTCAATGTCGAAGTGACCAATGTTGCAGACAATGGCGTTCTCGGGCATGGCCTCGAAGTGCTTGCCAGTAAGAATGTCACGGCAGCCGGTGGTGGTGACGAAGATCTGACCGACGGAAGCGGCCTTCTCCATGGTGGTGACCTGATAGCCGGAGACGGCAGCCTGGAGGGCGTTGATGGGGTCAATCTCGGTGACGAGAACGCGGGCACCCATGGCGTGGAGAGCCTGGGCGCAACCCTTACCGACATCACCGAAACCGGCGACGACGGCGACCTTACCGGCGATCATGACATCGGTGGCACGCTTGATACCGTCGACAAGCGACTCACGGCAGCCGTAAAGGTTGTCGAACTTTGACTTGGTGACGGAGTCGTTGACGTTGATGGCGGGGACAAGGAGACCCTTGTTCTTGAGCATCTTGTAGAGGTGGTGGACACCGGTGGTGGTCTCCTCGGAGACACCGTAGCAGTCCTTGAGCATCTCGGGGTACTTCTCGTGGACAAGGGCGGTGAGATCACCACCGTCGTCGAGGATCAGGTTGAGGGACTCGCCAGAGGGGAAAGACTTGAGCTGCTGCTCGAGACACCACTGGTACTCCTCCTCGGTCTCGCCCTTCCAGGCGAAGACGGGGGTACCACCGGCGGCAATGGCGGCGGCGGCGTGGTCCTGGGTGGAGAAGATGTTGCAGGAAGACCAGGTGAGCTCGGCACCGAGGGCCTTGAGGGTCTCGATGAGAACGGCGGTCTGGATGGCTGTAGGTGCTTGTCTTAGCTCGAGCTCCTGCTTGATCCGCTGTGAATTGACTTACTCATGTGCAAGCAACCGGCAATGCGAGCACCCTTGAGGGGCTGCTCAGCGGCGTACTTCTCTCTGGTGGCAATGAGACCGGGCATCTCGTGCTCGGCGAGCTCAATCTCGCGACGACCGAAAGCGGCCAAGCTGAGGTCGGCGACCTTGAACTTCTGGGCGGGAGCACTCATGTTGATGATGTGTAAAGGGATATGGGGGTTGTGGAGGGAAAGAGAGATGAGAAGGAGAAAGTGAGAGGAAGGAGCGCAGAAGGGAGTATGTAAAGTCGCTGCCAACAAAAAGTGGCCCCACCCCTCTCTCAATCTCTCAATTGCCGTTCCCTGGTCAGATTCTACACATCTTCACCGCCTGCATGCTTGGCAGGGTAGCTGGAGCACGGCCCTCTAATAATCATATTGTTCGCGCCTTGTCCTTCCAGAATTGGTGAGAAGTTAGCGGGGTTTGGACGACAAGACTTTTCTCAACCACCAGCGAGCTGCCTAGGTGGGGCAAGCTTCTGCGAGCCTCTCTGGACCAGCCATTCGTCTGCGTGGTCTTGACGTCTTCCATTTACCAGCTTTCTTCAACCCTTTGAATCAAGCAACTGTGTCCTTTCACTCCGATCGTTTTCTTTCCAAACTTTCTATACATCACTTTTACGTGACTGAGCTCAGTGAATAGTGGTCGGAGTTTTGATTGTCCAGAGTGACCTTGATGGTGCCTGCTCTCGATCGTCAAGGCTCGGGTCTACTACTCCGATCAAAGCGCTACGAGCATCGAGACACACGAAGAGAATCACAGAGGGAACAAATCGTCTATGGACTGTGTTTTCATTGCTTCATAATCATCATGCTTGTGCTGCCTAGGAAGAGGGGGAATCATGGGTGGTCTTCTCTGGTCCATCGTGCTAATCGTGACCTTCGTAGTGTGCAAGAGAGGAAATGAGGGGACAAAAGAAAAGCTGAAAAGGTACATATCCGCCTGCCGTGCTTTGTCCTTGTCGCCGTGTCGCCGTGTCGCCCGTATTTGTGCTCGCCGAAAAGAGGTAGCAACATGCAATGGTTGTATCAAGCTCGTAATCATAAAAAGTCGTGAAAAGCAAGACGGAAGAAGCAACAAAGTGCAGAAGAGAGGAAGAAGCTCAAGCGAGAACAGACGATGGACCACGGCTGTAGAGTGCTCCATCCACAGAACCTGGTCAACGGAGCTTTGTTATTTGTCGGTCCTCGGATGTATGTTTCAGGATTCCTCGTATAGCGGGAGGTCGCTCCTAATACCTCGCACCAGGAGGTGGTCCAGGTGGTGGAGGAGGGATGTTGCTGGGATACATCATCTGTGTGCCGGGCTGCGTATACATTTGAGGAGCAACGGGTTGTTGCTGTTGCTGCAAAAGAGGAAGCATCTGGTAGAGACGCTCTTCCTGTGCTCTGCGTGCCTCTCTTTCGTGTTTCTCGTGACGTCTCTCTTTGAGCGCTTTTCTCTTCTCCAGTTCGTGAATCTCGCGTCTGTGGATATGCGTCAGCATCGAGTAATAAGGAAGAAACCGAACCGTCATACCTGTGCTCATTCATTTCCTTCCATTCGCTGAAAGCGCCCTTGATACCCAAAGCAGCGATACCTACAGCTGCTGCATCCTGAACCCATGCCTTCGTCTGCTTCTTGCGAGCCTCGGCAGGAGACATCTCGCCTTCCTGCACCAGTTTGTGACGCCTCTCGTGAGCTTCCATACTTGAGTAAACACCATGAGCAGCGTGAATAGTGGCAACTGTGGCAAGACCGGCCGTGAGTAGCTCTTTGCCTCGCATACGCTTACGACGAGCATCGACATCGGTGCTGCTGCTTGAAGAACTCTGGCTACGAGCGCCACGGTTGTTTGTTGAAGCAGCGAGGGCGCCAGCACCTGCACTGGCGGCAGCGGCGGGGGCGACATTTCGATCACGACCGCGCTGGGCGACGGCGCGGCTGCCTGTATCTGATTGAGCAGGTGAGCGTAGCTCCTTGTTGCGACGGCGATTGCGGGAAGGGACATACGAGTCTGCAGAGCTGGACGAAGGAGAGCGCCTACGACGTGACTTTGAGCGTACACGATCGTAGATGGCCTTGCCAGCTGCTGCTAGAGCTCCACCAGCTGCAAGCTTCTCAAGTCCGCCACCGCCGCCGCCACCGCCTTGGCCATCACGACCACGAGACTGGCTTCTTCCGCGACCGCCAAAAATGGATCGAGAGCGGCTACGAGAGCGGCCATAAGGATCGTCCCTGGCACCAGCGGGACCTCTGCTCTTACTGCGAGGACCGTTGGCAAGGCGGGTGGTTGCAAGTCCTCCTACCACGGCTTCAACCAGGTGGCGCTTTGTCTTCTTGTCTGGATTGCGGTCAACGAGGCCATCGATACCACCTGCGCCGATAGCGGCAGTGGCGATGCGGCGTCCCTTCTCTCCAGTCCATGGTCCAGGGTCCTTGCGAGAGCGGAATGCCTCGACGGCGCCGGCGACAAGAGCGGCTTGAGCAGCCTGAGCCCACTTACGCTCGGTACGTCCCTTAGATCTGCTGCGGCTACGGCTGTATTCATCAGAGTCGTAGCGACCACCGTGGCGTGACTTAGCTCTGCCATCTCTGTCTCTGCCATCTCTGTCTCTGTCACGGCGCGAATCACGATCTCTAGATCTGCTGCGACTGCGGGAGCGTCCTGTAATAGCAGCGGCGACTCCTCCTAGTCCGAGACCTTCCAGAATCTCACCGACACCAGACTTGCGGCGTTCAGCATGACGACGACGAGGAGGTGAGTATTCCTCCGAGTCGTAGTCACGGTCATGACGATCGCGGTGACGGCGGCGATCCTTTGCGCGTCCAGCAGCATATCCAGCGCCAGCAGCGGCTGCGGCAGCGACTGGAACATCGTAGTCATCGTCGTAATCGTCATAGTCTCTACGGCCAACCTGGCTTCGAGCACGGCGGGGCGGAGGGTAGTTGTCGTATTCTCTTCTTCCTCCACGAGGAGCGTAACGATCGCTGGAAGGGAGAGGGAAGTCTCTGGCGATGTCTTCGACGCTCTCTTCACGAGGGCGATACACCAGGTCGCGTGGAGGAGGGCCTTTTCCGCGCTCGATGTATGTTGTTTCCTGGACGAATTCGGGATCTCCACGCTCGCGGGGTCGAGTGCGAGTTTCGCGGTAGCGACGACGGTCGTCGTATGCGCCGTAGTCGGACATGATGTTGTAGGTGGTCGATGGTCGGTCGAGAAAGAAAGAGAGAGGCTTGTCTGAGAGCCCTTAGTCAAGATGACAAGCGTGGCAGGCGTCACAAGCTCGACAAGGGTGGCTGGAAGTGAGCCTTGGCTTGCGGATGGTGTGGTGGGGTTTGCGGTGTCAAGCGCCTTGACCGGGCGTTCGTTTCAGAATGTGTTTGTCGCTGAATTTGGAGAAAGAATAAAGTAGGACTTGCGTTGTCTTTCGAGAGATCAAGCTTCACAGGTTTGGGTTGATGCGCAATAGGAGAAAAAACAGTGAGCGAGAAGCAAGTGAAGAGAGAGACGATAGGGAAAGCACGACGGCTACAGACCAACCATTTCTCACAGGGCAATCGCAAATTCAGGCTCGTCAAGGTGGCAGGCCGACCGCCAGTGGTAGCCACCCAGCCATGCACAAAGACGTCATTGCCGCCTGCCTTTCGCAGCCCAACTCATCCCCGTCTTCCACACATACTTTGGCAGATATTCAGCCAAGTCTCTGCCTTGTCTATCATGTCTACAGTGAGTGATATGAAGGATGGTATTCTCGTTGAACCCGTCATGTTTTATTTTGTGGTTGGAGACCCCGCCAAGCCGGCACGTTGCCAAACACTCAATGTTCCTGCCAGGGCCAACCTTAACTTCCTCTGACATCAGTAAGACTAGGTTCTCACACATTCTCCATGCTTGACATGAACATCATGGAGCCATGTATCTCCAAGCAGCCGAAAGTACTCTCATGGGATGACTACCTGAAGGTCGAGGCCGAGGCCGAGGCAACAATCGACAGGAATCAGCTTGAAATCATCGAGACCCCATATGCCAGACATTACAACAATCTAGTCGGTGGTTCACGTGTTCCCCGGACACATCTTGACATTTGTGTTCCGAAAAAACAGGCTGAAGATCCTCAGCAAGCAGTATGGCTCGTGTAGGTCCTCCTTTGTTCCCTACCTCCAAGTCACTGTTCAATACGCGAATCGCGCCTGGCCTGTGAACATCAGGTAGGAGCATCAATTTGTCAGCCTCACTCACCAATATTCACAGCTACATCCATGGAGGAGCTTGGAGAGACCCCATGATCGATCGTAAGAGTTTCAACACTGCTCTGGAGTTGCTTCTCAAAGATGACCGACCACACAACATTGCTGGATTTGTGACTCTCGACTATCGCTTGTCACCCTATCCAACACATCCGACATGTCCATCTCTACCAGGAGATCCAAGTCGAAATGTACAACATCCAGTTCACGTCGATGATGTCTACAACACTCTCGTGTTGCTCATGGATAAGACTCGACGCGACATGTTGTTCGACATTGAGAGAGGTGGCGCGTTCGGATCTCCGGACCTTGACGGCATAACGAATGGCCGCTACGTTCTCTGTGGTCATAGCTGTGGAGCATCGATCGCTGTGCAGGCTACCGCTCTGCTTGCCAATGGTGCCTTGCGGCCACCAGTGGCATTGCTCGGGATAGAAGGCATCTACGATATACCTGCCCTAGTGGCCACACATACACATCCAGCCTATCGAGAGTTTGTCACAGCTGCTTTCGGCGAAGAAGAGAAGACATGGGTCACGGCGAGCCCAGCCAATATTAGCTTGAAAAAGTGGGAAGGCAATGTCATGCTGGTCCAGTCTAACGTCGATGAGCTGGTAGATATGCAGCAGACCGACTCCATGGTTGAAGCACTCGTCATGGGAGGATGGCAACGTTCAAGCTCGACTGGGAAGGAGAACAAAGGCAAGCAAATATCAAAGGTTGTCATCAACTGCCTGCACGATGAAGTATGGGAGGAGGGTACAGAGTTGGCAAAGGCGATTCGGGACGGGACTGACAAGTCGTGGGTAACGCCAGCAGTCCAGAGGATGAGAACCACTGGGGTGAAAAGTTGAGGGACTGCCAACAAATGGCTGAAGGAGCCAATTCACGAACTGATTAAACATGACGCAGAATTGTAATGGTCCGATGTGAGCAGTCATGTACATAATGCACACCTGGGCACTGATGCTTGACTTGATGCTTCGTACAGTGCATCAATTCGGGAGCAATAGGATATCATTCCTCGATGGCATCCTTGATTGACCACACCAGCAGTCTCTCGTGCCATGAGCGAAACAGATGCCTGGAGAACGTATAGCCCATTCCAAAATATCACCAGAGGCACAAACGTGAATGTGCTCAGCATTATGATGCTCTAAAATCAAGTCAACGGGTCGACCCTGTCGCGGGAGATGAGTCTCGCCAAGCTCCGATAAAGTCCGGGAGTCGGGGAAATTCTCGACTTGGTCATGGATGCGACAGCAGCATGTGACAGTCGTGCAACTTTTGTCTCGACATCACAACCTCAATATGGCGGATAAAGTAGCTGGAGTCCCTCTGACAAAGACGGTGGAACAGACTGTCAACAATGGCGCAAAGGCAGCACCAAAAGCGGCAGAGGGCAATCCGGCCTTTCGCATGATGGGTATGTCCAATCTACTTTCTCCCTCGAGCAATACCACAAGGAGTCGAGAATCACGAAAGAATCAGTGAGAACGGTTGCTGATGCTTTATCTCCACAGGTCTCCCCAATATCAAGGCCAAACTCCCATCGCGAAACTGGATGATCTTCCTTTCCATCACGTCTTCCTTCGCAGCAGCAGTGTACTACGACAAGCGCGAAACTGCTCGTCTGCAACAAAAGTACTGCGATATGGTCGCACCCCTGTCAGAAAAGATTATTCCAACAACGACAATGCCCAGGAAAATGACCATCTACCTACAAGCACCACCAGCCGATGGACTGCGGAGCGCAAGAGAGCACTTTTACGAGTACGTGAAGCCGGTCCTGGTTGCTGGAGCATTGGACTGGGATGTTGTTGAGGGAAGAAGAGAGGGAGACTTGCGTTTTGGTGCTGCCGAGAAGATCAGAAGATGGCGGAGGAAGGCCGAGGGTGTGCAGGACGAGGAGGCAGAGCCGACAAAAGAGCAGATTGTCACAGAACAGAGAGAAAGAGTTGGTTGTGTGGATGAGGAGGGTGTCAAGGGAGACTTGGTCATTGGCAGACACGCTTGGAAGGAATACCTACGCGGCACACATGAGGGCTGGTTGGGTCCTTTGAAAGAGCCGGTCCAGGTCGAGGAGGTCAATGAGGTCAAGAAGCACATCGACGGAGCGCCTTCATTGGGTGATGTAGCCGTCAAGGCCGCCACAGACTTGACCATGAAGGACACTCCTCCCACCGCTTCTTCGGGCTCATGCACAAACACCGACTCGGCCTCGATCGTGTTCGACTCCAACGCAGACGACTCCGCAAACACGACCCCCGAATCTCTCCCCGATCCACCGAAAGAGGAGGAGCCTGTCAAACCGAAACTCACAAAACCCGACGCTTACATCTCGACCTCAGCCTATGCCTCCGCCAACCTCCCATCGTCAACACCTTCCACTCTCGGCCCTACAATCGCCATTCCGTTTCCTCATCTTCTAGGCTTCTGGAACTTCCCCATCCGCATCCACCGTTTCCTCACTCGTCGCTATGTTGCCGAAGAGATCTTCTCTCGCACCGCAGCCGCCGTCCTAGCGTCCCATCGCGAGTTCCAGGCCTCAGATGTTGACTATCTCCAGCATGAAGAAAAGGAGTGGCACAAGAGTGTCAGAAAGCCAAAGGTCGAGGCAACTGAAGAAGGCGCTCTAGCGCAAGAGCAAAAGGAGAAGTTGTGGCTGGATGGTGTCGTTGTTGATGATCGCATTGCTTCAAGAATGCGCGTCTTTGAATTACCTGTCGATGGGCAGTTACCTCAATCTATCCAGGAGAGCAACGTACAACAACCTGATTGGGCTTACCAGGGATCAAAATCCAAGGAGTAGACCGATGCGAAGAAGAATAGCCCGGGCTTTTGTATATCTATTGTACTTGAACAAAATCACTGCTCATACCCCTCTCTAGTATACTGCCTTTTACCTACTAGTAACGATACTATCTAGATGCCGAAGCGGCTCAGATCCTTAATCGTTGGTCGTCCCGATTCACATCAGCACCCAGAGCCCGAGCAGTGCGGAGCCGGGTGGGGATGCCGGAACTCCATATAACCAATTTACTGCAACCTCAACTCCTCCTCCTCCTCCCACCAGCAGCAGAATTCAAGACTTCAGTACCTGTTTGAGAGCGCCTCCAGTAACCTCGACAGTTTTCAACATCCACGTCTAGGCCTTTTCTGTACAAACCACAAAGCATTCTCACACCCCAGACACAAAAGACCCAGATCATGACGAACCCCCACGACCACACCGCCATCAAGAATACAATATCACTCTACTGCATAGCCCTAGACAACAAAGACTGGGAACTTCTCAAACGTGTCTTTGTACCCGATTTAATAGCGACCTACCCCTTCAACTCGACCCCAATCCACGGTCTCGAAGTCTTGAGCAAACGTATCCGGCAACGGTAAGCTTCTTGCTTCCTTTTTTACCTGTACTATGCTAGTCTTGGAAGCTTTTACTGATGAATAGTAGATTGGCAACAGTGACCACTCAACATGCACTCACTACGCAACACCTCCTTGTTAGCAACAAGACGGCGAAAGTTACGACTTATTTCACAGGTGTGCATTTTGGAAGGGGCAAGTGGGTGGGGAAATGTGTGACCGCGTATGGAAAATATATCGATGAGTTGGTTTGTGTGGATGGGGGAGAGGTGGAACTAGAGGAGGGAGCGACGGGGGCCTGGAGGATTATAGAGAGGAAGGTGGTTTTCTTTGGGAGGGTTGGGGAGGAGGGGGTTATGGAGGGGGAAGGGGCGTGATTGTGGGGGTTGGTTATTGAATATCTTAGCGAGGTCTGCACAAGCGAATTCATCATGGCTGTTGTTTTCGCTGTTGTATGCCTTCCGTCGAGGTGGTTGTGTATCGAGGTAAGTATCACCGCATGAAGGTGTATTGAAGGAAGGAAGGAAGGAAGGTGGTGATGCTTGGCAACTGCCAATTGGACTTCCTGACAACAAACTGGACAAAACGTGTGCGGCTGATGTACAACGTCTATAGTGGACCTGGACCTTGCGACACTGACTCGAAAAATCTCGCGAGGACCGAGCATGATGACTGAATTACTAGTCAACGTGTTCGAGATCAGTCACAGCTTTTCAAACGACCTGCGCCACCCCGAATCATTAGACGTGATGGATCTGGATTACAAAGGAACGTATCCGCCCCCTTCGTTACTTGTCTACGCTGGAAGTCACACGAATCATGACTAGTGCAATCGAAGTCGCCGTGTAAAGATATGGTACAATACACACAAACGGAGATGTAACGGCGAGTCGTTGGACGGTTTCATCCTTCGCAGACCTTCAGCTCGGGGTTGAAAAGCCTCTATATTGGCGTCGAGAGAATCTTGGTGCATGCTAAGATGGAGTGCTATAAGAGCAGTAGAGAACAGAACATATTGAAGGCGACCATTATATTCCACACCTAGCAATCCCGCGGACAAGATGCAGGTCTTGTATTTGAGATTCATTTCTTCAATCTTTCTGCTTCTTACCTGCATTTCCCATGTCAGCTCCTCTCCATTGCTAGACGAGCGGGCCACTTCTCCTCAATGCTCGATAACCAATATCGCCATCGTACGCCGAACGGTGCTCGATGAGTCCTACTTTTGTAGATGGTGGCTCTCGGAGTAAGTCTTTCGATAACAACACGTTTTGACTCTTGGGAGTATTCCTGACACTGCCCTCACTCAGCGCTCGTACGAAGTCACCGTTCATGGAGTTCACACCAGATCAAGTCACTGCGCTATGCAAATGCATCACGACAGTGAGCTCCAAGCCGAAGCGTGATGACGATACTTTTGACGAGCAACGACTTGAAAAGAGACAGACACAAGCTTCATGCAATGCTGAAGTGAGCATCCAATTCACCCAACCGTGGCGTTTCTGCACATTTTACAATGGCTTGTATGTCAAGATCCTACATCCCTCGTCGTAGCCTCCAGACTGACTTTCTGTAAAGCACGAGGAAGACTTCGCCTTTCCAAAAATATAGTGCGACTCAGCTCGTCGATCTGTGCAGTTGTGCTCTGCGTCCTGCAATATCTTCAACAAAGAGATTGTCTTCTACACTGAAGGTCACATCGAGCAAAACACCTTCATCCCTGAAGACTTCTTCTTCCACCAGAAGGACATCGTCTTTGCCCAAGACAACATCAACCCGACGAACTTCATCCCCCCAGAAGACCTCATCCACGCCAAGAATTTCCTCCATCAAAGCATCCTCAAGCGTGAGGGTAACAGTGTCCAGCTTGAAGACTGTCTCAACTTCGAGGACGTTGACTAGCTCCAAGCTGTCTTCGAGTAGTGGGAAACTGTCCAGCTCCAAGACACAGCCCGCATCATCGAAGCCTCCCTTTCCCACCTCTCGGAGTTCCTGTTTTACACCTCCTGCGAAAACAGTCACCTCGCGTGTGACACCAACCACTGTCATACATCTGACTTCAACGACTCTTAGCAGACCTTCTGTCTCAACAAACGTGCGTTACATAACGACGACTCTGTCATTGACAGATACGGTACAAAAGACCCAGAAGTCTTTGATGTTTGAAACTGAGTCTGTTTTCGGAGGCTATCAGGGTATCCTTGAGACTTCCACCGTCCAAGATATCTCCACCGTCATTAAAGTGGCGACGGAGACCTTCACAGCGACGACACCTGTCCATATGTTCTCTACAAAGCCAGCAGTCGTAGTATCTACAACATCAACGACTTCCCTAGCATCAAACTCGTCATTGGCAGAAGCAATTGATCCTACAGATTCGTCAACAATTGTGGCACCATCATCAGGCGACCAAAGTCCTCAATCAGGAAACAGCACAAAAGCTGCACTACGTGTCAGGGCTGATTTAACCGTATGTTCTGGTAGGCAGGAGACAAAGACCGTCTTTTTGCATGCCCCAGCCATTACCGCATTGTCTACTGTCACAATCACGCCCAAGGTGTCCATATTGTCGCGGACCAGCTTCGTCACAGTCACTTCCAGAGTCAAGACCACTCGGACTATCTCATCTGGCTCCACGACTACCACCATATCTTTGACGGAAGATCCATACACATATACATACTACACCTACAAGTTTGTTCCCACTACCCTGACCACTACGGCGACTAAAACTATCACTGTCAACACGGGACCAACGCAATGGTGCGAGATGCGCTTGAGGGTTCAAGGCAGCGATATTGACGGAGCGCATGTCTTCATGGACAATGCAAATTTTCACACCGACCCTAACGGACAGGCGACCGTTTTCGGATTGCGAGATGACGGCAAAGTTCTACCGCTCGCCAACGCACTCCCTCAAATCCTGGGCCATGGAGAGGTGTTGTATATGTCGCAAGGCCATATGTTTCCTGCGCTGCCAAACGACCCTCGATTCAACTACATGACCTGTCAAGTGGACATTGACAGTCTCGAGTTCACCTGCACGAACCCAGAGCGCGGCAATGTGTGCAGCTGGTCCAACTTCCAGAATGGCTTGATACTGTGCGGCGATGCCTCTCGTTTTGACGGCTACGGCACGAGCCAATTTAAGCTCGTTGCAGAACCCGTCAACTGTGTATCTTAGACACGGCTAGTGTCACCGCATAGATCTGATTTGACAGCTTCAAATTTGTATGTCGCTGCTGGAAGCTGATATGATATTCATTGCCGCTACACTGGGATTCTGCGCGGCCTCCTTTAAAACCCCATCACAAGGCTCATGTGCTGGCTAGTAGTGGTTGGTAGCCGGAGTATGGCAGGAAGAGACAGCTTGAGGTAGTCGCGCTTCTGTGACTCTACGTATCTTACAAAACTCTTGATCAAAAGCCGCTTTGAGCAGGAGTAGTCATTTTGTGGCTATCACAATTTACTATGACTGTATCTCGCGAGTTTGGCCACCAGGTTGACTGGAAGATTTCATGTATTCTCTCACCACCACCAACGCCAGAATCACGTCTCTACATCGATCAACACTTGATACCATCCAAAGCGCAGGACTTTTGGAAATCACTCAATCAATGTCTCTATGGGAATCTCAAAGAATACGCCTGGGACAATTTAGGCGACTACTTTGACAATGGTCTTGAAATCATGAACGGGCCGGGCCATTCACGCGCGACATCATCGAAGCCACCAGAAACATGGGAAATCACGGCACACCCCAAATGTCCATGTACATCTACCACGGCAAACTCGACCAAGTCTCTCCAGTCGAGAATGCGGAAGCCTTGGTAGAGAATCTCTGTGCAAAAGAGGCTCAGATCCTCTTCGTCAAGGATGTTCTCTCAGAACATGTATTGGAACCTTGGCTGCATACTAAAGAAGTTTTGGCTTTTATGGAGAAGAGGTTTGAAGGTGTTCCTGTTAGAGATGGGTGTCGTAAGGAGTCGGAGCTTGTGCCGGATCTCGTGAGTGGACTTCCTGCAAGGATCTGGAGGGCTGTTAAGAGTTGGTCTTGCCGGCGATTTAACATCTTCTGTTAGACCTCGGAAAAGCCTCCCAAGATAGTGTGTCAAATTTCGAGAATGTCATCGAGGTCCCTTCTCAGACAAACAAGACTCTTATCCTGCCTTGCTCTCTTTCGAGAAGAAATGGAAGCAACCGCTCACCTGGCTACTTGTTGAACATGAATGCGTTTGACCGACGAATCTTCTCGTACGTGCCTTGCATGATAAACTGTTGATCTTGGTCGAAGATCCGTAGAGATCGAGTTGCCGGCTGTAGACTCCCGTAGGCCACAATAGAGGGTAAGAGAAGCGACTGTCGTCCTTGAAAGATGCCGGCATTGTCTGGATCGGCATTTCGAACCTCTCCGACTCAGCATCCGCGGCCTCCATGACCCGCCAAGACGAGATCAAGGTGAATTGCTGTCAGTCAATGACGCCGCCGAAGTTATGTGGGCGGAAGCAATGCCGCCTGAGGCGCTCACTTGACAAGTCTGAGTTAGCCACGAGTCGCCAAGGCCAGTCCAAAGAACAATTCGGGCGCAGCAGGGTCACACGTCAAGGGTGATCGCTCTTGGAGTCATGTCTTTCGGGCGCCTTCTCCGCTAACGAACAAAACAAGAGCCGCCCACGACATCAGTGGTCTTGGTAGACAGATTGAGAGGAAGGGAAAGATTTGAAATCGCACATAGGCGCGCCGCGCAAGCACCTGCATTCGATGGTTTCAACCGTCGCCAAGACAAACCTCTTGGTCCCTGGCGTCTGCTTCGCCCTGCTTCCTTCCGCCTCCAGCATCTCCATCCTCCACACGTCTTTTCGTGGGGTAAGCTATGATATCGCACATCTCGCTATGACGATCTTCTTGGTTCCCATGGTCGGCTTGGCTGTCAAGACGTGATCGCCTACCCAGTGCTTGCACGTCTCACTCTTGTCGAGGCTTTGCCGTTGATCTTGACTTTCCACCCACGACATTGGGGAAAGTCGAAGTTCTTGGGCCCAAGGCATGAGGCAAAAATAGCATTGCCCAGGTTGTCTTGTCAACTGCCAAGTTCAAATCTAAAGAAGTATGGTGGTTTTGAGATGAAAGATGGAAGTGGATTGCACGTTGTTGCCGTGTGCCTAACGATGAGGACAAGGAGAAACCGTGATGAGAAGCAGAGACTCGATCAATCGACAGAGCTCACGGACGAAGAACAGATCAACTGGATTTTATTTTGGAATGCAATAATCAAACCAACACATCATCGCCGAGCATACCTCTGCTCCACAGATAAGAAGTAACTATAACCTTGGCAAATATGTTCCAGATGCCACCGAAAGCACTGCCCAGCCAAACCATATCTTTACCATAAAAGCCCTGCTTGGCAAGATATATCTCTGGGCATAAATCCAATCTCTGACGTGTGCCTTGGGAATGTCTTGGGTAAACAACCTCTTGGACACCGTTGCTCAGGCTTGGTAAGTAAACAGAATGATGCTATGATGGAAGGCAAGATGTATTCCTGGAGATGCGAGAAGACAGTACAAGTATCTGTGTCTGCCCCTGTGGGAAAGTAGATCCTCAATATAACAACTCGACAGTTCGATAGAAACACGACCAGCGACCAATACAACAACCAACACCTCAATTTTACATTACAACACATTCATCATGAGATTCACCGCCGCTACTCTCGCTACTCTGGCAGTCGTTGCCTCTGCCCTGCCCACAGATGTCCACTATGAGGCACCCAAGGGTAAGTTATCATTCCTACTCCACCATATCACAATCATTCTAACATCTTCCAAGGTGGCTGGGAATCAGTCGATTACCCTGAAGGCACTGGTGCAAACCTTCACGAGTACCCTCCTCCTCCCGGCGGTTGGGCATCCGTCGACTACTCCAAGACTGGTGCCGGTGCAGCACCTGCAAAGTGTCCCGAAGCACCCAAGATGGCAGGCTCCCCCTTCACCTTCACCTCCTACTACGAGGTCAAGGCCGTCCCCGGCGAAGTCGTCAACGGCACAACCCCCACTGGTGGTCTCGCCGGTGCTTCTGGCCTCTTCAAAATTGGTCTGAACTCCGAGCTCAACCTCATCTGCTACAACATTGAGATCTACGGCTTCCGTGGCGAGTACAGCTCTCCTGCTGCTACTGCCACTCACATCCACGAGGCCGCAAAGGGTGCTTCTGGTCCTCCTAGAATCGCTTTCCCCAATCCTGTTGATGTTGGTAACGATGTCAGACGCTCCGTTGGCTGCCAGCAGGGTCCCTTCAAGACTGGCCTTATGGCCAATGGACAGGACACTGCTACTGGCTTCCACGTCAGCCAGATTGAGAAGAACCCTGCTGGCTTCTTCGCCGATACCCACTCGAGCTTGGCTGTCCCTGGAGCCGTCCGTGGTCAGCTTGCTTAGATTATGAGCTTTTTATCACGATTTGGAAGAAGATGAGGATGTAACACTAGTACTTAGTTGTACCCAATTTCCATTGATCAGGAAATCTAATTCATAATTTTTCTCCTATGCATAATTTTCCCAGCTCTTGTCCATGTTGTGGTGTGTTGCAACTGAGATGGTTACAATGCTCAGAAGTAGAGCACTTCAGTCCATGCTGACCACTCTCCAAGTATACCATGCGGAGCAGTACGCCAAGTAATATTACAAGTTCCCCTAGACCCTTCGGATACATCCCTGATATCCATATCATGTACCCGAAAATGTTCATTCATAGATCCTTTTGGTGTTCTTACTTCGCCATCAGCAATCATCCGCATCAAAGGTCCTTCTTCCATGTATGCAGATTTAGCGCCTTCGTAGATCAGCATAGTGGCTTCTTCGACTTCAACCAGTCGTCTAGCGACTTTGGCATGAAGACGTGCGTCCCAGAGTCCTTCGCGTCCATTAGTCTCCTCTAAGATGGAGATGGCTTCCCGTCTTGTGATTGGATCGCGGCACTTGATAGCCACGAGATATAGGGGTGGAATGTAGGCCATGTTAAGAGAGAACCGCGATGTATTGGCCATAGACAATGACGCCAGCCTCGAGTGTAAGCAATCTTCCGCATCAGGTGATGGAGTAGCCAATATCCGAGCCCACTTCACAATCGATGCAAAATCAGGAAGATATGCATCAAAGCCTTGCTCCTCCAATTCGGTACATCTTGACAACCATATACATGCGGCAGTTTGTTGTATCCGAAGCATTTTCTCCATCCGATTGTCCTCGTCCTTGAATGGATTGCGGGACTTTACAAGATTGGCCACACTGTTGTTCCAGACGGACAATTCGCTAAGAAGATGGAGTTGGAGTGTCCGAGCTGATAGGGTCACCGTGCCATTCTCATCGTGTTTGCCGTCATGAACCGAGCGAATGAAGTGTAGAGTGGATGCGACAAGCGTGTCGAGCGAGATCTTCGCATGCTCAAAGTCGTCAAAGGATCTAGGCGTATGTAAGGACAGTAGTCTGTCCGTATCATTATACATATTGGAGCCCGGAAAGCCCATTAGTGTGGTTTGAGAATCCAATCGATGGAACAATGGCCGGATTTCTTGCTTGATTGACTTGGCAATTGCATTTGATGATTCCTCCGTCTCCTGATCCAGCAGTTGAGACGATCTGAGAAGATTCAAGCCATTCTGGAGATGATCGACCACCAACGTTCGATTACCATAGATGCATTCCAAAGAGATGAACATGAGACAACATAGTAAAGCGAAATCAATTGCCTTTGGGTCGTTGCTCAGATGTCTTTGCAGCAACCTGATTGCTTCGTTGTAATGTCGAAGAGTGAACTTATGAGGTACTGCACTTTGGACGAGCTGATTATCCCTAGCTTCAGCTTCGAATCGAGCGTGCGCCGAACCGACCGCGATGAGGGCGTGTCTGATGACTGGTTCCGAGACACTTAGTTGCGGCAAAGTAAATGACCAGAATGAGTGACTGAAGATGTTTGAGAGTGCAGGTCCAGTCCGCGTGCTGAAGAACTCGACCCACGGTTTGTCTTCGCTCGACAGTGCTGGTGAGATCCAGGCAGAATCAATGACAAGTGCAGCTGGTGCCAACCGACGCACTGCTCTACTTGTGACTGTCCCTGTAGAAGATTGCCTTCTTGGTGCCGCTGAACATGGAGTCGATTCAGGCTTGTTTGCAGCGGGCTTGATCAGTTTCTTATCAGGCTGCACGGCATAGCCGTCGCATTTGCGACCAGTGTCGGTGCAGCGCTTGCAGAAAGGCCTCTCTTCATCACATTTCACCTTCCTGATCTACGAAAACTGTTAGTTGTCTGTGATGCCCTGACAGTCCTGTCGCATACTTTGCAGGTGATGCAACCGGTCCGGACTTTGAGCTTTCGACTTGGTCGACTGCCATCAGGTGGGGTCGCTGACATATCTCGCGCAAAATGGATATCATGAGACCATACACACAACGACAATGTTCATGAACGATGTTGTCATCTTGGGGACGGACTCGACTGCAAAACGGGAAGAATTGAATATCTTCGTGACGTCCTTCAATACCGGTGAGGATAAACAGCTGCCTGGGATTGAGCGGCAGGGTTTCACGCGGTTCGCCAAGCAATCTATACTTGGGGAAGACTGGAACGGCAAGGTTAACCGATCGCAAGGTCTTCCCGCTTTGACTTGCTAGTCTTTTCCGGGCCCCGCGGGCTCCCCAGTCTGATTGACAATGCGAAAGCTCTACTCGAGCAAATGAAGTCCAGTTGTAGAGACGCTTCTCTTGGGACAGAGCTGCCCTTGTATAGATTTTTCATATGCAAGGTACGCCATGTATCTTGACAAGTGGTATAAATTCGGATGTCATGCATGTCACGAGGTTGAGCACATTAAACTTTATAGGTTAAGAAAACTTGACATGTCAATCGGCTAACCCTGCAACCATGCCACTTCTATCTATCTCGCTCACTCTATTTGAAGTCTCTAAGTCCTCCTGCCACCTGTTGTATCCTGCTATTGCCTCTTCAAACGGCCATCTTCAGATCGGTACTCTCACTCTCTGCGATCGACCTTGGGCTAGCGGTTTCCTGGCTCACCATTCTGATGTGATTGTTATCGCCCTTGTTACTCTTCTTCCAGGTCCAGTTCGCAGCCTTCCAAGACGAAGCGCTACCGAAAGCGATTCCAGGATGGAAGATTGTCAAGGCTATTGTTGCAATGATGATCATTGGTCCTTCAAATCCCATGAACATGCCTTCGTCGTTGGCCAGCTCTCCACCAAAGCCATCTTGAAGCTCAGCGACACGGAAAACGCAGCGAATGTAAATGGTGATGGTCGCTAGCGCAAGCGCGTATGGGAATAGACGGAACATGGTGCGCTTCCTCAGGTTGAAGAACTCGAAGTTCAAGTCGCTCTCTCTTGCCTTTCGTGCTCTGAACACAAACTCCAAGCTTAAAGCGATAAATATCGTCAGAGAGACGACCTGGAAAGCCAGACCAGCGATCATGATGTTGACGCCAGTGTCGGAAGGGTTGGTGTCGTCTTGTGTTGCAGCCAGAGCTCCTCCAACAGCCTGCAGTAGTAGACTGAGGAAATCACAGACCATGAATGTGAGGGTGTAGAACTTTGGAGAGAAGCGAGAGATGCCTTCACCATACACGATGACGATGCGGCCGAGGCAGAGATAGATCGATGCTGTCAGGAATGCTGGTCCGATAGTGAGGCATACGAGGTACCTGAGCAAGTTAGACGGAGCTTCCTGCTCTTGAATGCTGCTACTTACAGCACGAATTGATCGAAGTTGAACGGGTTGCCGTGGAGCGTGACACGACCAGCATAACCAAGTACCTCAAGCAGAAGACCACAGAACATTCCGACAAAAAATCCCCAGGTCCGGTACTTCCAGATGAGGCCCATCTGAGCCAACAGGAAGACCGCGAATATGATGAGATATGCCATGTTGCCTCCGTACGTTGGAACATATTCGATCGTAGCATAGTCCAGCGAACACACACCCAACGTACAGGCGTCCTTCGGGATCAGAGTGCCATTCAGCGCCGGGATGAAAAGGGTGCCGTTTATGACTGTAGCCATGGTTGAAGACTCTTAATGGCTCGGAGAAGGTCGATATGGGAAAAGAAGAGCTCGGGAGTGTATATAGGTGTGGTGATGAAAGTGGGTTATCAAGTGGATGATTCTCGTATGACTGCTGAATTTGGTAGGTTCAACACCTGCTTATATTCTCGCAGACCTACCGTCGTTGAGCGCGTCGATAGGATTTGTATGCGCGGTCATCACAGCTCAGCCTCCCTTGTCTTGTCAGATTCAGGTCAACATGTAGAGACAACTCTCGCAAGGACTTCCTATTCGGCAAGCTAGGCCTTGACACCTCATGTCGACTCAAACGTGATTTTCGGGCCTAGTGATGATTGGTTCACTCAGCAAAACAGCAAGGCTGCAGTTCAAAGAAGACGAAAGCACGGGCAGTGCGGGAGCGGAGGTTTCCTTTTTCGGCAGCGCCCCACAGCTCGCATCGTCTTCTGATTGGTCGACTCGCACTTTTCTGGAAAGAAGGACAACAGCACCAACGACATAACATCAGGGTATCTGCTGCTTCTTCTTGTTTGAAACTCGGGTTTTGCTATGTGCACCGAATGATGAAATCCGATGCCTGTCAGTCCACGCGTCTCCCTCGTTGTTCGTCGTCATGATGTGCGAGCCCTAGATGGTTCACAGACTTGGACGCACTCATTATCTAGACGGTTCCGTACTCTGCCTTCAATAATCCGAACACGCCGATAAACCAACGACTACCTACTCACGAGCTCTTGCGGTCCGCGGAAGCCGAATGGTCCAATCATTGTAGAGAACCATGTTCTGACGTGTCCAAGGAAAAGCCGAAGTGTCGTTGTTGGCAAGCTCTTCCCCTTACTCTTCGACAAGTCGTGAAGAAGAAGGACCAGCTTGTCTCGAGCAACAATATATCAGATCGACGACCCGGCCCAAAAAAAAACAAAGATTGGCTCAGTTCACCACGCTGTATTGCGAAAGACGATTCAGAAACCATTTATGCCCGGCGGTAGAACCTTATCTCCGTCTAGTCCGATACCTCCTTTCTGCTAACCCCGTCTTTGAAACGACGCAAGGGATAAGACACTGTTCCCTCGCGTCCAATAGTGATCAGAATTACTGAATTTTGTTCATTTCAACAAGTCATGACTGACGTTACCCTCGCATTTGACGCCAACGATGCCTCGAACCCTGGCTGTTATGGCCCGTCGCAGACCGCCCTTCTCCTCCTGGACTTTCACACCATGTTTGTACGACACTCCGGACCATCAGCACATTCCGTTGTCACAGTGGCCGCGAGTCTTAGGAGATGGGCCAAGCCTCAAGGCATTCTGGTTATCCACACACTGATCGATACATCAAAATTCCCTCTGCCCACTTGCAAGGACGCAACAAGATACTCCACAATAGTCTCCGCGATGGAATCATCAAACACTGTCGCCGAGCCTTCGGAACTACTTGAAGAACTTGGGGAGAAAGACCTGACCTTCACGCGGCGACCTGGATACATCTCTGCGCTAAAGTCACCTGGACTGACGGACCTTTTGGCAGAGAAGGGAGTGAAGTCATTACTGCTTGCCGGACTGAGCTCTTCAGGATGCGTTTTGAGGACTGCTTTGCAGGCCACAGATGAAGAATTTGTGGTCACGGTGATCCAGGATGGCTGTGCTGACCTCAAAGCGGCGTTGCATGACGTCCTGATGGAGGAAGTCCTGGGATCGAGGGGATATGTGATCACTGCAGACCGCTTCCGAGAAGGCTATGAAAAGATCAGGGGCCTACGCTAATGTTTGCTCCTTGACCATGCAAGTGTCGCTGTGCACAATAAGAAGGCTCAAGGGCCAACGACTCGCTGCGCGGTAACTCAGACAGTGGCTCTATTTGACTGACCGCTACATCTTTGACTCGTCTGATTCTCTGAAATTTGTGCTTCTTTAACTACTTATTTCTACCAGGACTCATCTACACCGTACCCACATTACATTACATTACATTACTTTATACTTCATAGTTACATATCGTCTTCCTCCTTCACAGGCACCTCCGTTGTCCGTACGGTGACCTTGGCACTCTTGCCATGCAGGAACCCATTGGAGGTGTTGTTCGAAGCATTGCCGAAAGTGCTGCTCGACTGGAGCGAGATGTCCTTCGGGGCAGCGCTCTGGGCACCGGTATCATAACTCGCCAATTCAGGCTCCTTGTACATTCCTTTTCGACTCCTTCCACTCTTCTGCAAGAAAAATGGCGCCAGAACTGGAATAGATGCGGCGATGACGACCACATTGATCTCGGCACCCATAACCATAATTAATTTCCCTACTGTTTGTAGGGAAGGTGCGTAGGTGTATAAATCATATACACACCAGATCTTGATTACACTGGCGATAGTGGCGAAGAATGACAATCCCAAGGTCGCGGCAAGACCGACGCGAGCGCGATAGGTCATGACCTTGATAGTCCAGATCACAACCGCGGGAAGGATAGTCAAGTATAGATCCGTAGCAGCGTTGAAGACTACAGCCACTAAAGCCAGGGCCTTGATGATGTCATGGCGGACGCATGAAGACGAGGGTTCCATGATTCCATGCTCCCACAAGTTCGTGAAGTTACCGCATTGCGTGAAGACAAAGATCGTGATGGGTACGTTGACGGCGAGTTGTAGTGCGATGAAGACGTAGATGGTGCATTTCCTCGAGGCAGAGGTCGTGCTAAGGACGCGCAGCATATACAGACAGAACGAGATGCGACTGAACAACGGCGCCATAAAGCCGATGGCATGGCAGATGTAGAGGAACTCTGCGAACTTTGGCGAGTAGAATGCAGTGTGTTGTTTTAGGCCAAGATCGTATAACAAAGTAGCAGATGTCGCATAAGCAACGGCTAGAGCCTAAATGTATAGCGATCAGCAAACGAATGCAACTGCCCTGATAGAGGGTAAGTTCTGCTTACCATTGAGATGATCATCAAATAGTCTTCCCATGCCAGACTGTGGAATCGCACAGATTTCAAAACACTTCTAGCGACGACGATGCCGCCCGAGATGGCAGTCAGCATCCACACAAAGCCGACAATTGCTGAGCCCGCCAGCATCGTGGAGTGTTTGTTGATGCAAATAGTCGATGCTCAATGTGTACGAGACGATGAATCAGCCCTACCGTAGTCGTGCGTCCACGGAGGGGACGACCGCATATTTATCCCGAGCTCGTATACAGTGAAACAGATCCATATTAAGTTCGACCCTTATTGAACGTTGCTACGCAATTCAGGCCTCATTGTTTACCGGCGAAAAAAGGAATGCGGCGTTTCGAAGGAATGGATGGGGTGAGCGTTGGAAGGCACGTTGAGCGAACGTCTTTGTGAACTTTCTCGACAGCCGAATCTGCCGAATTGGCAAGTCTGCAAGTACCTCAACACTGCGATACTGCCTACTGACGCTACTCAAGTAGATTCGATGCTGTGATGATAGACAACTTATTACGGAATTCGAGGTCGCAGTTTATCTGCATGATCATAGCCCGACGAGCACGCTATAACGATCAATGGTGAATCGACGGTCCGTGCGCGTCAGGTGAGAAGTATGGCGGACAGGGCTAAATAAAAATAAAGCATCAAAAGCTCTGTGCAACGGCTGTCCATGTTCGTCGAATCTTACGACGGGAAAACGCTTGTATCGACTCTGGTGTCCTATGATCTCGAAGACTGGCAAGTTGAGCAGTGATGTGATAATGGTTGACTAAATAGATATATCTTTGAATCCTTTGCAGACCACGAACTAGAGTTCTGGTAGTGTCAGAGAAAGGAAACAGTTTATCTCAAAGAAGAACAACGACAAATCTCCAACACTACTTCACGCCCTGGCTTTAGCTCCTTGGTTCAAACGACCATCTGCGACCCTCAATGCGGGGTTCCTCGAAAAGGTGCTCAGTATCGACAAATACGCGTCCATCACCACCTCAGGATCGGTAACCGAGTATCTGCCGCTCTGGGCAGCGTAAGGTGTCGCGCTGTGCGAGACGGCTGCCCGCATCTGTTCCCTCACGGCTACGAGAGCTTCGCCGAAGGTCTTGTCAGAAGTATAACCCACACGTAGTGGGAGGAACGTGGCAAAGAAGCCCATTGTGGCTTGGTCTGTGAGTGTAGAGCGATTGGTATCCGCCACGCCTATAGCGACATCTAAGGTGCCGGTTATACGAGCCAGAAAGACATAGTATGCAGAAAGGTAAAATTGCATCGAAGTAGTCTTGTGCTTGCGACTGCGGTCTTTGATTCGTACAGCCACCATGGGATCAAGACGTGCCGATACCTCATCCTCATTCCAGGCCAGACAAGTCGTGGGCTGCTTGCAGGGGACGTTCACGAGTGGCTGCTTGGCCGGCAGCGTCTCGAAGAGTTTTGACCTGTACGAGAGATCTTCACTCAGCTCTCCAGAATCTAGCCCCTTTCTCTGACAAAGGGCAAATCGGCATAGCTCTGAGGCGATTCGAGCTCCATGCCCTGATATATTTGACCAACTTCCACGAACGCATGTTCGGTAGTCCACCCATCACCTACCAAACGGTGATATGCAAAGACAAGCAGAGGGTCAGTGGGTGACCAATGATATTCAACTACCTTCAATGGATCGCCAACTGCCACGTCGTAATGGTACATCTCAATTTCGGTGGCGCCTTTCTCGGCAGCTGCCTTGTCTGCGACTCTCACTGCCTCGAAAGCCACCTTTGGTGACCTCATGATGGACTGCATGATCTCCGCTGGATTACTCGGATCTGGAATGAAACATGTCCGGAACGCATCATGGCGTTGTAATACTTGGTTGAAGGCCCAGCCCAGTCGATCCAAGTCAAGTTCGCCATGCATATGCATGCAAATCGTGGTATTGAAGGTTGCAGTGTCGAGACCAAGCTGTTGTTGCTTCCACGTGTACTCTTGCGTCACAGATAGTGGCGCGGTTCTTTCGACACCCTCAAGCTTTCGATCGGATGGTGATGGTGAACTGATCCTTGTCACTTGCATGATATCTTTCGTCGTCAAGCATGACATCAGGATACATTTGACTCCATGTCCACTTCGAGAACATTTGGTGATCATCCGCGGCTGTTGGAGAAGAGAACGGCTTGAAGCTGAGCCCTTCGAGATGAATCAGAGGTGCTCGAGTCTCCGGGTCAAAGACCTCGATATCACCAGCCGGTCGACTCCTTTTGAACTCGTGACTATGTAGCCAAGATCATCAGATAACGAGTGAATACGACTGGCGACCCACGGATTGAGAGCAACTCTCCCGATGCCTTTAGGCACAAGGAGACTGCGAAGACGTCTGTCACCGGGGGCAGTGTAGGCGCTAATGAAGGTCTGGAAGGCGACGTCAAGAGTCGCTGGATGCATTGCAAGCTCGCGATGGTTGTCCTCTAGGCGTTGGAATTTGATAATACCACAGTCTTTGCTATCGCTACGTCTGATACTGCTGACACCGCGGAACTCTTTCGTGTAGCCATAGCCGACGCCATCAAGCATGTGATAGAACCTGTCAGTACTGACCTTATTCATATGAGGTGGCTCTGCTGGGCTCCTCGGCAGTGCGTCTGAACTACCCGGACCAAGGGTAACGACGACAGTGCCTGCTGCGGAGCTAGACATACTGGTCTCTCTCACGAGACAAGAGTTGATGGTGAACTTGAAAGTTAGAGAATTATTCGTGCACTCGTCTGAGTTCGCAATGAGACTCAGATGAAATTTAACTAGGCTGTTCTCGTCCTCAAACATGACAGCCTTGTCAATGACAAGGTTAAGCACCTCCACAAGCTGAATCTCTTGATTCTCAGCTTGATGAAGTGCTGCTTCAATTGCCATGACCACATAACCTTCACCAGGGAAGACAGTTGGGACAGGGTTGTGCCGCAGACAAGCTGTTTTAAGGTCGACGACGATGTTGCGGCCGTAGCTCGATGTATTTTTCGATAACAAGACTTCTAGATCACTTACCAAAGCACGACGGCAAGTCATCAAGTGCGTGGGTAGCTTCAATATCCTGTCATGTATAAAAACCACTTTTCGAATATGTTTTGTCAGCTGTCTGCACTCATACAACGTCAGATTTCACTACGGAGGATTGAATCACAGTCACCGAGGTCATCGGCAGCGATATCACACAAAAGGCACACAGGAATACACGGATAAATATGAATGACCAAAACCCACACAGTAGGAATAGACAATCTCACAGGCTCATCAATACAAAGATCGTACATTTAGATCGCGGCATCAGGGTGACAATCTATACATGCCATTTTGGCCGCGAAAAGTGTTCTCTGCCTAAGAAGCCAGGCTGACCCCTTCTAGAGCTTAATAACGCATTTCTCTCCTGAGAGTTCTCCCGCTTCAACCAGCTCCAACCCGTTAATCACAGCATTTATACCACCATCCAAAATATGCAAAGGATGATGCTTGAGCTTGCCCTCGTCGACCAGCTTCTGCGCGATACTCCAGAGCTTCACACCATACTGCTCGATCTCCTCACTGGGGGGTCTGCCATAGCATCTTCTGAAGAACGATTTCGAGTTCGTTTTCACGATGGACCATCGCAATGCGCTGCCAGACCAGGTGTACTACCCACATTTCAAGAAGAAGAGCCCTATTACTGCTGATTCGGTCGAGAAGACAAGTTTATTGACGAGAGTTTCGAACGAATCAACGAGTCAGTGCACGATGCAGTCACGCAATGGAACGCCACGGAAACCAATCCTGATGCAAAGATAGTTGGTGCGATTGGGTTTTCAGAAGGAGCACTCGCAAGTACATTCATGCTGTGGCAGCAATAACAACAACAACAGCAACAACGACAACAGGAAAAAGATGCTGTAGCGTGGCTACCCGAGTTGCCTTTTGCTGTCATGTCGTGCTGCTTCTTTCCGAACGAAGCGGCATTGTAATTGAACCAGGACGCTCAATCTCATGGCCAAAAGACGGCGCAAATCAGTGTTTCCACACTGCATATCCATGGCAGCAAAGATTATCACTCGCCTGGGCACGTAGACTTGTCAAGCAACACTATGAGCTCGGAGCGGCCTTCGTAGTGCAGCCTACAAGCAAGGCTGATATCGAAACGGTCATAGGGTATATCCTGGATTTGTCCACGCGCAAGGCTCGAAAGGATAGTGCTACGATTTGAAGCGCATTTGTGCCGCCAAGAATGGCGATGTTGTGTCCTTCAGCCTTAGTCGTCGCTGTGTTCGTGATTTCGCGTCTGAAGTGGATTATCGAGCGTGGCAGACTGGGCTGAGTTTTTGAGCGTCGTAGAACAGCGCGACTGCATATCGACGACCTTGTTAATGTGTGCTGTCCACGAAGAGAGAGGCATGTCGAGGAAGAGTTTCGGTCGCGTCTGCGCGTCTGAGTTGCGGAGGCACCCGTGCTTTCGGAGTCAGCCGCTTAGACGAGTCGCGATCGCATTTGCTTCGCGTCACTGCACCTTGGTCGTCGTTCGCCGAAACGGATATCGCACTCAGCAATGGAGTGGAAGGCGTCGAAGGTTACCTGCCGAACAATTGAATTTGAAGGATGCTGCTGTGTGAACATCATGTCCTCTCGCTGAGTGGATATCGGTTCCTGCTGATGGACACGCCGAAAACGCCGAAGCCTTGCCTCCAAAACCGGATTAGCCGGTGGCCATACAGACTGGTGACAGTCATGCAACAAAGCGGTAGTGACAGGCTCGTGTGTGCATGCGCCTTCATACTAACTCAACTCTCGCATAAGAATCAACGCTGATGCCAGCAAGGTTCGGTCGTCCGCATCAGCCCAAAAGGGGTCTCGGTAGCAGACTATGAATCCCTCAGGCAAGTTTTCAAGACTGTTGGTGGGTTTCTCCAACCAGAGTCCTACAAGACTTCTACCGCGGAGCCAACGCCCAGTGTCTTTACCACGACCGATCTTGTGTATCATGCGAAGTTTCGCAAAATGCTTGCACCTGCCATGCCGGAGTCCTGTTTGAACAAGCTTCAACCTGGTGTTCAGGCCAAAGTCGATCTCGTGATGGCTGGTCTTAAGCGGGAGACAAGTTTGAAGGGCTATATGGATCTCGACAAGTGGAACCATTTCTATGCAACAGACGTTATTGCAGATTTAGCGTTCGGCCAGTCATTCAAGACCTCGGAAACAGGCAAAGTAAGGCAAAGATGGTGTCTAAGGTGATAAAATATTGATCCATGTGCAGGATCATCAGTACATCACAGACACGCAGGCTCTGATACCTTACAATATACTGCGAGCTACAGTGACCGGGAGATCACACGCAGTCACTCAGAATTGGCCGATCTGGCCATTTACTACCATCGAGAAAAACAACACCTGCCTGATCGACTATGCGAAATAATCTCTGGTCAAGTACAGGAACCAGTCAGCACACTTCAATGATCCAAGGCCAAGTCTCTTTAGTACGATCATGGGCGATAAAGGTCAGGAAGCTGCAGTCACTGAAGATGACCTTGTATCCAATGCAAAGCTGTACTTGGTTGCTGGAACCGATGCCCTTGCAATCACATTGACGTATCTCTTCTGGGCTCTTCTAGGGAACAAGCAAGCGCGCGCGCCTGGTTGGAGACATTGCATTCGCTAGTCCACCGTCCAAGCCAACGAATGATCAGCTGCGCAGCAAACCGTATCTGGACCACGTAATCGACGAGACACTTCGACTGCATTCTGTTATTGTGGGCCCGCTCCCTCGTGTAGTCGTGAGTTCCAAGTGATTATACAGACAGTCTATAAAATCGCGCTGACAGAATTATCAGCCTGAAGCTGGCCGCGTGCTAGGCAATCAACTTATTCCTCAAGACACCACTGTCAATCCCTTCACGTGCCGCCTCCAACGTAACTCGTATCTTTTACCCAGCCCGCTTATTTGGAACGGAGATCGATGGGAGTCTGCTACACAAAGAATGAAGCACTCAATTTACGCATTCGGTGGTGGCAGTCGCGCGTGTGTGGGCAGACATCTTGCTAGAATCGAGCTTCGTATGGCAGTAGTTGCCTTTCTACGTACTTTCGAGGACGCAGAGCTCGCTTATGGCGTGGAAGGATTCGGTCCACAAGGCATGGACATCGTTGAGATTATTGTCGCCAAACCTGTGGCGGAACAGATGCTATTCAGGTAGAGATTGAGTCAAGCCTCACAGATCTGGATATTCAGCCAGCCCCGTCTTCTTGCAGTAAAATGTGCGGCGTCCTTAGCCCCACTCCGTGTGCTGAATTCTGTCACGTCCATCCAGTTTCAATGATCAGAGCGGAGCAACGAGAAGCCGTAGCAATGCACAGTCATATCTTAGATCGACACGTCCATTGCAGGGAACCTCCAAAAGGATGTATCTCGGTGCGATTGCTCCACATACAAGAAGGGTTATGTCTTGAGACAGCTACGGGTGTGACAGTCTTCGCGCACGGGGAGGCCGGAAGAAGTGAATTCACCACCGGAAAATCTTGCCCAGCAGTCTATCTGGCAAAAGGTAATTACCGTTATCTCCTTGAGAAACCTACACATGAAGTTGTGGAACTCGTGTTGGGTGGAGGAAGTGTAGAATGTTGGTATCGTTAGTAACAACCCCTGGCGCTTCACCCTACCGGATGACGCGTCGACGTTGTTCGTCCAGCACCGCAAGTCGGGAATAGGTGCATGATGTAGCGACGTCAACGCTTGATCGCACCAGCACCACATGGACAGTAACGTGCCAACGTTGCAACGTCGCTCGCTCGCGGGTATTGCTTTCGGAGGCCAGAACGGACTTCAGCTATGCTTTCTGGCGGAGCGAGCGCCAATGTATCTACGCACTCATCAGACATGTGTAGCAGAGTCGAGTATCCCCTGGGCCCAGTTGACGAGTTCTCACCACCGGTGAATATCATAGGGGGATATGCCACTCAAGCTTGCAGAGGTGTCACACCGACTGCATCGGTCACGGATCATCTTAAGACGTACGTCGGACGCATGGCATGTCTCGAAAATCACGACCAGTCGGATCTTCTACAGAAAGCTGTTTGTATGCTTGAAGCTGCTCACTGCTCAATAATCCAAGCGCGAATCATATTTGAAGCTGCTTTCACATGCGCACCCTGATGAGGTGCAAGGGGCTCGGTGCTGCCGGTAAATAGAGTTTAACAGCCCTGAATGCCGACTCTCCGGATTTTTCTCGCCAGCGGAAAATACGAGCATGGAGTTCCTGCCTAAATCTATTGCAAAGCAATGAGCTTATACATTTATGTTCGATATAGATATCATGCCAGATTGACCATGTATAACAAATCTAAGAAAATATCGACGTCTCCTATGCGTTGAGGTCTCTGCAATACTCACTGAGGTACTCAGCTTGATGGGCCATCATCGAACGAGCGGCAAGAACGACCGTTTGCTCAGCTGCCGCAAGACACGTGCCGTTTCAAAACGTCTACAACATATCGTATACCTCCCTCGTCTGCTCAAGATGTCTGTCGTACCCAGCCATCTGTAAGCTGAATTCTTGGATTCATTTCCACAGGTAAAACCGATATCATAATACCGTTCCTCAGCACCTCGTATGAATTGCATTGAGAAGACTCCTGTATTAGGAGAATGGCTACTCCAAGGAAGCTATATAACATGTCGTCCCTTCTACGATAGTCAAAACCATCACACAGCGACTTCGTCTCCAGTACAACAGGGATAATCGACTTCCCTCTCCACACTCGTTTATACTTTCCTTTGCCAAACATGGCTCTTTCGTTGTTGGCCTTGGGCCTACTTGGTCCTGCCGCTTTTGTGGCAGCTTCCCCTGCACCAAAGGCTGAGACTCTTCAGACTTTGACCATTACGCAGACCACGACTTCGACCATCACCAGCTGCCCTGTCGCCACCGTCTCTCTCTGTGCTGCTTCTTGCGTAGCCACACCCTACACTCTGGGTGTCAACATCGGCTATGCTACCAACAATGACATTGTTAGCACCTCCACTCGCTATGTTATTCCTGCTGCCAGTCAAGGCTCTGGTAACAACCAGGGCTCCGGCAATGGCTCAGGCACGACTGTCACTGTGATCAATGGCAAGACTATCACCGTGGTCAACAGTGCCGCCACTACCATGCCCACTGGTGGTGCTTACACCACCAACGTCGTCTATCCTTCCTCAGTCACTTGCTCTGCAGGCGAGACTGTTGTCGTCAACGGCAAGACCATTGTTGTTTCCTCCTCTACTGTCATTACCGATTGTCCTTGCACCAAGGCGACAACTGTTCCCGCCGGACCTGTTTACACTCAAGGAGCTGTCTACAGCACCAACGTTGTCTACCCTTCTTCTGTCACTTGCTCGGCCGGAGAGACCGTCGTCATTGGTGGAAAGACCATCGTCGTCCCTGCTTCAACTGTGATCACCGACTGTCCCTGCACAAAGGCAACCACTTTGACCGTTGGTGGTAGCTACACCACCAACGTGGTTTACCCCGGCTCTGTTACATGCTCTGCAGGCGAGACCATCATCGTCACCGGAGTCACCACAGTCGTCCCTGGACCTACTGTCATCACCGACTGCCCTTGCACCAAGCCTACGACGATCACTGTTGCAGGTCCTACATCGACTGCACCTGGCACTACCATCACCAACAGTGCTGCTGCATCTTCTGGAGTATCTTCATCAGGCTCCGGCGCGTCATCAATCGTGTCTTCCGGCGTCGTGTCAAGCTCTGGTGCTAGCGTTATCGCCTCTGGAACTTCGTCTGGAGTGAACCCTTCGAGCACTGCCACTGCTGTTGCTCCCTTCCAGACAGCTGTCAACGGTATCAACTTCTTGGTTCAAGACGGTATCAACTACAATGGAACTCCCTTGAGCATCAACGCCAAGAGACAGGCCGTCGCTACTGTCGCCAACTGCTTGAACACTTGTGCAGGCTCGTCTTCCTGTGTTGCCACTTCGTTCAACAAGAACACTTCCACTTGCTTGTACTTCAGCGCTATCGACCAGAGCAGTCGCCGTGCCGAGACTAACATCACCTTTGCTATCGCCACCTCTCGCGTCGTTGTTCAGTCATCGTCCATCGTACCTTCCGGCAGCATTGCTCCTTCTGGCAGCATGAGTGTCTCGCAGACTTCGTCCGGAGTTTCCTCGATTGCATCTCAGTCAGGATCTGCTGTCTCCTCGTCTGCATCTCAGTCAGGATCTGCTGTCTCCTCGTCTGCATCTCAGTCAGGATCTGCTGTCTCCTCGTCTGCATCTCAATCAGGATCTGCTGTCTCCTCGTCTGCATCTCAATCAGGATCTGCTGTCTCCTCGTCTGCATCTCAGTCTGGTTCGTCAGCTGTACCTTCGTCCTCAGGCTCCTCAGCTATCCCCTCCTCTTCCGACTCCTCAGCTATGCCTTCATCCTCCGGCTCTTCAGCCGCACCTTCATCATCTGGAGTTTCCAGCGAGACTCAGTCCGCCTCATCGTCAGCCGTAGCATCTCAGTCTTCCTCAGACTCGTCCGCCTCTTCGGGATCATCCGCTTCCTCGACTTCGAGCTCTTCGATCGAGTCTGCTTCTGCTTCAATGTCTGAGTCGGCTTCAGGCTCTTTGACTCAATCATCTGCTTCGTCTGGAGCTGAGAGTGCTTCCTCTTCAGGTACTGTCACCTCAATGTCTAGCGTCAGTGCTAGCATCACCTCCTCGGGCACGATTTCCTCATCTACTGGTGTCACCACAACCGAGGCAGCTCCTACTACCGCACCTACTTTGGAGGTCTCCAGCGAACCCCTCCCCTCTTGCGACAGCACCAGTGGCTCTTCTACCACACAGTGCGCAAGCGACTCAGGCACCGTCTACGCTGTTACCGGAGGCACTGCTTACGTGGGTCAGTCTATCGATACCTCCAGCGTAACCCTCGACGATGATGGCAACGAGATTGTCACTGGCGGCAACAGCACTACCCTGTCCAAGCGTGCTTTCGCACCTTCCATGAGAGCTTGTCTTCGTTTCTGTGACCGCTTCCCTGGTTGCAAGGGCGCCAACTTCTTCAAGGGCGGTCAGTGCACACTTTTCAGCAAAATCACCGGTACTACTCCCAACCCTAACGCTTTCGCTGCCATCTTCGTCGCCACAGCTCAGCAAGCAGCTCAATCCAGCGCTCAGTACACAGCTACTGCAAGCTTGACTTCATCTTCTGTTGCATCTGTGTCAGCAAGCTCGACCTCATCTTCTGTTGCATCTGTGTCAGCAAGCTCGACCTCGTCTTCTGCTGTCGTTTCATCCAGCGCTACTTTGTCCTCAAGCAATGGTGTCTCATCTGATATCTCCAGCTCGACTTTGTCGTCTGCTTCTTCCATGGTGTCGACTCCTGCCAGTAGCAGCTCTGTCGTGTCTTCATCATCGAATGCCACTATCGCCTCGTCGAACAGCATTGTTGCATCCAGCTCGGCACCTTTCAACTCTGGCAACAGCACCACATTCGCTGGCCCTACTGGTACCGCCATTTCGTCGAGCAGCGTCCCCGTCGAGACCAGCAGCAGTGCTCCCTCATTCTCCATGGGTAACAGCACCACTTCCGCTGGACCCACAGCTCCTATCGTTGTCGCCTCCTCGTCAACCAGCGCATCTATCGAGACTAGCAGCAGCATGCCTTTCCCCGCCAACAACAGCAGCGACATTGCCGGACCCACTGCTGGATCTACTGCCATCGTTTCATCAAGCACTGCCTCGGTCACCAGCTCTTCAAGCTCTGTGCCCTTCCCTGCCAACAACAGCAGTGACATTGCCGGACCCACTGCTGGACCTACCATTGTCTCATCGAGCTCTTCGTCGATTATCAGCTCGTCCAGCTCTGTGCCGTTCCCTGCCAACAACAGCAGCGATATTGCCGGACCTACTGCTGGACCTACAGCCATTGTGTCGTCAAGCACTGCCTCGGTCACCAGCTCTTCCAGCTCTGCTCCCTTGTACCCTGTAGGAAACAGCACTATTTCAGCTGGCCCTACAGGAACAGGTGCCCCAAGCGAGCCCACCGTCTCAAGCTCCAGCAGCTCTGCTCCCTTCTACCCCGCAGGCAACAGCACCACATCCGCCATGCCTGAGGGAACTGGCTCTTCGGGCTCTTCTTCAGTCTCAAGCTCTTCCAGCGCCGAGCCTACCTTCTCCGTTGACAACAACAGCACCTCCACTAGCACTACTGCCGGAATCACTGGCACTGGCGTTTCGGTCGTCTCTCCCACCGTCATCAGCTCGTCTTCTGCACCCTTCGGCAACAGCTCCACCATTGCCTATTCTCAGCCTACGGGTGGACTCAAGAAGCGCTCGCCTGTTTACTATAAATTTGGCCAAAACTAGAGTAGATGGATAGATATGGGGTTGTCTCTTTCTTATTTCTTTGTTCTTCTATGTCTTTGTAATCTTTCTCTTCTCTAACCCAACACTTTAATCAACACACCTTTTTTTCCCCTCGAATACTTTCGCTTCGTGATTGTAGTGACTGTTTTATGCTCTATACTGATAGTGCTCTACTTTGAGCTTTATATCCTTTGTCTCAAAGAAATGATTGTTAATCGAGTCCCAACCGTGTCATTACGACTTTTATTGAGAGAAGTTGTGTACATCTCCCCAAATACGTGCCTAAGAAAGCTTGATCCATCTCTCCATGACAACCGTTCGCCATGTCCGGGCCTCTCTCACTGGCAAGACCAAGTATCAGCATCATTAACATCACCCTCTCCACTCCACTTTTGCTTCTTCGGCCACATACACAACGGTCTCTGCCTCAAGACCTTGTCCTGCAGCGTATCGTTAACCCATTTCGTCGCCACGATTTCCTCTGGCGCAACACCCATTTCCACCCACTGCATGACAGCAAGCAAAATATCGTGTTTAGCATCCCTAAACCCGGGGACACCAGAAACACCAGACCCAAGTGTGGCGGCTTGATTAGCGCCTGCAAAGTACCAAGGCGCGTTTATATTGCTGGGTGTAGCAGTGCAATGTTGCATTCCCGGCACGAGGAAAAAGCGATAAAAGGAATCTAGATTTATGCCTTTGGGGGCCAATGTGCGAAGGATTTGAGAGTGTAGGTATACGGAGGAGCCGGTGGGGATTAGACCGTCACTCATACCGTGATAATGGAGTAATTTTCCTCCGCGGGCGAGGAAGGGGGAGAGGTCGAAATCGTCTGCTGTGGCGTTTCCGGGGTCTGTGGCGTCGGCTTGTTGGATTACTCCATAGTCGAAATCTTGCCATTGCCAGGAAGGACCGCGATTCAAAAAGTATTGGATGTAGTGGGGGCCGAGGTTGTTGGGGGTGTTGGAAGTGCCGCCGAGGAGAGGGATCCATTGGGCTTCACTGCCTAGCCAGAGGTGAGGGAATACAAAAGTCTGATTAGTATCGACGTAATCGCTGTAGATCTGATGCAGGGTGTTTAGCTGTACAGGGGTGAGGCAAGAAGTTGTTTTGTTGGGTGTGCAGAGGAGGTAATCGGGGTTAAAGTCGCAGGCGTTTGGGTCAGAGACGATTGTGTCGATTACACCATCTGCGCCGTCGCATTGACGCATTACTTCAGCGCCGATGGCTGGGAAGAGGGAGGGAGGGATGTGGTGAGCTGATGTGTTGGGGAGGTTGTAGCTTCCGACTTTGGAGGTCCATGGTTGGAGGTGGTTTGTCCACCATGCGGGTGCTCCGGCTACCACACCATCGAAGTCTTCGGGGTAAAGTTGGAGGTTTCGAAGACCTTGTCCTAGAAGCGAATCATGTCAACATGGATTCATCTGTGTATATGTATGTTCGAGGCACTTACTGCCACCAGTGGAGCATCCACTGTAATAACTGTAGAGGATATCATTCGCATAGTATGCAGTCGTCAGTTGCTTGGCGAGAACGGTCGAGCCATGCATTGCGCGATATCCCCAGTCCAAGACGGCACCTTCATTATGATAAGCCCACGTGCCGTTGTTGTTCAAGCTGTTGTGTCCAGTATCCGTAGACATGACAGCAAAGCCATAGCCCAGACCAGCTCCCTATCTCAGCGTCAGCTTTTGCACCTACTCGAGCTTCTAAGAAGACTCACCATATCTAGCCAGTTGATACCGCCAGCAAAGCCACCATTTCCAACAGCACTACACACGTGTCAGTAGTCTGTGGATTAATCCGAGTTCAGTAGAGACTAACAGGAATCTACCATTCCAATCATCAGGTAAAAAGACACCAAAGCCATAATTCGAGGTACCGTTCTTGACCGAGACTTGAACTGCACATGCAGCCCTCAATTGAGTCGGTGAAGTCGGATACGCAATATCAGCCTTGGGAACAGTAAAAGTCGAATTCGCAGGCATCCAAGTCGCAAAGTCCACAGTAGCAAGAGACGAAAAGGCAGACTGCAAAGAGTCCTTGGAGCAGTCAATGGCTGTCACGCTAGATGCCAAAGCCGCAACAGCTGCGAGACGGGTCTGTGTAGTTTTCATCGTGGACGTAGAGCGGGAACGGGTGCAACGAAGAGCTTGTTTCGAGCAGGAGTATAGGTCGTTCTTATACTCTCGGTCTTGCCCGGCAGCTCGCAGCTACGAAATTGCCGGCTACGCAGTCTAGCCATGCCGTCAATGATGATCTGCAAGATGGTTGTCGAAATTGCTGCGTCAAGGGCTCGAAAAGTGGAGCTTGATGGAGTGCATGTGTGGGGATTGTGGAGAAGGACAGGGTGCTGGATGTCCTCGAGACTCCAACACTGCTTTGTGCATTGCTACGACAGTGCCATTTGGATAGACTATTCTGCGCTGGTGATACAATGGCAGCTAAGACACTTGTCGTCCTACAATTGTTCAATGGTTTCTATCAAAGTCTGTCATAGCTCTTTTGACGATCCTGACCGTAAAGAGGTGGTAAATTAGGGCGTGTGCGGGTACGGCCGAGCGAGTTTCCAGCGGGGTCAATGTTGCCGAGCAGATACAGAATGCTTCCTTGCTTCTTTCATTGGAATCATGTTCGGCAAACCAACCTACAAGACGACTTTGCACTTATCCTGAAGCTGTATTGAAGATGACTGAAGCCATACCCGTGAGAAGAGCGGAGCATTCCACCGCATCGAGAGCCTAGAGGAGGAACAAATGAAGATCGAACAGCAAGACGTGATTTTGATGGCATGGCTGAGTCGGAGCTTCATACTGGCAAACACAGCCTGCTCAGGTCCAAGTCTTCTTCTGAACAACATCAGGCACGGGCGATGCGAGTGAGATGGGGAGTAAGGTAGGTAGAGGTGTAAAAATGTCTTGTATTTGGATTGGGTATCATTGCAATGCGTTATTCACGAGGCGCAGAGCTCGTTCTGCCGCCTCGGTCCAAAAGGGGAAATGCCAAATGTCGGAACTGGCGCAACTTTTCATGCTGGCCGCCTGTCGTAGAGTGATGCGCCGGTGTATGCTGACTGTAGGTTGATTGTTCCAGCCTCTTTTTCAACTCCGGGGCACCCAACTCGGTCGTGTGTGGATGAGTTTTTGTTTGAGCGAGGGGCGCCATCTTCTTGTAGCGGTCTGGTGTCGAGCGCTTACTTGAACTCGTTGGGCCAGCACTTCTCCTTGGTCCAGACATCGGGGTGGGTGCTGGCGTGCTGCTCGAGGATGGCGAGGTTGGAGCTGGTCTGTGATGGGTTTGGGGTCAGCGAACGGACAGATGCGAGAAGACGGACAAGACTCACCAACTCCTTCTTGCAGAAGACGCAGATAGACGTGGCCTTGGGCTTCTTGACAGGAGTGCCGTTGGGGTTGACGGGAATGCGCGTGCCAGCGGCCTCGGCCTTCTTGTGCTCGCGGTGGATACGGTCCTTCTTGGAGATGGGCATCTTGAATCTGTGTCTTGCGTGATTGGAATTGTGATGGAGGACGAGGCTAAAAAACTGCAAGGATAAGCATCGAAGATTGTTGACTTTTGCTTGGCGGACCCTGTTAGATTGTGCTTTTCTCTCCTTATCTTATCGCCGTAAGTAATCAAATGCCAAGCCGTCATTGCGCGTCAACTCGTGATACCTCTGCAGAGAGACCGCTCAACGGTGATGTCTGTTTTGCTTTGTGCGAGCTGACATGCCGTCTCTTGACATCGCCGGAAGCTGTCTAGTGAGGTGGTCCGCCTGAATACATCTCAATATGTCTACGAAGTGATACACGCTCATCTTTGGGCATTAACGAGAGTCTGCCGACTGAGCACTGGACTCGATGCCACGCGCCAAGTATGCAGAGCATTGGCAGAGTCGTCACTCTCATCCACCGCAGCATGTTTCATGCCATCTGCTGGCCCATGGCATGTGTCGATCCCTCAACAATCACTGGCTCCTTGCAAATGCAACCTCTGTCATTGGCTCGGCTTTGGTCATCAACCACGCTCCATCAAGCATATTGCATCAAGTCTCACAGTCTACGCGACCATCTTTACGTAGCGATGGCTAAGATGCATTTTACACGCAACCTTGCCCTGACCCGTCGCTGTCTGAGGCCGCGATACACAGTGCCTGGTGTGTCCAGACACTGACTACATGGCAAAAACAGTCGTAGGCTTCCTGTCGTAAATCGATTCGAACTTTGGCAGTGTTCAGTTGTAAGTCTATATAAGGTCGCTCTGTTTGCTACCGATCGATCTATCTATCAGTCAACTTCTTCAATCGATTGATTCTATCGTCTCCTCTATTCATATCATCATGGTTCAACTCTTCAAACTCGTTGGGACTATTGCCGCCACTGCTGCCTTTGTTGCACCGTCCATTGCCCATCCGGGCGAGCACCACGATCACGATGCAATCAAGGCCCAGATTCAGGCTAGAGAGAGACTCGCCGCGAAAGTCAGGCGCTCCGTTGATGCTTGCAGCGAGAGTAGCGACCATCTCCAAGTTTCAGCTCGCTCTGCCGCTCGTCGCTCCAAGGTCGTCAGAGAACTTCGTGAGAAGCGCGGAATCAATGCTGCTCCCCAGAAGTTCAAGCGTGACCTGGCGACCCTCGAGAAATTTGACGCGCTTGACCACAACCGTACCGATGTCCTTCATTACGATATGAACACTCCAGAGAGCATCGTCTTTGGTGCCAACACCAGCTGTGTGTTGAGCCCAGAAGTCACTGATGGTCCCTACTATGTGACTGGCGAACAGATCCGCAGCAACGTCAAGGAAGAGCTCTACTGCGAAGGTGTCGACCTGTTCCTTGAAGTTCAGTATATCGACATCAACACTTGCCAGCCTGTTCCCGACGTCTGGGTTGATATCTGGAATGCAAACGCTACTGGCGTCTACTCTGGCATATCTACCTCTGGCAACTATGCCTCAGGTGGGTATAACTCTACCTACCTTCGGTAAGTTTATGTATACCGTTCACTCTCGGTAACCAAAATCTAACCCGACTCTCAGGGGTGTTCAGCCCACTGATGGTGACGGCGTCGTCCACTTCGAAACAATCTTCCCTGGTCATTATGATGGTAAGCAAGCTTCAATTGCCGTCTTACTTACAACTGACACAAGACTTTAGGTCGCGCGACCCACACTCATCTTCTCTCACACATGAATGTAACTCGCTTCCCCAACAACACAATCTCCGCCACGAACAACATAACTCACATCGGCCAACTATTCTGGAACTCTGAGCTTCGCGAAGCAGCCGAGGAAGTCTACCCATACAACACCAACACTCAAGTAGTGACCAGCAATGCAGATGACATGTGGGACATTGTTGCTGCAGGCACGACTTTTGATCCTTTCCCGGAATTCATCTATCTCGGTGACGATATCTCTGATGGTCTCTTTGCTTGGATCCAGATTGGCATTGATCCTACTGCCAATTATGTTGATGACGAGTATTACGCTGTTGCTGCTTACTTGGATGCCGAGGGTGGACATGCTTCGTCGAGCTCATTTGTTGGGGGCGACGGAGGTGAGGGCATGGGAAATGGCACTGCTCCTGGTAGCGGAACCGCGCCTAGCAATGGCACTTCATCCGCAGTCGTAGCTTGAGCGCAGAATACGCAATTCGAAGCTCGGTCAATATGGCTAAAATCGTGTCCCTTTTTCGTAGACCTTCCGTTTTCGGAAGTCGATCATCGTTTGTCGTATATCGTTCACACGAACACGAACGCATCGTTCCAGCACGATGGCGCAGTCACTTCACAGTCGCTTCAATTTTCCATCTTGATCCCTAACCACTACAGTCCATACCAATGACGCAAAAGTGGACGATAGTGATGGGCTGATGTTGTTGTTTTTTCTTTTTCGCTTGTCGCTTGTCGCTTGTCGTAAAAGCCACCTCCACGCAATCTCTGCCTGAGCCACCGCCATGTCTTCTTGGACACGAAAGACTAATTTATTGTCAGACAGCGCAAACATCGCTCCATGAGACCGATGAAATCAAGACTCGGGGTATCATTATGGTTCTGAGCAAGCACTTGGAAGACGAAAAGATGCACAACTCCAATGAGTCTGGGAAATGATGGATTGTTGACCACTTACATCGACAACAAAGCTGCCCAGCAATCTAGACCACTCGATGCGCACAACCACTTCCCCGGATTCAGCCAGCGGTACTAAAATGAAGCTTAAACGGGGATGCTGGAGCCAGCTATTGATTGGTCAACCTCACCTCCCACACCCACCCGTTCGATACAGAACTATTGAGTTCACTACCAAAACGTCTTTTTGACTTCTCGACGGCTGAGGAAAGGCATGAGAACACCTCCTGATGATTCATGCCCGACCAATCAAGTAAGCGGCTTACCGTCGACAAAATAAGCCCGTTGCGATGAAACCCCATCTGCTCATTGCATCGCTTGCAAATCACCGCCTTTTGGTGTGCAAGTGCAAGGGTCCTTGTCAACGTGCGATCGAGAGTTGACGCGTGGGCTGTGTGCGAGGCTTTTGCTTGTTCTGGGTTTGGAGTGTGCGATGATAAGAACCAAACATCCCCGCTGCGTTGTTTTCGTTTTGTCCTTCCGAAGAGTATTGCATTTGTCCGCTACTTGTACATATTGTTGCTTTCAGCTGAGTGAGGCGTTCTCCAAGTCCGTAACTTTGTACCACGGCGACGCGTGTGTCTTACATTGGCAACGAAACAAAGCCTTGTTCCGGATTCGAAAAAATAACATATAACAAAGGACATTCTTCTCGGTCATCCTTCTCCGCATCTCAATCACGATTGTGTCGCGACGGTCTCACTCTAGTAGATAGAGGTATCCTTTGGTGCTGCTATATATACAGTCGACATGATGGGTTTCGGCACGCTTTATCGTATGCACTTCTGATCCTGGCTGAGTCAGCGCGTCATGCAGGTACATTTGCTGATTATCCTACAGAAGCTCTCTTGTTCACCTTGTTCTCGGTCGCTTTCGCCGCTAATGGATCTTCTACGTACACATACCAGAACTCAGGGTCGCAGGCATTTGCCTTGGCTCTTGGGCTAAACACCACAAGCAATGATCTTCATTTCAACATGTCCGCTCCATCAACATATTCATGGTTTGCTTTTGGTACTGGAAACCAGATGAAGAACTCTTTGATGTTCATCGGATACCCCAGCTCGAATGGTTCAGGTTTGTTGAACGGTCATTGGTACATTGGACCACTTACTAATAACGCACGACAGGAATCACACTCAGCCCGCGTCTTTCAACTGGCCACCAACAGCCACAGTACACAGATACCAAGGACGTCGAGGTAGTCTCTAGCTCCACTAGCAATGGACAGTACCAGCTCATGGCCATTTGTAAAAACTGCACTACCTGGTCTCTCGGTTCCATATCCACGACATCAACATCCCAACCCTTCATCTTCGCCCTCGGACCAACAGGCGAAACAATCTCGAGCGACTCGACTTCCGAGAACATTGATCAACACAGACTGTACAATTCTTTCAGCCTGGATATGCAACAAGCTTCATTCTCGGGTTCCAGCTCACCAGCTCTGAGCCCCAGCAGCGGTGCCGAGAGCGGAACAACCAGCTCCTCTTCAAGCTCAGCAGCCTCATCCGCACCCAGTGAGATTTACAACAGAGTCCACGGTATCTTTGGAGCTATCGCTTTTGTCATTCTCTTCCCACTCGGTGTCTTGGTGCTGCGTCTGGGCCATAGTGTGATTGGCCATGGTATCGTGCAAGCAACCGCCTATTGCTTCGTCATTGTCACCCTAGGAACCGGAATCTATCTCTCCGAGAACACCCCCGGCGTGAGTGCAAATTACCTGCCACACACAGAGAAGACCATTCATTCTTTACTAAACGAATTTTTCACAGATGAACAATTACAACTCCGCCCATCAAATCATCGGACTAGTCTTATTCTCCCTCTTGGCCATCCAAGCCATCGGCGGTCTCCTCCACCACATTCTCTTCCGCCGCGGCACAAAGACCCCCCTCGGAAAAGTCCACATGATCCTAGGCATTGGACTTTTAATCCTCGGTATCGTCAATGCACCTCTTGGCCTCAATCTCGCAGGCGACAGCAAGTATAACAAATACTACATTATCGTTGTTGCAATCTTGGGAGCTTTGTTCTTGGCTCTGAGAGCATGGGCGGTTTGGAGGAATAAGAAGGCGGCAAAGAGGGAGGGAAGTGAGAAGGGTGTTTTGAGAAGAGGATCTAGCAGTGAGGAGGCTGTCATGTAAGGGCAATCAGAGCTTGGTGTTTTTCTTTCTTTTGCACCATAACTGCACACGTTTGAAACCTAATCTATGATGTCTACGACTTTTTTATTTTCTTTTCTTTCTTTCGGTATACCTAATTTAGAGGCAACATATAATTCATACTCATGTTTTCCCTCACTCCACTTTTACCCCGGATATTGAACTTTAGACATTAACATGCCCATGCAGCTTTTATCTGCTATTTGAATTTGCTGTCTTCTAAGAAAGGTGGAAACTGTACGGCTCCCTTCTAAAAGACAGCCACATGGAAGTGAAGTGACATTGCCCTTTTCCAAAATTAGCTTTCACTTCCATTTCCCCCCTAGTAATGTCACTACTTGCACTTTTATTTGACCAAGTAGCAAAAACAAACAAAAGATAATGATCTCATTATCTAAATTACCAAACTATCAAAAGTCCTTTCTTATAAGTGTCTAGTGTAGGTAAAGCACGGTCTAAGATGTAACCTTACGCTCTCTCGTTACTAGATGGCAAAAGACGCAAGGGGAGATGCGGATGCGATATTCCCGACAACCTCCATCACAAAAAAAAGTGAAAGAGTAATAGAAGAAAAAAGCAGGGATAGGAAAAAAGACGCGTAATGGATGAAATGTAAAGTATGCCGATAATGACCTTCCTTTAACGGAAAATGCGGGAAGGGTTAGGTGACATACTGGTTACAGGTGACGTGTGGGGAGCAGGTACACAGGGAAAGAGGTGTTTGGAGATTTTGTTTATTGTCGATCGTAAGAATGTCACTTACCCCCAGAGTGCATGTTTTTCGATGAGATACAGATCGCGGAAACGGTTGGGGTATGAGTTTAGGCATGCGAGGTACCGAAAGCTTGGATACCTTGGACTGAATGCTCAGAACCTCGTGCACTGGACAGAGAGTATAAATAAAAATTCGGTGGAAAGGTGTCCGAGCCACACCGTTCACCAAATCCTCTTATCAGCCCACTAAAGTGTTCCCTGCCTATGTGTGATCAATCTTCTTGTATATGCCGACACCCATGATCCAAAAAGCTTTTTCGCATGTGTGATCCAATTTCTGATGACTCTTTCTCAAAATCTGATGACGACCTTGCTCTCCTCATGATTGTCAAATCTAGCATAATACTCTGGAGCCTCTTCAATATCAATCACAGCACTAACAATAAAACTCGGGTTCGCTCTGCCAGAAGCGACCAATGGCACAAGTTCCGAAGCCACTTTTTGCAAAGGCAAAACTATACCTCCTTGAATGGTCAAAGCTTTGTTAAACACGGTGCCAATATCAAAGTTGTACGTTCCATTGTTGCGAAGGCCGACAACGCCGATACCGCCTTGGTTTGCAGTGACGTTGACGAGTTGACGGAGAGTGAGGGATTCGTCCATTGTGCCATTCGGGAAGCGGGCTTCATAGCCGACAGCTTCAACACCCCTGCGTACACCCATGGGTTCGAGAGCGAAAATTTGCTCTACAGGGTCGGAAGTGTTGAAGTTGATGGGGATAGCACCGATGGATTCTGCAAGATCGAGACGTTGTTGGACGTCGTCTACAATGTAGACGCGAGAGGCACCACGGAGAATGGCCGAGTAGGCTGCGAGAAGACCGACTGGACCGGCGCCGAAGACTGCGATTGAGTCGCCTGGTTGGAAGCCTGACCAGGTCACGCCGGTCCATGCTGTGGAGAAGATATCCGTGATGAAGAGATAGTTGAAGAGGGTCGATTGGGAGGTAGACGAGTTGACGGGGATGGGGATCAATGAGTTGTCGGCGAATGGTACTCTCGCGTATTCGGCTGTGATATGATTAGTTGTTTGCCCGCTATGGTAACTACGAACAAGACTTACTCTGCAATCCTGGCAGGGGCGCCTCGGGTGTGCCGTCCTGTACACCACCGAAACCGATAGGGACAGTGTAATGGTCGGGCTCAACGGTATAGTGTCCGTTGTCGAGATTGTCTGGAATGATCACATAGTCGCCCACATTGAGGAACTGTACGGCATCGCCAATCTCCGTGATGTAGCCAATGGCCTCATGCCCATAGAGAAGTGGTGTATCGGGTGACCCAGAAGCGACATGGTAGGTATGGAGATCGCTGCCACAGATTGCAGTCGCATTGATCTTGACAATGACATCCGTAGCATTAAGAATAGTAGGAATAGGTATGTCGATAACAAAGACATTGTGAGCTTGTCCGAGTTGAGCTACTGCGCGCATGAGTCCAGCCATTGTAGAAAGAGGAAGCCTTGTTGAAACGAGATAGATGATGGAATTGCTGCGGCGAGGACGAACAAGCCTTTATGTCAACGCTGCAACCATTACTCGTTGGATATTGAAGCATAGCCCATGACTGTGATGCAATAGTATACGTCACTGCCCAGTCAATAGATATTGTCGATGAATATGCATGTTGTCTCGGCAGTGCTTGTTTGTCGGCCGAAGAGAGTGTCGCTCCATATTTCGGCCGAAATTCCCACTGCCACAACTGTGAGTTGGGCTTTGACGAGCCTCGAGATCGGACGACCTCAGTATCATAACACACATTGCGACGTTGTGCAGCTGCGAGGTTCGGATCCGTCGCACGGACTAAGTGCGCCAAGCAGATAGCATCGCCTTTGCGTACGCAATGCTGATATGGAAAGTGTTGAGGTGGTCTGCTGAACAAGACTATCTCTTACCGAGGCCTAATTCGCATGAGATCATCTTGGATTGTCGGTTTTACTCCACTCTGCTTCCAAGTCGATGCGAAGGTCATGTACAGGCCAGCCAGTACGAGCTTGATGTTGTGCAATTATGCCTAGTACAGCTACTCTCTTTCCTGGATCTTGGGTGTGTAGTCCTGCAGCGAAGATACACTGTGTCGAAATGACGATAGCCGCATCATCGTCAGTAGCCAGAGCGATACCGCAAATGACATCGATTGACTCATTGAGAGCACGTTCTCTCGCCATGTATTCTTTGAGACCTCCGGCCGCTGGAGTACAGATCTGTAGTAGTATCTTGGCAAAGTGGTACATCTGGAGACCGACACCAAAGACTAGAGGATGAATCCAGATGGGTTTGAATGGCCCTTGAGAAGTGTTGATACAAGGCAAGGGATTGAAGTGGCTAGTCAGATGCTGGTACCAGTCTTCTAGCTTGGTCGATAGCTCATCCGCTTTGGCTAATCGCATGATCAAATCCGACTTACCGGCTTCAATCTCTTGTTCCGAGCTGTAATTGACGCATTGTGCTACCAAGTACACACATCTTGCGGCGATATCCCAGTGATCCATTGCGTAGTATGGTTTCGTCGGTTTGAAGAAGCTTAACACTTTCCGTCCTTCGCGAAAGGCAGCCCACACATCTTGTCGTAGCCAGGCCCACCAGATAGCTTGACTCAGACCTCCAGACTCGCCATTTATCTCACGAGATCTTTGTACCCAGAAGATACCTCGAAGGTGACGCTCCCAGCTCTTGCCTTCACCATCAATCATTTCGTATGTGCTTATGATCATGGTAGTCACCAGTAGTTCTTCGCTTCGGAGGTAGGCCTCACTCTTCATAGCCTGCTGAAGATATTGGAGTGTCTCGTAATAGTATAGTACTGCGAGTGTACGATCAGGAGCCAGACCAGGGATTGGCTTGAGTGACAGATGTCGTGCACATAAAGCCAGTATTGCTTTCATCAAGCCTTGATTGCGGAGAGCAAGGTGTGGCACCATGACCGAGAAATGTTGATGTGGGTCCGTAAGGTCAATCCATCGGCTAAAAGTCGTGACGAAATACCTGAATATGGAGACCTCTTGATCAGATAAGGTCACTGCCTCATGTGGGATTATGGAAGGCGTGTAAGATCCTTGGATAAGCCCTGATTGTCGCACGAAGGAGCCCCCACTTGTATACTGGGCAGGAGCACTAGATGCGATGTTCTGCGTTGTGAGAAGGTTCGGCGAGATTGGGTTGAGATTCCACTCGGCATTTGTAGCGTCTCCAGCGAGTAGACCGAACCATCTTAGAGGCGCGATGTCAGCGGCATAGGCAGTACTGCCACTCAAGCTCGATCGAGGACTCGAGGTTTGATGATCATCACGTTGTCTAGCGAAATCGGGAGCATGCACACCCGGAGGTGCTATATGGAGAGCTCTGCCATGGTCTTCCTGGTAAGGCAGACTCGGTAGCACGTCAGGTGGTGGTCGGATTGCACCTGCTTCCACATATTGCGCGCCTTCGAAAGCACTTTCCCGGGGCAAAGCAGGCGAAGCGATCGCGCTCGGGCGCGATTCATCAGATTCATGCCTACCTTGACGGTCCTACAAGATCATTAGATATAGATTCCCACTGGGCAAGCCACGACGGTGGTGATGGGTTGCTTTTGGTTCATGACATCCCAGAGAGCTGGAACGGGAAGTACTTTGCATGACAAGATGAGAAACTCACATGAGTCGTGACATATATGCACTCTCGCTTGCTTTTGAAACAAGCAGAACATGTTGGCCTCTTCTCATCACATTTCATGTGACGCGTTCGGCATACGATACTGCGAAATCATGTGTCAGCAGAGCCTCATCGGTCGAGTTGCAGCATGCGACTTACCATCCTGTGGTGGTACGGAGTCCTTTGCCTCGAGACGGACGAGGTTTTCGACGTCTTGCAGACGCCGGAGCTGGCTGTGACTCGTCTCGCGGTGAAGCGTTACTCTCAGACATCTAGACTGCAGGGCGAGCGATTCATGAAGAGACCTGGCTTTCCTTGCGCAAAAAGTCGGCCGAGTTCGCGTCACACAGCCCCACATCCTCGTCTCGAGACGCGTTTGTTCTCAACACGATGAGATGATTGGCGTGTATCACTAGCAGAAGACCATTGATCTTGTATATGTGTGCTCGCCTTCTACTTACTACGTCAGTTTACTCTCTTGGAATGTCCCACTGGTCCAAAAGAAGCTCGTGAGTCGAGATCGTACTTGAGATGACGCGAATTCAGCAGCGCCGATGCCGTTGTCGCCGGCGTTGGTGTAGAAGTTCCCCGCGCCTTGGACGTTCTTTCTTGAAAACATGACATGCCCGATACCAACCAAGATCCCCGTCAACAGACGCCATTGCCCACGCGTGTATCCAAGGCATGCGACAGGTGCAAACGCAACAAGTCAAGATGTGATTCCTATCGACCCTGCTCGCTATGTTTACGAGCCAATGCAGAATGTACAAGCACTTCAAGAGGAGCCGCCAGCGTGACGAGACAAGCAAGTGCAGGCGGAGAAACCGCAACATCGCGTTCATCAACGAATAAACGGAGAAGAATTGCAAGCTCTCCTGAGGCCACCGAATTGCGTGCGCGAAACATCAGTCGACTGCGCTCGTTTGAGGATATTGCTAGTCATCAAGATCTGGAAGATGCCGATCAAACTCATCGGCACTCTCGTAGCGATGCCGGTGATGATGATGACGGAGAAGCTGAGAACACCATGAGTATGGCCCGCAAAATCTACAGCCTGGATCAACAACAACTTGATGGGTTTGCTGTCAGCGCTATTCCAGGAGCCGAAGCTGGGCAATCTACATCAGCCGCGCCGTCACCAGCTGTTGAAAAATACCCAGTCGCCGCTTATTTGACAAATCCTTTCCCTGCGCCAGATGTGGTCGTCGAGTTGTTGGATGAGTACTTTGCATCAGTGCATTGGTTTTCTCTGGTCATCTACGAACCAAAGTTCAGAGAGAGCTTCATGTCCATTCGCGACAATCTCGCTGAGCCAAGTCAAAAATCCTTCCTGGTCTTGCTATCCACCATTTTAGGAATGGCCGCTTGGTACAGATCACAAAGACCTGAAGTAGAAACTGGCAGGCCAAGTCGGCAATGGAAGCAACTCAGTTCTGATCTGTTCAAGAATGCAGACAACGAACTCATCAACATCATGGATCAGAATTCGATATCTGCCATCCAGACTTTGATCCTCTTGGGATCCTATTACTGTTACCACGGACGTCCTAATTTGTCGTTCTCTATGCTTGGTGCAAGTGTGAGGACTGCTCAAGCTTTAGGACTCCACCGTGAGCCGTCTCGTGCTTCGTTCCACGATGCTGAGGAGAGAAAGAGAGTTTGGTGGACGATATATACCTGGGACATGTAAGTCGGAGCGCCTTTGCTTGTCGTGCATCACTAATGGAATAGGTTCGCTGCTGTGACGTATGGACGGCCGCTAGGTATACATAATGAAGATTGTACGGTGACGATGCCATCCGAATTTTCCGAGAACATCCATTATAGGACTACGGTCCCTCCACAAGAAGCTCTTTCTATTTGTTATTCTCGATATCAGACAGAGCTGAACAAACTATACATGATCGCGTCTCCAGTCATCAAGAAGGTCTATGGCACGCGATTGCGACGAGGCGGATCTCATTCTGAGAATGCGCCATACTTGCAACTCGTGAAAGACGTCACGACAAGATTGTGGGAATGGAGAAGTTCGTTACCGGAACACCTTGCGATGGATCTTGATCGAGACTGTCCGTCAGAGATGAGTGCGACAGCGAAAGCACACTGTCTACAAAGCCTGGCTTTGTCACTGACCTTTGATAACCTACTAATCATCCTGCATCGACCGTTCCTGGCATGGCATATTGACTCGCTGACTGTTCGACCGGGCAAGAGTATGTCATCACACGAATTCGTCGATGGCGTTCAAACATCAAGCCCTCGAGAGTGGTGGGATGCCGCGCTTCGCACTTCCAGGGTCACAGAACTACCTCAACTAGCACAGCTCGCGACTGATAGCCATCTGGTCGCCTTCCTGGCTATCAACTTGTTCAATGCTGCAATTGTCATGGTTGTAATGGCCCTGTCTGATCCGCTATCCGACAAGGCACAAGAAGTAAAGCGCATCACCACACGAATATTCAGGCTGCAAGATTTGTTTGGCAGGCGATCGAAGTTATCTATGCAGAGCAGTGCTATACTCAAAAACGTGGTACAGCTACTTCTTCGACGTGAAAACGAAGCAATTTTTGCCCCAGTGCCCGCAGGCAAGAGAACAGAGGAGGTGACAGAGACCACGCCTTCTTCCACCACAGGGTTGTTGTCCGTACGAGAAACACTCAATCTTCCACTCGGTTTGCCTCAGGATCTTGGCTATGAGCAAGTGGAAAACAGTATGAGCAACATTCACGCCGATCCATCATTCAACCAGAGCTTAGCATCCGTTCAGAAAGGTATGTTGTGATATACGTAACAAACCAGTGTCGCCCCTGACCACTTGGCAGTATTTTCAAGCAGTTCATCCGGCACTCCCGCAGTGACTCAAGGCGCACAGCAACTCATCGACTACTCCGCACCCTCCCATGGCACTGATCCGACCTCTGCTGAGCAATGGTCAAATATGAGCACGACGCAAAGTTTGACGGACCCATTTGACCTCTCGTCCAACATGACGGACAACAATGGTGTATACTGGTTTTGGGATACGATGTGGGACGGAGGAGCCTTTGAGTGAGAGTTCGCTCCTCTTGCTGGTGACCTGATCAGTGAAACCGCCAATGACTTGATTCTGCTCGTGTGTCATGGTTTACTGGCCGCGCGTCAACGACAAACTCAAGCTGATTTGCTTAGACGTTGTGCCAAAACATGTTGTGTCGATCAAGCTATGCTTCTTCCTGTGTAAAGAAGGCGTAAACTGGGAGAAACATCGAATACCACTCGATGCACGTTCTAGTCGCCTTCAACCAAAACTAATAGCCGTCGCAAGCTCGTCTTGGTGTAAATCAGACCTAATTGTGAAGAGAGATCGATATGTGGTCCTCACTCCAGGGGATCTAGATGAGAAATTGATGTCGGTATACAACGATACACGTCAAAAAAAAAACTCCTGGCTGGAGGTAACACCCTGATCCTATAGACTAGCAATATTTTGCTTCGAAATTTCTGAATCACTCTAGGAAAAGCACTTAGTAACACGGTGTAAGCTACCTTCTTTTATACTTACTATAATAGCGTCTAGAAAATAGAAAGAAGACTAGTAATTAACTAGAGATTCACTATTCTAATAACCTATAAAGATTCTAGAAGACACCCTTAATAAACTAGTTAAAAAGAAAAAGTCGAGCCTTCTATAAAAAGGTACTAAAAGAAGGGATACACATTACTATAACCTAGATATTCCGTAAATAAGAAAGAGAAGAAATAATAAATCTATATTATTATAAAGGGCGAAGCCTTAGAGTAGGATACGGGCGGTACCCGTACGGCATCCTTAGCGTCCGTATATTCTTAGACGGAGCCCGCCTAGATAGATTCTCGTTCCTCCTCTTATCGAACCTATTAAATACTAAACTATACCGAGCGCCCGTATATACGACGCTTACCCGTAACAATTATCGACTTTACTAGGGGGGAATTAAAGGGATTTAAGTATAAAGACCCTTAAAAACACGATATTGAGTTAATATACCCGACCTCCTATAACATCACAAAAACTTTATAAGAAGCAAACCCGAATTCCGCCGTATACCCTTTGTATAAAACCCTAATACTCGGTGCGTGTTTACTATGCAACCACATATTATTTCCCCTTTACGGGTAGTCACATTTTTGTGTAACCACACCTTCTTTCCCTAATTCCAGCTGGGTTGGGTTCTAGCGTACATTCCTTTCTAAACAAAAACAAAATGAACAAAAACACGCCCCGCCCCCTTTTTTTTTTCTTTCGCCCAAGAACAAAAAAAAGAGGACTAGAAAAAGGGCAAGAGGTTGCATGTTCCTGTTTGCAGTAGCTTTGGCCTTTTTTTTTGCCTGATGAGATTTGCCTGATGAGATTTGCCTGATGAGATTTGCCCTAAGTTGTATAAAGTGGTCAAAAGCGAAACAGAGTGAGGGTTTGGGAGTTTAGTATACGGCCGCAAAAGGACAGAGAGAGAAGGAGGGGGCAGGGAGAAAAAGCAGATGTCGTGTGCTTGTTGTGTGCTGTGGTGCTGGGTGGTGTTGCATTTCATCAAGGGCTTATTTCGTCCAACCAGAAAACGAGTGGGCAAAAAAGTGCCGAGGACCGTGATGGTGGGTTGCTCCCCCCGGATGGAGGAATGTGCATACCATGCATGCGTGCCTAATCTCCTCAGTCACGAGAGTGTGTGTCTCTCTTGCTTTCTCCTTCACCCTCTCAAACCAAAAGGGAAGGGGAAAAAAGAAGAAGAAAAAAGCCCTATGTATATGTAAAGAGGCGGGCCGACCTACCACAGAGCGGGTGACCACATGCTGCAAGGACGCAAAGACATGTGGGGATGCCCATGCGTCGTGTGATGACGCAAAGGGGGCTAGAAAATGAAGAAGTGGTTAATAGCAACACCGAGCCTCTGACCTCTCGCTGGACTTTCGAGTGCTGGGCGCTGTGTTGCTCGCTACCTCTTGACCCCAAAAGCGTCCCGATTCGGTTATAGTTGCATAAGCTGGGAAGCAGTTTGTGAAGAATGTGATGTCTGGCCGGGTGCGGCAGTCTCCGCCAGAAACAAATGCTATCGGTTGGGCGACTGAGGTCTGGAGCAAGGTACCGAGTGTAAACAGCACATGCAGATCAACCATTCGCTCGCTGGAAAGGGCCGGGCTTGGGGTTAGCACGCTATCACACCCACTCTTGTTTTACATGCATGTCATCTTGTCTTCCTGCTGCAAACCAGTGGGTCCTGCAGATCTGGCCTACATGCCGACTGACACCGATGGGCGGGTTAGTTCTTCGGGAAGGAGTCAATCAATCCCAGAGTCAAGGTAGTGGCGCTGTCCAGCTGTGATTGAAAAGTCGGATCTGTTTCTGAAACAAGGTTCTTGCCCAGACAATTCTTTCAAGTGCTGGAAAGTCATGGTTCATGTGTTTTCTTCCCTGCTGTAGCAACCTCGAGATAGCTCATGTGTGAAAGACAGTAGTCGAATAGCAATTCGAAAGCAGCTTCCGAGGTTCAAAAAGTGGTAGCTTGTCCCGAAGCGGGCAAACAGTAGAGCGTCAGAAGGTCCAGGCTTCACCTCTTCATACGCATGCGGTGATGCCAGTCCGGCTTCAGTAGTTTTACCATTTGCAGGACGACGAAAGTTTGCAATCAGCAGTTTTGCTAAGTCTTCAAGGGCAGAGAGTCTGTACAAATACCTTTGAAGTTACCCGACAAAGAACCTGGGAATCTCTCGACCCTTCTTTCTTGCTTGTCTTGTTGCTTCGCTCTTTGGCAAATACCCCGAGCGTGTGAAGAAGCCATCACCCGGTCGTAACAACGACAAACGTCAAAGATCACCTGCATCTCAAGACACACAAGCAAAGCAATAGCTCAAAGCCTCTAGCTTGTCTTTCAGCAACCAAGCCACAATCGCCTAAAGTGTTTGACCCAAACATCCAATTCAGGAAACGCAAGTTTGCGACAAGAGTCAAGGTTCGTTGCATCTGTCTTTGATCAACGCACGTGGTTTACCGTCAACGATCACACCCCTGTCTATCCTTCTGACAGCACGATTCGCTTACAATGTCATAGCTAGCAAAGTGTTTGGTCCAGCGAGGGACGCATACTATCTTGCTTTTTGTGCCCCAGAGTGACACTGACTCGGAGGCATTTGAACCTGTATCCGAGACGCGATTGGTACGAGGCTTTTGGGTGACTTAGCCTGTAGCCGACCAAGGATCACAATCGAGCGACTTCCAAGAGGCGACACAATCTTTCTTGTTGTCCTTTTGCTTTATTCGCTTCCCACAAAGCATTCGTGTCAACACACTGAACAAAGGCGACGTTGAGTCTGTCCAAGCATATCGAGCAAACGTCTGAAACAGCAAAAGCAACACCAGGTCCTGCCTTGAATCCGAAAGCGAATCGTGTGAAAGTCGCAATGTCTTCCAACCAGGTTAATCAGTCTGGTCAATACGGCGCACCTTCGGACAACCAACACGAGTTGTCCCACATTGAGCACTACAATGAGGGACAAGCCTATGACAACTTTGCATTCGTGAGTGTCGTCCTTTTTCAGCAGTTTCAAGCGCATACTGACCATGACAAGGACAACTCAGGCTGGGGAGACGGTACCGGCATTGGACCATACGACAATACCAACACCAACTACGGCTATCATGAGGTCGCCGTCAGCACTCCAGCCTCTCGTCCCAATACGGGAAGTGTCGGCAGCAGAAAGACGCGCAGTGGTAGAACAACCAAGCCCACGGATTCACCCATGAGCTCGTCGCGCTCCACGCCCGCAGTGAACAACAGTCCGCATATCGCAGGTGTCAGAAAGAATAGGGCGAAGAAGGTTCAAGAGGCAGATGTGATACTCCAAGCACCCTTGAGTGTGTTGACAAAAGACTCGGAAACACCTTTGAGAGATATGGAGGCATGGGCCAACCGACCAGTGGAGACGAGGCGTGCAGAGGTAGCCAAAGCCAACAAGATCGCAAGACCAATGAACAGGTTCATGTTATACCGCTCCGCCTACGCTGAGCGTACAAAGAAGTGGTGCGACCAAAACAACCATCAGATCGTGTCCAAAGTCACTGGCCAGAGCTGGAAGAAGCTAGAGCCAAAGGAGATCAAGGATTACTATGACCGGTTGGCGACAATAGAAAGAGAGAACCACCAAAGAGCGTTCCCGGACTACAAGTTCTCTCCCGCAAAGGCCATGCCCAAGAAGAAGAACCCGAAACGTATCCTGGATTATCCCGAGAGCGCATACGGTCACTTCAGTGAATCAGAAGGCGACCCAGATGGGGAATACCGTCCAGCGAGACAGTCAAGACAACCAAAGCAGCCTCCAAGAATGACGAATCCTTATGCAGACAACTACTCGTATGAAGATGCCAAGTACCAGTTTGCTGATCCTGGAAGCACCTCTGCGCCATACCACCAAGCAATGCCGTATGCCGCCAGTCAAGCACCGATGTACCATACCCACCCATATCAATATGCAGTGGCCAATGGTCATGGACAATACGCTGTGTATCAACATGGACCTGGAGGGCAGCAAGTGCACGACAACCGAATGGCAATGAACGGCACTCCTGCATCAATCGGATCCAGTGGAGCCCTCGTGTCTTTGCCCGGTGGAAAACACCATGAGTTGTTGCAATCCAGGGGTCCCACACCAGTATCATCTTATCAGCAACCTCAGCATGGAGGCAACTTCATGGACCACAACGGATTACTGATGCATCCCGACCACACCAACTACAGCCTCGGACATGAGCTCCAAGGGCTCGACTCAAACTTCCAGGACGCGTTGAATGGTGGTTATGATTTGGGTGGTGGTCAGGAAGCGGTTCAGGGTCATGTGGACGAAGAGTTCCTTGTGGATCCTCAGCTTGGAGGAATTCTAGACAACTCACCTTACCAGAAGTTCCTCGAGTGATGGGTCATTGCGAAAGAAAAGAAGCGTTGTGATCTATAGAGATCGGAGACAGTCAAGGGATGAAAGATTCCTTTAGACGGATTGACCTCGCGGTCTTGCATCAATGGAGTTGAGGTCGAGTAGGAGAGTCGAACATGTAGCCAGGCACAATGGAGTCCGTATTCCCAGAATCATATTGTCAAGGAGAAAGCAGTTTTGAGCAACAAGCGGTGTGGAATGTTTGTGCTTCTGTCTTGGATGCAAAAGAAGAAGATTTGTGGGTTTGTGTTGACCAAAATTGCAAATGGACTCGAATGTGGGAGGAGCGACGCGCTGACGACGATTGCGGTCATCAACGCGAGGCGGTCGCGTCTTTCTCGAAGTTTGGCCCAAGCCGATTCTTCCTCCTTGACAACAATGTACGGCGACGTCGGCAACAAGCTGGTACCGCACAATACTGCTTATACTCGCTTTCAACAGACTAATGCAAATCACAGGTGCAACATGCAAAGCGAACGCAGACGCTGCCTCAGCTGCCAGCCTACCAGACCGAACTCGTGCGCACCGTAGTCCGTGAAGTCCGCGAGCTCAACCGAGAAGTCAACACCCTACTCGAACCCTTCAGTGGCTCCTTCAACCCCTCTCAAGAACCCGCAACAGCATGCGCTCTCCTCGTCAATCATCTCAGCATGCGTCGCAACAAGCGCTGTCTCCTGGCCTACCACCGTGTTCGCACAGACAAGCTGGAAGACATGTGCTGGAGGGGCATCGACATTATTGGCACCGACCAGACAACTGCCGAGCCCCAAGCTATGAATGCAGAAGATAGCAAGAGCAGTCTCAGCCCTGAAGAGGAGGAATACGTTCGTCTATACAGCGACCTCCTGGCTGCCTACAAGGGTCAATGGACCGACATTGACCTGACCGGAAGCCTTGAACCGCCCACCGACCTCTTCATCGACGTCCGCGTCTTGAAGGACGCCGGTGAGATTCAGACAGAATATGGGTATGTCAAGTCAAACATGTTCAGTGACCGTCTACTGACACAATCCACCAGAGCCATCAACCTCACAAAGAACAGTCAATTCTACGTCCGCCAAGGAGATGTCGAGCGCTTGATCCAACAGGGCTATTTACAGAAGCTTAGTTGAGCCTTGAGCCTCTGGCGAACCGCTTCTTGTCTTCCCTCAACCATGCCAGCACCCGGGACCATGTCACAATCGCATGACTTGTTGCACGCTGCACAAGATTGCCAGACAGACAGCACTTCGGTACCACAGCAAGATACAGAGACCCGCCAAGTCAATTTCTTACCGCCGAGGGCCATCTCGCTGCACGACGAATATGACGCGAGAAAGGCTGAAAACTCTGTGCAGAGAGGTCGACGGTCGGAAGAACCAATGACTGTCGGATCAGTGGAGCATGCGCTCACTCGTTACCAGCTGCTGCAGGCTATGATGGTGTGCAGCAAGTACTGATGACAGAAGTTACGGCCAAGAGAGCGACGCGTTGGTCAGATAGCACAAGAGGGTGCCGGCAGACAGGTGAACTCAAGGTGTATCATGAGCATGTGTCAATCACAGACGGAGGGGGGGCGCGAAATCGGATGGACGGCTGCAGCACGAATCAAGACTTGTGGGGAGGTTCGTGGCCGACTCATGCGCTTCGTGAGTTGCTCTCCGACACCCGCAAAATGACGTCTACCTGCCGATGGAAACTCCCCCTTTGCACTCGCTATCCTTGCAACAGAGAGTTGAACTGGATCAGGAAGACATTGCAAGAAGCTGCATCGAGGCTTGAAATAGACGAGTCAGGGCTTGCCAGAAAAGAGGGTGTATAGAGAGGTGGAGCATCATTTAGGTGTTGGAAAATAGTGTTCAGGCCCCAGGTGGAGCAGTGGAATTTGACGGGGCTAGACGTTTTTCAGGACAAAGTCGCTGAGAGGTGGATGCGGCCCTCTCAGCTGTTATCTCTACAAGGCCCTCAACTAATTGATTCCTGTCAAAATTAATACCAAAGACAGTCACTGCTTTTTCGCACTCCCCACGGCGCTCCTTCCCATGCAGAGTTGAAATAGTGCGCAGTTGGCAGCCAGAGTCAGCGTAGTTACCTCTCTCTTGCTCTTGTCTTGCCTCGTCAGCCCACGTCCTTGCAAGTCGGGTGAAGGCAATCCCTGGAAGTGCCGCGAATCCCGTCAACAAATCCACCCAGGCAATTGACGTCTTTGCGTGGCACCATGTCGCGATTGTTCAAGCGCGGGCGCACGCCTTCGGATGCCTCGTCGCATCAGCAGCGGCTGCCCTTGTCCAATGACGAGCAGCAGCAGCAGCAGCAGCAGCAGGAAGAGGGCGAGACACAGGACTGTGCTCCGCGCTCCACCGGCCACACGTCAAGAGCGCGCTCCATCACTTCGGCCTCGGCCCTCTCATCCTCGTACAAGACGCCCAGCAGGTCCTACATCCACCATGCTGCCCATCCCTATCAAGGTACTTGCCCATTGGGACTCCGCACCTGAAGAAGCTTCGACTAATGCGCCAATCACCAGAACCACTCCACTATTCCTCCTCAGGCGTGCGCGAACAGACTGCCGAACTCTCGTCTTCTTTCCTAGGCGACCCGGATACACAGCGATCTTCGCAACCACCGAACCGCTTCTCGCAGGACTCGTCGGCCCACCGTAGAAGCTTCGATTCCGCTTCCTCGCCCAGGCAATCGCTCGACCTTGGCCAGCACCGAAAGAGCGTGGATTCAGAAAGATCTTTGGGTGACGATGAAAGGCTGCAGAAGGGACAAACACGGCCGGAGGTGATTCAAGAGCAAAGTGAGCCCGTCTCGCCAGAGGTTTCGTCTGCCAATCTGCCCGACATGCTGTTGCAACAGAATGGCCAATTGCGCCCACGCCCTCGGCCCTACAGCGATGTACCTAGTCTGGTCGTCAGTGAAGCCGGCGAAGAAGACGACAACGAAGAGACGCCTCTGTTTGGCAGGAGATCGTCGAGAAGAGCATCGGCCTACAAGACTCTGGACGGCAACCACGATTCGGGCGACGATTCGGAAGACATCGAGAGCCAGCGACTGCCGCGAGTCCGCTCATGGCAGACGCTACAACACGCCTATCCCTCCATACGCAAGGTGGCCGTCGACGGCTACCGTGTTGCGACGCATCCCAAAGAGTGGGACATGCAAGAGGTCTTCAAAATGGTCGTCGTCAAGCCAGCTCTGGTCATGCCCTCGGTCTTTCTCGGAGTCCTCCTCAACCTCCTGGACGCACTGTCTTATGGCATCATCCTCTTCCCTCTTGGAGAGGAAGTCTTCTCCAGCATGGGTGCTGATGGTGTCTCCATGTTTTACGTCAGTTGTATCACTGCTCAACTCACCTATTCCAGCGGCTCCATCTTCAGCGGAGGTGTCGGCTCAGAGATGATCGAAGTCGTGCCTTTCTTCCACAAAATGACTTACATGATCATGGGACGTATGGGCACCGGCAATCCCGATGCTCTCAGAGCGACTGTAATTACTTCTTACGCCATGAGCTCTATTCTTACTGGTCTGGTCTTTCTCGGTCTTGGTGCTGCCAAGCTGGGCACGCTCGTCAACTTCTTCCCTCACAGCATTCTCACTGGATGTATCGGCGGTGTGGGTATCTTCCTGTTCGTCACTGGCATCGAGGTTTCGGCAAGACTCGACGGCAACCTTGAGTTTACCGCCGCCGTCCTTCACAAGCTCTTCCAAGCAGACACCATCGTGCTCTGGCTACCCCCTCTTTTCCTCGCCATTCTTCTATTGACCGTCAAGCATTACTACGACCGACCATGGCTCGTCCCTGCATACTACATTGCTATCACCGCCATCTTCTACATTGTCGTCGCTGCAGTCCCCGACCTTGGTATGGAGACTTTACGCCGCAAGGGCTGGGTCTTTGACGCCCCTCAGGCCGGTCTACCATTCTACAACTTCTACAGCCATTACAAGTTCCACCTGGTAGACTGGAGTGCCATCTGGATGACTGTCCCTACTCAATTTGCCCTAACCTTCTTTGGTATCCTGCATGTTCCCATCAACGTGCCCAACTTGGCTATCGTTGTTCAGGAAGACAACGTCAGTGTCAACAGAGAACTCATCATGCACGGCATCTCAAACACTCTCTCTGGTTGTGTTGGTAGTATCCAGAACTACCTCGCTTTTGTCAACAGTGTGCTTTTCATCGAGACTGGAGGTAACAGCCGTCTTGCTGGATACATGTTGACTCTCGCCACTTTTGGTCTCCTCGTCGCTGGTCCCGTCGTCATCGGTTATGTGCCGGTCATGGTCGTTGGTACCTTGATCTACATGCTTGGTATTGACCTTGCTCAGGAGGCCATCTGGGCAACCTACGGAAGACTTCACCGTCTCGAGTATGCCACCATCGTCATCATCTCCCTAGTCATGGGAGCTTACGATTTCGTCGTTGGTATCGCTGTCGGAATTGGTCTTGCTTGTCTCGTCTACGTCGTGCAAACATCGCGCAAGACTGTCATTCGCGCAGAGTTCTCTGGCGCAGTGGCCGAGTCGACCGTTCGTCGTCACCCACGTCAACGCGAATACCTTCACAAAGTCGGTCCTCAGATTAGAGTGGTGAAGCTTGGAGGATATCTCTTCTTTGGCAGTATTGTCAAGGTGGAGAAAAAGGTCAGAGCTCTGATAGAAGCAGAAGCTTTCGCCGCAGAACCCATCCGCTATCTCATTCTGGATTTTTCTCACGTTGCCGGTATTGACTTTTCGGCTGCCGAGGCTTTCAACCGTATGAACCGTATCTTGCATCGTCGCGATGTGACGCTCGCTCTTGCTGCTGTCAGCCTTGAGGGTGAGATTGGCAAGAGTCTGCAAATGGTTGGCCTCTTCGAAGATCCCGTCGAAGACTCTACAATCCCACCACCAAAGGTGTTTGAAGATCTCAACGGCGCACTGGAAGCATGTGAGAATGAGATGCTGGTAATTCTCTCCGATAAGCAACGCATCGAAGCCATGCAACAACAGAAAGAAAGCTCTGCCGAAAACATCGACATCCCCTCTCCCACCCAACTCAGCCCCCAAACACCCGCCTCTGCAGACATGAGTGTAGGCAGCCCTCGACGAAATTTCCTACACCAAGCCGCCACGACCACAATAGCGGATAACAGAGGGCCCAATGGCGACAACAGTAATCGCTGGAAGCACTTTAAGCAACCGCTCCCCCTGATATTACAGTCATTCCAAGGCCTCACGAACAAGAACGAAGATTTCTGGTTCCGCGCCGTATCATACTTTGAACCACGCAGCTACCCAGCAGGTAAAATCCTTTACTCCCGTGGCGACAAACCCGATGGGTTCTATCTCTTGCAATCTGGCATCCTCCGAGCGGAATATGATCTCGATCAGGGCAATTACCATGAAAGCATTGTGAGTGGCACGACGTGTGGAGAGTTGCCCTTCTTCTCCGAGACGGAGAGGACGAGTACGGTCATGGCGGAGATGGACTGTGTGGCTTGGTTGTTGACTGGCGAGAAGTGGCAACTTATGCAGGAAAAGGAGGGAGAGGTTGCAAAGGAAATGTTGAAGGTTGGGATGAAGTTGAGTGCGGAGAGGATGAATGCTATTACTTCGTAAGTTTTTTCCCTCCCCTGGATATTGATAATGATGAAGACAGAGGATGACATGCTGACTGCTTTTGATTTCGCAGATATGTTCTCATCACTGCTTCTTGAGCCGTGTGAATCATGGCTTTTTCAAGATACAGATGGACTCGACCTTGACTCGACCCGACGCCGATGCGGGATAGTCCTGAAGGGATAAAACTCCCCAAGGAGGGAGAATATGGATATCTCCTACTCGACGGCCTAGCAAGGAGCATGAGAGTCACTCGATCCACAGAGTCCAAAGAGTTCAAGTCTAAGAAGTCAAACACAGGCGATGCATAAATTTTGCATCTTCGACACCTCGATGGCGGCAGGGTTTCCCTCTACTTTTCTTATGTTGTTATTTGTGTGTTATATAGAAAACCAAAGTCACGGAAACGACATTAATTCTGTATTTGCATCAAAATCCCCATTCTTGCATCTGCTTCTTACTTCCAATTCACAGGTGCTGTAGAGGACTTGTAAGGGGGGGTTTTTTTTTTGGTGGGATTTGCCTTTTCCTATGCTATTGCGAGAGTGGACTTTTACGATATCGTAATTTAGTATAGGTTAATGTGTTAAAACTTTTACAAAATTCTTTAGCTTTTTTTCTCTTTTAGTAGAGAAATTAGTCGAGATGTCAGGGTTATAAAGGTGACTGATATTTTTTTCAATTTTTTTATTTCGATCTCTAGTGGATTTTTTGTCTTGTTCTCAGTTGATGAGAGAGAGAGAGAGAGAGAGAGAAAGTTCGTAGTATATATGTTTGCCTTCTTTTTTTGCAATTGTGCATTTCATGTCTTTCTATATAGATAGTAATGTTAGATGTTAGAGATTAGAGAGAGGGTGCTATAAATGATGTTAAAAAGGTATGGTAGAAAATTGGTTCACTTTTGCGTGGGACATGTGATTCTTTTCTGGGAGAAAGAGAATGAAAGGGAGAGATGAGCTGCGATTGCGTTTTACATCATTGTTGTGAAACTCATCAGTGATCAAGAACAATTTCATTGTGTGAGAGAGCGCGAAATGGGAGACTCGGAATCTTCCTCCCTTCTACTTTTTTTCTTCTTTTGTGCAGGTAGTTGGCGGGTGGAGTTACTTTGCAACGTGGACACTGGGGCATCAAGAATAATCTTTGCCGAGTATGTGGACGAAAATTAGTCTGGCGGGATATTTCTTGCTCGAGGTTCCCGTTATCATTGTACTTTTTTGCACAAGCGTAAAGAACCGTAGACTGCTCGACCTCGAACGTAAAGAGACATCATCGACTTCTTCTTGCAGCGCTTTGGTCATGTAGAGATATTAGGTGTGTGCGTGGTATGAGAGATGTGAAGTTATCGTGTGAAAACGTGTAACACGGACCCGGTGCCGGGGAGATGAAGAGTACAAGACATGGCTCTGTACGACTTCTCTTCATTGTAGTGTCGCTCAGAGTTGCCAATATTCTTGTGCCCGTGAATGGGTTGGTTGCATGGGGCAATGCGGTGTCATGTTTCAGGAGTGTCACATTGGAGACATGGTAGACGTGCATCTGGCGCATCGTTTGTGCTGCAAGAATACCTCGGTATTCATTGGACGGCTGCCAAAGCAATAGCGAATGTCAGCCCTGGGTTTTTGTTCTTTCGGAGATGGTCATTGCAAAGTTTAGAAGCTGTGGTTAATTTTAGCTGTGTTGGCCGCGGTAGTAGTGTCTGCAACCATTTCCCGTAATTGTGTCTTAGCAGTAGCACGCCACAAGTTCGTAATGTTGCTCTTCAAGATTTGGTGAGCGAAGCGTTTGACTGTGAAGTTTTCCTTCTTTTTTCCTTTCTGTTCGCATCCTCCAATCTCTTGAAAGAAAAGTTGGAACGGAAAAAGTAGGAACGATAATATAGGAGAGTCGGTGAGAAAGGGTGTATTGGTGTGTAGTGATGTTGGTAGAAGTTCGGTAGACTAGAAGGCTTACGAGCAAGGACGTTTCTCATCATCACTTCCTTTTCGATTCTCCAGTCACCGCTATTTTCTCTTCTTCTAAGATCAAGATTCCTTCTCTGATCTAGACGTCGATGGCCTGTACAACTGAACAGGGCTCCTGAAGTAGAGCCACGGATGCGCCGCTTTGATGAAGTTGGTGGTAAATTAAGCATCTCGAGCCAGGAGTCTTGGCTTCCTGGAAGTTGGGAGGTTCAGTCGTCTTTACCTGATGGCCGAACCCTGCGTGCGGGTAGCACCAAAGCTGCCGACACCAAGTGGGGGCAATCTCGAGCTTTGGTGTGCGAAAAAGGGAAAACGAAGCTGAAGATCTGCCATCAAAGGAAATGACGTGTCTCTGTTTTGGCCAAACATTCAACTGCAATCGCGGAGTGGGAGTTCTCCATCTCTGATGATGGTTTTGAGAATACGCCGTGGAAAAAAGAAGACGGTTCTGTAAAAGGTCGTGTTTAAGCGCCGCACTCGGTCATCGAAGACAGCGTTTCACAACGCTGGCGTTGCGCACGCAGGGTAAAAAAGTTAGGGAAGAGAAAAAAAAATAGTGATCTGTTTACTGTTTGAGAAAGCGCGGCGAGGCGTCACGCCCTGTCAAACGGAGAGTGGAAGTACAGTGATGATCGGCCGAGCCAGTCAAGAGCGGTATGAGCATCTGACTCGTCCCTGTCATGAGACGGGTGACACACCATCAGCACGAAGGTTCCTCTGCACATCAAAGGATCGGGTTGCGCATCTGTAAGCTTCTAGGGCTGGGAGGGACATCATGTGCACTTGTGAAGCAGGGGGAAAGGCTGGGTTCTGTGTTGCGACAGTCCGGCAGCGTCTTCGAGGTTGCATACAAACAATCTATTTGCAGCATGGTAGTCAAGAGGCCGTTGATGCAGTTCTTGGTCGAGGTTGCGGCCGAGCGGTTAGGTGGATGAAACGGGCGCCGCACGAGTCAATCTATCCGGGATAGTAGAAATTCAAAGCAAATCACAGGCAGCTGTCAGTTGAATTGTCCGGTGTTTGTTGGCGGTGTCTTGCTCATGGCCTTGCAAAATTGCCCTGTCGCATCGGAGTCGACCAGCGCTTTGGCCCCTCCAGCATGCGACCATGCACCCCCTTGGAAAGAGGTAATCTCGTTGCAATCACATGCGGCCATCCTTTTTCTTCCCCTGCACCTGCTGTTCAGTCCATCTTTTCTCTTCCCTCTCTACTCTTGTGCCACTTCCTCAGCCTCCATCCTCGCTTCCTCCAATACAGAGCTTCTCTGCTTATTGCATCTGAAAAGCGGTAGCTCGAGCCGGAGACCCTTGATTTGTTTATTGTCACCTCTACATCTAATTAATACCAGGTGTGTATCAAGAAAGAAGCTGCCATCTGATATCTCTCCGATCTCGCCATCCAACCATTGCCAACGTCCGCGTGATCACTCCACCACGCATAACTCCACCACACTTTTCGAGCTGACATTTTTCTGTTTCTTTCTCGCCAGCTTTACGAATCGATACCCTTTCCTTCCGCATCCATAATGTCTGACGTCCACAACACCACTGCCATTCCGGCAGAGGCTCCTATCATTGCCGAGCCTGTTGTCGTCAAGCCTGAAGAGACTGTTGTCGACCCTGTTGAGGAGAGCGCAAAGGTCGAGACTGCCCCCATCGTCGACGAAACTCCTGCAGTCGCTGCCACAGAGCCCACCACCACCGAGGCTGCCGCAACAGAGACACCTGCTGGTGTTGAGGAGGTTCCCGTTGCCGAGTCTGCACCTGCTGTTGAGGCCGCTGCCATCGCCGCAGAGGAGAAGCCCACTACCGCTGTCACCGAGGAGCCTAAGGCCATCGAGTCTGGCATTCTTGGCTACAAGGCGCCTGGTTTGATCAAGTAAGTCAATGTCAGCAACCTACCTGGAACGCCAATCACTAACAAGCACCAACAGGAGCTTGAAGTTCTCCAAGAAGACCTTCTGGTTGGGTGAGGAGCCCGTCTCAGTCGACAACCTCAGCACCTACCTTCGTGGTGAGAAGCCCGAGTCCGGCAATGCTACCGCCGCCTGGTCAAGCCACACTGGCAAGGGTCTTCTTTACTTTGTCAAGCACGCCGATGAGAAGAAGCACCCTCAAGGTGTCTTGAACCTGTCCGAGGCATCCGACCTCGAGAAGGCTACTGGTCACGAATTCACCTTCAAGCTCCACAACCACAAGCACGCCTTCAAGGCCGCCAACGACGCCGAGCGTGACGCATGGTTCCTCGCCATCGAGAAGGCCATGACTGAGGCCAAGGCCAACAAGGACACTGTCACTTCCAGCGACTCCTACAAGGAGACCCTCGCCGGTCTTGTCAAGACTCACACCCCCCACGCCGGTGCCGGTCGCAAGAGCATGGACGCCTCCGCTTCCAGACCTCGTGCCGCTTCCGCGTCCAGCTCATCCTCCTCCGACGCCGAGGCCGCCGCAAAGAAGGCCAAGAAGAGCCGCTCTGCTTCTCGCAACGGCAAGCGCCACAGCATCTTCGGTGGTATCATGGGCAAGAAGGCCGAGCACGATGTCGAGAAGGAAGAGAAGAAGGAGGTCAAGGCTGAGGAGAAGACCATCGAGGCCGACAAGGCGGCTACCGAGCCCATCGAGGAGCCCGTCGCCGCCGAGACCGTTGCCCCTCTTGAGGCTGAGGCCATTGGTAAGTCAATCTATATTCAGACAGTCAGCCATTCATACTAACTGTCGTAGCCGCCCGTGTCATTGACGCCCCCGTCGAGGAGACCAAGGCTGTCGAGGCCGTTGAGCCTGTCGTTGAGGCTCCTGCCACCGAGGTCCCCGCTGGTGTCGAGGAAGTCCCTGTCGCCGAGTCTGCACCCGCCGTTGAGGCCGCTGCTCTCGCTGCCGAGGAGAAGCCCCTTGAGACGGCCGCCGTTGAGGAGTCGCCCGTCGTCAACAGCATCGCATCCAAGCCTGTTGAGGAGAAGAAGAAGACCGAGGAGAGACCCAAGACCAACAAGCGCAGCAGTCTGTTCGGATCTTTCTTCGACAAGGTCCGCAGCCCTACCAGCGAGAAGAAGGAGAGCGAGGTTGCTCCTGTCGTCCCTGCAAAGGAGACCGTCGTCTCGGCTGAGCCCCCAGTTCTTCCCGAGCCTACCACCGAGAACTCCAACCTCGACCCTTCCGCTGTCGAGACCACTGCTGCTCCCGTCATTGCCAAGCCCGTAACTGAGGCTCCCAAGGAGGCCGAGCTCGAGGCTGCCAAGATTGAGACTCCCGTCGTCACCCCTGGTGGCACTGAGCGCAAGTCGAGCTTCTTCGGCAGCTTGGCCAAGAAGACCAGATCCAAGAGCCCTGCTCCTGGTGTTGCCACTGACGCTCCCGCTGTCCCTCCCAAGGATGACGAGGTCGTCGCCGCCGCTCCTGTTGTTGAAGCACCTGCTGCTACCCCCGAGGTCGCTGCCGAGGAGGCCGTCAAGGAGCCCATTGTTCCCGCCACCGAGACCAAGATTGAGACCTCCAAGGCCGCTACCCCCAAAGAGAACCGTCGCAAGTCGTACTTCGGCGGTTTTGGTGGTGCCAAGAAGGAGAAGACTGATGCTGAGAGCCCTCAAGAGGACAAGTCCATGCTCGGCAAGGTCACTGGTCTTTTCCGCACCAAGTCTCAGGCTGCTCGTCCCGTCAAGAAAGAGACGGTCACTCCTACCGAGCCCGTCCCTGCCATCCCTGCCACAGAGACTGCCGCGACTGAGCCCACCGTCGTCGACACCCCTACCGTCGTTGAGCCCAAAGTTGAGGAGCCCGCCGTCGAGACTGCCGCTCCCCTCACCGAGAGCCAACACACTCCCGCCAACACCACCGTCTCCGCAGCTGCGTAGCCTGCCTCGAAGAACGATTTGGTGGGCCAGCGATTACGCTGACGACCCATCATCACCATTGCGAGTGCGTCGATCGCTGCAATTGGTTTGATGTGTTATTTCTTTTTGACATACAGATACCCCCCTCTTACTCTGCTTGTTTTGTTTCAGACATGAGCTGCGGGACCTTTGGATTTTCCTGGCCACCGGACAACGCTCTCATTGCTTAATACCCAACTCATGCCCTTCACTCTCTTGTTGTTTTTCCACCAGAAAAAGCCGCATTTGTTGTTGGACATGAATACCGCATTGATATTTTTCTGTTTTGTATTTTTTGTCTTGTTTGTCGGTCTTTCCTGCGAGTCTTTTCATTGATTGGTACTGTCTTTCAATCGCGAAATACCCGTGATACCCTGTCCACTTTACTTTGATGACGAAAAGGGGGGAGGAGAGGGGAGATACTAGCTCGCTCTGCAAACTAATAATCGAATTTTGTTCATGATAATAGTCTGTATTCTTGATTCTGACGTTCTGTGGTATCGGCGTTGCGGTTAGGTGGCTGAAGTTGTCTCAAGTTTGTGCCGCTTGGGAGTGTGCTTCGAGGACAAAAGGCCTCACGAGTGGCATGGTTCGTGGATTGACCAGGTTTCCAGAGCCGTGGAGGCGGGTATTGTTGTGTAATTCGAGTAGACGCATGGTCATATGGCCTTATTGCGGAAAAGCTCGATAGGATGTACTGTATGCATGTAGTGCGTGTACGTGTGTGTAGATAGCTGGGTCTAAACCGAGTCTTTGATCGAAGCTGAAGACGGAGTCGACGTTCCTCGGACAAGGCTGACGAAAGCCTGCTTCGTTTTTGCTTTCGGGAATGGTCGGCTCACGTCGGAGACGGGACGAGAGATGTGAAGTCATTGTTGGGACGATCTCATGAATCATGACGACGATGTTTTTTTGCATTTGCGATCAATTGTTCTGCCAATTTCAAGAGGGGGGGGGGGGGGGGGGGGGGGAAGGAGGGGGGGGGGGGGGGGGGGGGGGGGGGGGGGGGGGGGGGGGGGGGGGGGGGGGGGGGGGGGGGGGGGGGGGGGGGGGGGGAACAAGAGAGCACAACGAGGTTCCCGTTTTGCTGTTGTTTGCAGGTAGGTAACTTAGTCCCCATCTTCTGCAAAGAACAGAACATCTCTTCGATCCTTCCGCGCGGGGAGTCTTGTTTTTGTCACTCGCCCATTCTCAGCTTGACTAGTTCGACTCATCTTGCGCGCGCGCGCCGCCCCTTTAAGAATTTGATTCGTGCCTCTTTCTCTACCAAACTAATTAATTCCGATCCAAGACATTTCCGCAAAGAGTACGGCGTGCGCTACCTTGGTCCTCTGGCCTTTTGCAGAACTTTACACTTTTTGTACCCGGACACTTTGGCATCTCGCATTCTTCTTATTTACCTATCTTTGCTTTCCCCGGCTCGCTCTTCGCTTTCGAAATCCAACGACTCTCAACTACTGATTTTCGCCCTTTGACTTGTTTTCTGTAATCCCTCCCTCGGGCGTCATCTTGGAGTGTAATCTCGAAATAAGGCACAAACAGCGCGACTACCAAGGATCTTTGCGACGACAACATTCGTAACGACGACATTTGCTTAGCCAACATCCGCTCCCGGAGGTGGACACTAGAAACGTTTACTTTGGAAGAAGACTATGAGATTGTGAGAAAACACTACAACAATGGTATGGCGGCCAGAACACCCCTGCGACTTTGCCTCCCATGATGTATACTAATACTCGTTTTTGCCACAGGGTTGTGGTTTGTCTCGCGAATCCCAGGCCGCGGCCACCGAAGGCAGTGAAAGCGCCGCTGTCACTGCTGCACGACACACGACTCCAGATCCCTCTACCACCAACCCTCGCACCGTACCCTCTCGCACGAGTTCCGCAAACACACCTACAGATTTGAACGATCGCCCTAATGCGCCTTTGCGCGCTGCACCCACCGTCAAGCATTCGCCGCCGCAACTGGCACTGACGCCATGGACACCTTCGGAACTCGCCCGCCAACGCGAAGCCTTTTTCGAAACAAGAGTCAGCGGTGAGGCGGAGATGTGGGCTGCGATGAAGCAGGTTGCCGAGTTGTTGAGGGTGGGTGATTTGAGGTCTGCGCAGACGATTTTGGATGCTACGGGCGCGACGTGTCCGAGTGGAAGGTTCTGTGTTGAGAGGAGAAGAGGAGGGCAGAAAAAGGGTGGTGTGTATGATGACAAGGGTTTGCTGTATGAGGTTCCTGGATGGGTAGTTTCGGACCCTGAGGATCTTGTTGCGGAGGCGCAAATCGAAGGCAAGGATATCAATGAAGAGTCGGAAGACGAGATTGATGCCGAGAAGGGTGTTGTCTGTGAAGAAAAGATTGGAGAGTTGGTCAGCGTGCGGGCAAGACTCAGCGATCGCGGCACTGATGTCGTGGTCGAGATGGGCACGAATCAAAAGGTGTCGGTCCTGGTCAAGAAGGTGCAAGAGAAGGCCGGCATTGAACAAAAGATCAAGCTGGCATACATGGGCAAGATCCTCGACGAGTTCAAGCCACTGTCACAGACGGGCTGGAAGGAAGGTCATATCCTCAACGCCTTGGTCTTTGGTTGATAAAACAGTCGACTTGCGATTTCTTTTCTTGTCTCGAACTGAATTGTGGGAAGGGATTTGGTGCATCAGCAGCGGGCGTTTACAATTTTTTGGCGCATGGTGTATACGCACATGGGCATCTTTGGGAGGTTTCCTTTTCGTTCTTGTTTTCTTGGATAGCAGCTTCGTTTTCTTTTCCAATCTCCTTTGTACAATTTACTTTTTGTCTTGAACTTGAGGAGAATGCCATGCTTTTCGACACCTTGCTTTAGATCATCTACGGATCGACGGACGTCTTGTGCCTGACAAGACTTTCATCATCATCGTTTGGTAGACAGTATAAAGCCAGTAGATGTCCAATCATGGCATATCGTTAGTAAGAGCACGTGCGAAAGAAAAAGAACAAACGTAGAAGGCATCCTCGAGGGTGAAACACCTTCAGCACAAGCAACAATTGATTTTACCCCCACTCTTCCACCTCCCCACACGTCATTATTCCCAAGCTTTCTTTCCTTTCTCTCAATAAACATCCCTACCCACCCCTTCGAACAACAAGAAATGGTATGCCAGCATTTCTCGCACCTCACAAGTCAGGTGCACATCGTGTGACTGGTATGGAAAACACATCTTTCCTTTTCCTCTTGCCTTTATTCCCCCATCCTCTACCCAAATCGGACAGTCGCTGACGTTTACGGTGAACTATACAGCAATAGCTCTCTATCGCGCCCTCATCACAAAATGTCGCAATGCTCCTGAACCACTAAAATCTGCAGTTCTAGCAGCGGTAGTGAGGAACAAGTTCAAGCAGAATAGACATGTCACGAGTATCAATGCTTTGAGAGTTGCTTTCGAGGGTGGCTATGAGGTAAAAAAAAATAACTCTCAATGAGACTTTACATGCAAAAAGGAAAATGCTAAAGTGAGTTTTTTTTGAAACAAACAGGCGCTAGATCATCTAAATGCCGCAATAAAAGGAGATGAGAGGGAGGTAGACTATCTCTCTACTTTACTCTCTCGTCTTCCTGCTTGGATGAAAGCTATACCACAAAACCCCACTCCTCCTCCTCCTCCCCCTCCACCGACTGCACAAACCTCACCACCACAAGACGAAACTCAAAAACCTCCAACTAAGCGATGTCTACTCCATCGTCCCCGTCCCCTCTTCTCCCTCCCCTCTCGTCGCCGTATCCCAACCTTAGTCTCGGCAAACAAAATCCCCATCCTCCGTCTCAAAAAACCTCAATCGGCCTCCTTGTCAAAATACCTAAAATCCCGCATCCTAGACCGTCAGAAACGTTTAGATCGTAAAACTCTACTCGAATCAGCCATGGAAGTTGCAAGAGGGGAGGATGAATGGGATAGGATATTACTTGCACAAGGGGTTGATGTTGGTCAGGGAAAGCAAGGTAAAGGTGGACATGGAAAACAAAAAGGCAGAGAAGAACCATGGACGAAGAATGTTTACGAGGCGTTGGGGAATGTATATAACAAGATCGAGGAGGAAGGGAGGAGGAATAAAGAAATGGCGGAGAAGATGGTGGGGATTATTGAAAAGGAAAAGGAATTTGCAGAGGTGGAGAGGAGAGAGAGACGGAGGGTTGGGAATGAAGAGAGAAGAAGACGGAAAGCTGAGAAGGATGGGAAAGTGGGAGAGGATGGGATGGTATGAATGCATGCAGAAGTTGGATCACGACACTTTGAGGAGGAGGCAAGATATGATGTGCTATGATGGGAACTTTGTATGGTTCTCTTGGAATTGTAGAAGTGTATCTACTTTGCTGCCATTCTTGCGTGTGAGTCCTGCTCTGCACTGCGAGACCCTCAAACCTGTGCCTTGTTGGTTGAAGGTGGGTGCAGGCGGCGACTTTCTGGATGAGGTGCCGTCTCTTCGTCATCCTCGCCATATCCCGTGAACCATCATCTCGTCGTCTCGTAATCTTCATCTTCTGTCATCGTTGCCTCGCCTTGTCATTGATCACGCCTCTTTGCTAGCATGATCAGTTGAAGATACTCGGTCGTGGCTTCTGAATGTTCTAGCCAAGTACCGAGAAACGTCCACCTCTGCGAGGAGGTGGAGGGCCCAAATCATACTTTATGGCGCGAATTATACTTTGCCTCTCAGCGTTGATAGCATCGATCCAAGTTGCAGACGTCCAGGGGGTAGAGGTGAAGTCGTCAGCCCAGTCCGCCCAGTACCACTGAGTGCAGGAGCGATCAATAGGGAGTTTGTTTCCGAGGGGTGAAGGCTGGTTGAGCTTGAAATCCTCCTCCATCTCCAGAGCACCAGGAGGGATGGTTGCGGTAGCGAAGCAATTGTACTGACAGAGTGTGTTTAGGGTTTTAGTAGGGAGAAGGCTCAGTAAAGTCTCGTCGGCAAGTGTTGATCTGGGGCTGCGTCTGAGAGGCACGGATGCGGGCGATTGGACCTTGTCATCCTCGTCTACGAGATGGCAAGCTTCGCTACCATGCTCGTGGTAATGACAAGCATTGTCCCAAGGCATGTGTTGATGAGACACAGAGCCCCATTCAGCAGCATCAGTCATCTTACTCATAGCGTCCTGCAAGAACTCAGTCTCGGGATCCTCAGCATCAGGACCAGCACCCTTTTTCAATAGCTTGCACTTATGAGTCGAGGCGCTCGCCGAGAGTGTAGAGACGAAGCAGATATTCCCATTCTTCGTCATCGTCTTCGGCGGCTGGGGAGCCTGGGGAGGCGGTCTTCTTGATGAAGAGACGGTTGGTGTAGATCCAGTGCACGAAGACGGAGAATGCAGCGGGAGTCTCTTCTTCCATCTCAAAGACACCGCGCTCGGCTTCCTTGAACGAAGAAGCGAGGCCCAAGGCGAAAAAGCCAGAGACGGACATGACCAGACTTTTGTGCATCAGGAACTTCTCGCGGCCCCTGCCGACGATGACAGTGGTCATCTCGTTGCCCAGTCTGAGATCTTATCAGTGAGTGTGTCGAAAGACAGCGAAGTACAGTATTTACGCTGGGGCATTTCTCTGCGACTTGCGCACACGTGGACCGGGAGTGGCGGGCGAAGAAGGAGAAGCGCTGACACTTGAGTTTGTCAGTCAATTACAGGTGGTGAATGGGCAAGATGAACATACACTCTCTTTGCGGCGGTAGATGCCTTCTTGGGCGTCTTAGGTGGCGTAGGAGCCATAGTTGAGAAGCTGAAGTGCGCGTTTATTGATGCTCAAGAATGATGTGCAGTGTTGTGATTGATTGTTGGTCGTCGCAGATCGAGGAGAGGTGGTGGAGAAGTAAACAATAACGTGAGGCGCGACTCGGCGACGGTAGATTGAAGTCGTGTCGCTTGCTTCACTGAAGCGAGCGTGATGAGTAACTGCTTGCGCGGCGTCGACCTCCAACACAGCGGAAGTGGTTCGACCTGTTGGTGATTCACCTCGAAGCCGCGTGTATGCGGATTCAGTAGTGCGCGAACAGTGTCTCGAAGTGAGGATGATGCGACGGCGGCTGGGGAGCGTGGACGAATGCACTCAAGACGGAAGTCGATGGTCAACAGTGAAGCAGAGTACAAAGGGCAAGCACAGTATGGAGAATAGTGAGGTAGAGTAAGAATGATATGTATTATTATTGATACTAGCTTGGTTGAAAAGATCTGTTACTGGTCAGCAACATGATCCACATGATTCTTGATTGAGAAAGTTAATGTGGAAGGGCAAAGGTCAGTTCTCCAAGGTGATGGTATCTTCAAAGACGTGTCTCAGTAAGAACACAGCGAAATATCATTTTTGTTCATCATAATGTAAGGGGGTGGGTGAATGTTGTAAAAAAAAGTCAACTTACAGCTTCATTAGAACAAAGGGCAAGATGTCGAAGAAATACTTGACCTGTGCCATGGCAATCAGTAATGGCCTTCCAAGTTTGGTCGAACAAGGTAGGGTATGTGATTGCAGTCAGGCTCTATTGCAAATTAATACGGACAACCAAGAGAGTGAAGATGTCCGACACATACCATTAAATCATTATACATGTCCACAACGGATAAGCCTTCGTTACGGGCAAACCGTTCACGGTACGAAGAGTTATCATCACGCAAGATGCGCTACGATGGTGCTGTGTTGGAGAACAAACTGCATACCTAGCAGACAGTAAAGTCAGCAAGGAACTCGGAAGCCGAGATGGCAATGATCATCGAGCATCAAGTGTGATGGGCTGCGAGGACAGTCAGCAAGAAGTCGTTGATGAGATAGACAAGAGGAGGTATTACCATTCAACATTCTCAGAATTTTCAGTGTTTTGTGTTCATGTCCGACCAGCACAATATAGGCTTAGGAAGGATCAAACAGTGTGAATAAAATGTTCATCATTGTGAAGAATGCCCATCGCAGATGATTTTTGAAGCTGACCGAGAGCTGAGATTGAAGCTGCATACCTAAACGAAACCAGTCTTAGTACATGTTCCAACAAAGAGAGGAAGCGTAAAAATTGTGCATGGGCGCAAAAATCAGCTGACGATAATCTCAACAAGCAACTCCCGGCCGACCATCCCAAGGGTTTGTACGCCCTTGTTTCAGCGGATGGCAACCGAAAGCGCGATCTGTCCGCCCGTTCGTTCAAATCTTCTTCATATTGAAAGGGTGGAGTACAGGGTGGGTGGATGGTGTGGTGGATAGATACCTGATGCACATCGAGTTAGCTTAACTGTTTCAGCAAAGTTAAGTTATGAAGCGCAAAAGATGGGTCATTGGCTTGATAGTCAGACAAGGCTGAAACTTGATTTTAGACAGATTCGACATTGTATATTCAGGTCGAGGAATGCCTTTCCGGAGTCGGTATATCATCACCCAAGCCAAGAGAAGAGTGTGCAGTGTGCAGAAGTGTATGGTGTGACCAACCTTTTGAGAATTGAGAGGACGCGCCGTGGAAGCAGCGCATCCTCAATGCGACCAGCGCATGTTGAGAAGTGAAGAGCGACTCGAGGAAGAGGAGGACTGTTCAGACTTTTGTTAGCGTGATGCTCCAAAAATGTATGACAGCAGAAGTGGTGATTGTGAAGTAGTCTCAGTGTAATTCTAGAGTTGTGTAATCCTTCACGATGCTATAGGAGTTGGATTGTTCGTGTATGTTTTATCATCCCTGTACTGGGCGCGATGGGTGGGTTTGGTGTGAAAGCTTACCTTTTTGTGAGAATCTGCTCGTCTTGTCTGGGTATAGCAATTTCAGCGACAGGATCAAGGCGAGCAGCAGTTCCAAGTCACAGCTCGTCAAAGAGCGCGCGTAGGCAGCTACGGCATAGTTGGCGGTTTGTTTGTTGTGATGCGAGGAAGGAAGTTTAGAAGACGAGGAAAATTGCAGACTTTGAGGAAGCCGCGGCCGGTTGAACGCCGGCTTGGTGGAGGAGCTTTGACCAGAAGGCGATAGCGACGCGGAGCTTTGGGGTGGATTCACATGTGACAGGCCTCATCATCGTCATTTCCTCGAGCCGTCGCCATGTCGTTCCCCGAAGGCGCGTCGCAATACGCTCAGTCGCCTCGACTCTCGCAATATCAACGATATGCCTCGTCAACACCACCGCCGCCACCGCCAAAGCCCTCAAGCGGCAGAGAGACGCCATCCAGAGGGCCCCCGCTGCCACCTCCACCACCTTCTCAGACGCCCACGAACTCGCAGAATGGCTACAACAACACAGCACAGCATCAGCTCTCCCTCCCTGAGCCTGGCTGGCTGCCCTCTATCGTACACGAACTTCCTACGAGTGACCTTAGACGACTGGTCGAGGACGCCAACCTGCAAGCCACTCTGCTGAATGACGCCGAGAACACGCATCCGGCCATCCCTGCCTCACAAGAGCCTCTGCGCCAGATCCTCGACTCCAACGTGCAAATCGCTTCATCGCTACAACAAGTCGAGTCTCGTCTCTCCCACCAGCGAGCTGCCACCCAATCGCGCCTTATCGCTCTGCGCGCCCTCGAGCAGCAACACAAGTCCAAGATTGTCGAGACCGAGAACACTCTGAGAGACTTCAGTCCCATGGCGCTCTATCAGCGTCTCAATGTGAGCGCCCAAGAACAAGATGCTCTGGTCAAGGGTATCGAGGATAGCTTCCTCGACGAAGGCGGTCTTGCTCCTGACAGGGAAGTCCAAGACTTTGTCCGTCGCTTGAGAGAAGCCAAACGTGTCGCCTTCTTGCGCAACGAGCGAAAAGAGCGTTGGGACGAAGGCAGAGTTGGCGGCTGGAGATGATTGCGCTCACACCGCGGCCAATCTCAGTGTCGCTGTTCCAGCACCTAGACACCCACTTGCTCTTTTGGGCACATGGGTCGCTCTCATCATCTCCTCGACCACAGCTCTTGCTGCGCCGCCTTATCTCGCTTGTCATCACAAGAGCGCATGTCCTCTGATCGCCGACATCTCCTGCAGCGACGCACTCTTGACAGAAAGCGAAAGACTCATCGTACAGTCGGTCGTTCAACTTGCGAGACTGTAATGTGTTTGCTTGGTGCCATACACGAGCAGCCTTGGAGACCCCGCCGAGCAGGACACTCGTTGCTATTATTCCGATCTACTACCGTCACCTACACCACTCTAGTGAACGTACTGTAATGGCATCTCGACGAGCCGGACCATCTGCCCAGATCGTTCTGCCTGTTCAATCTCGACAGCATTACGTGTTGTTGACCCAGGATAAGCAAGTCACCCAGGCGTACGCAGGGGTTCACGCGACGACAGCGGGCCCACAAGGTCTTACCGAACAGTAAAGCATTGGGGAAATTGACCACTCATTACTCGTGCTTGTATTTGCGGAGCTGGTGGTAGGAGCAAGATCAATTGACGTTTGATGGGTTCCTTATCGCAAATAACAGATAGTCGCCTAATGCATCCATGATAGACTAGACCGAATTGAGTAGCTTTATAGGGCGTACCCTGAACCTATAGTCCGACGTTCGAAAAGACATGGCATGATGTGCAGACCGCAAGACTAGTCTTGCCGCCTTCTAACCAGCATCCTTGGAACCATTCTGATACATTTCCGGTGACCGATGTCATATTGTATAAACCAGACTTAGCCAGCCTGATCAAGACTGTCATCCTTTTGAGGGTGTCCGTCCGCACGAGTCAAGAGTGTAGCGAAGCGAAAGTACTTCAAGTGTTCTCGAGCAGCCTCGCAGACGTTCTATACATGATCCTCATGAACCACTAGCGCCAGTCGAGCATCTCCCAATTCACGCATCTCCATCTAGACCTAACTTCTCTTTATGCACAACAAGACCCTGCGCAATATTCACCCAACTACCATAAAACTTCAGCCTTTACAAGATGAAGGCTGATGACGTTGTCGGTTTGACATCATCACAGCCTGACAAACATTTGGAATCTGTTGCTCGCGTTCAAGATCCAATCAACCCGCCGCCGTTACCCCAGCTGGTTGAGCACGACGATCTGGAAGATGTCGACGACCTCGACGAAGAAAGTGATGGTTCTGACGATGAAAGTGAGATTTCGGTTTCTGCTCTCAACGATGAATTAGACCGTGCTGAATACGAGCCTTATGAAGATGATGGTAAGTTATCGCCGAATTCAGCATATCACATACCATCCCCGTCTTGCCGAGACTAACTGTTAGACAAGAACCTGGGCCCATCTCCTTCACACCCGCAGAGGCGAAAGAACTCCGCGATAGACTGCGTCGAGTCGGACCCAACAGATTTATCGAGCAAACAATCACATCTGGTACTGTCGGCATAAGGAAACTCGTCACAGCTTTCGGAGTGAGGCCAGATCTGCCATACTCTACTACTTGGTACTATCGGATCCTCGGACTATGTATTCAGCGCGAGCTTAGAAGGCGGCAAAAGCTCACAGAGTACAATACCATTGACGACGCCGTCTCGCTGATCCAAAAGTCAAACAAGATTATGGTAATCACTGGAGCCGGTATTTCGACCAGTCTCGGCATTCCCGATTTCAGATCGACAAACAGTGGATTCTACTCGAAACTTCGACTTCTCGGTCATTCAAATCCGGAGGATGTTTTCGATCTTGAAAACTTTGACGAGGATCCCACGTAAGCATGTTCACACAAGTCCTCTAGAGCAATGTGCAGCGCTGAACTTTTGTCTAGAACCTTTTACACATTGGCCAAGGATATTCTACCCATGACTGGCAAGTGCTCACCCACTCACGCTTTCATTCGTCTACTCCAAGACAAGCAAAAGTTACTCACCAACTACACCCAAAACATCGACAATATTGAAGCTTACGCCGGCATCGAGCCAGAAAAGCTGATACAATGTCATGGCTCATGGGCAACGGCAAGTTGTCGCAAATGCAAAGTCGAAGTCCCAGGCGAAGCCATCTTCGAAGATGTCAGACAATCACGAGTCTCTTATTGCCAAGCATGTCTGGACCGTATTGAAACGTATCCTCGCAAACGCAAGCGCACGTCCAACGGCAAGGTCAGGTCACGATCAAGTCATTCAGACTCTGAAGACGATGGTCGTTACGATGTTCCTCAACCTGGTGTGATGAAGGTGAGTTCTTCTTGCTCCCCCCAACCACCTGCTGTGCTGAAAGCTGACCCCCTTTCCCGCTAGCCCAACATTACATTCTTTGGCGAAAAACTTCCCACCCGCTTCTTTGACAGACTAACCGATCATGACGCCGCGATAGTAGATCTAATAATCGTCATTGGCACATCCATGAAAGTAGCTCCAGTCTCTGAAATGTATGTTTTGTCCCTCTTTTCTCTCTTTCTCCTCCCCTTTCCCTTCACTCCCCTTTGACTAATCTCCTTCATGCCCAACAGTCCAAACTACGTAGATGAAAAGGTACCACAAATCTACATTTCCAAAGAAGCAGCCGACCACATCAATTTCGACATTACACTTCTCGGTTACTGCGATGATGTAGTTGCCGAACTGGCCAAACGCGCAAGCTGGAAAATTGAGCATGAAAATGTCAACAAAGAGGAGCTGGTCGCTACACCGGGTATCAAGACTGGACATTGGAATATTGGGCCTGCGACTACTGCTGCTGCGGCTACAGAACAGGAACTTTCTGTAGCTGTTGAGGAGTAGGGGTGCTATAATTATCATTCGCTGTGCTGGAAAGGCGCTATACACGTGTTAGACTGCTCTTTTTTCTGCATGCGCCTCTCATTCCAGGGGAAAGCAGGGTTGGTGCTTGTCTTTTTTCTTTCTTGCTTCTATTTTCTATGGCTGTTTTTGTGGCTGTTCTGGAAAAGGTGTTTTACGGAATCTGGGTTTCCAGTCGTTTATACATGGCTTGCAAAGGGTTGAAATCCACGCATACTAGCGCTAAGAAGCACGCTTCTTTATATATTTATCTAATCAAGTTCGGTTGCGTGGAAAGTAACAAAGATTCATGAACTTTTCCTCCTCGTTTTTGTCAAACCCATCATTTTTCCATTCGTGCTTGCTGATGATTTACCAACTTCCGTCAAGATCTCGAAACTCCTTTTCTGTCTTTGAAACATCTTGATATCTTGAATGGCATAACCTGCCTTTCTTAATCGTCTCTGTAAGAGAAATCAAGAAGGGTTCCAAGAATCAGCGTAGGTGGGTAACATGATCGTAAGTGTTTTGTTTTGGAAAAGAAAAAAATTGTAGTTGATAGACTCACCCTGACGTGGAGGATGCATTTTCTTCTTCTCTTCCAAATTGCTTTTGCGTGTGCACATTGGCTTTGCAAAATAAGTTTACAATGTACTGTAGATTGAAAGGGATTGGGCGGAGTTTGTAGAGTGTGTGTTTCCAGTATCTGATTGTTACTTGAGTTGCGCATTCTGATTTTCAATGGCTTCGAGCCAGAAGAAGCGTTACTCCTGTCCGCTCGAGATTCTGAGATGACGCTGCGCGAGATAGAGAAACCGAAAGAGTTGGAAAGCAATTATTATCAATTTCGATAATCAACAACATGAAATCTTTGTTTCCATTGCTCTCTTTGGAATACAGCACCCTCCTAATCTACAAAAGCGAAAGCTTGACCTTTCTCTTTCCAGTGCTCTCCTCAGCCTCATCCGAAATTCTAACCTTTACCTTTTCGAAAAGCTCAACGTTCCTCTCAATACCCTCACCATTGATCTTGAGAATGTAGTTTTCAGTATCAAACTCGCTCTCCGGCTCAGGGGTAGCCAGATCACGAAGACGGATCAATCCCTCGATGCCAAATCTAGGTACGAAGACGACAAAACCGTTGGAAAAGACGCGCATGATGAAACCGTCTTCGTCCACGACACGTCCCTTGAGCGCTTGACCGACATAGTACTCTACACTGGCACGACCGGCCATCTGTGCATTACGATGACGAACGTTGATGTTTTTGCACACGCCTTCGAGTTTGGCTTTGGAGAGAAGAGATGCGTCGAGGGGTTCGTAGTCGATGGCGGCGGCGAGTTGACGATGCGCTTCCAGATCGGCGTAGCGACGGATGGGAGATGTGAAGTGGGTGTAAATTTCGCTGGCGAGACCGTAATGGCGGAATTCGGGGTAGGCTTGTGTGCCGGAGCAAAAGTACTCGGCTGACATCATGCAGCGGGTGGCCATGATGCGAACGAGTGTGTTGAAGAAGGGCTCTGACGGATCTGTGCAGGTGTCGAGCGAGTCGGCAAGAGCCTTGGAGCTGTCTGTTCGTAGCTCCATCCCACGCTTCACGCGCAATTGGTTAGACAGCTCTTCGAAGTTTGTCTTGGGAGGAGCGGCGTGACGACGTAAAAGAGCGGTCTGAGGGTACGCTTCGTAGATGCGTGCGGCAACACTTGTGTTGGCGAGAAGCATGAATTCTTCGACCAACGACATGGTATCAAGGTGTTGCTTGGTCTGAACATCCGCCGGGTCAGCAGTCTCTGACTCGGTCTGAACGCGCACTTCAGGACTGGCCAAATTCAATGCACCAGCATCCATACGCTTCTTCTTGAGCTTCTTTGACAACATCATGAGCATCCTGATGCCGTTGGTGAGATCGTCTTGCTGAGACTGATCATCGACGCGTATTTGAGCTTGCTCGTAGGCAAAAGCTTCCCTTGACTTGATGACAGACTTGGTGTAGTCAGCACGTACAATATCAGCCTCGGGCGTGATCTCCCAAATGACTGAGAAGGCGAAGCGCTCGACGTATGGCTTCAGTGAGCACAGATCAGTTCCGAGCAGCATGGGCAGCATGTCGATACGCTTGTCGACGAGATAGACAGTCGTACCGCGAAGACTGGCTTCTTCGTCCATGGCGTTGTTTGGTTTGACGAAGTTGGAGACATCGGCAATGTGCACGCCAACCTCAATGTTGCCGTTGGGAAGCGTTCTGGCGTGAAGTGCATCGTCAATGTCGACACAGCCAGGAGGATCAATACTGTAGATCAAGAGATCACGCAAGTCTCTTCTCTTGTTCCAGCCAGGAGCGGACATATCCTCAGGGACCTTCCAGTCGTGACCTTCAGAAGGGAGGCAGTCCAGGACGGTCTTAGGGAACGGTCGGTATTGAACGTCCCATTCCAATAGCAAAGCCTCGGTCTCAGCACCCTTTGTCTCGAGCTCTCCGAGGGAACGAACAAAATGACCAACGGGATATCTTGATTCACGGTCCCAAGCATCTATAGTGACGAGAAGACGCTTACCAAGTAAGTCTCCAGCCTGGCGGGTGCGGATACGGATCTTGGGGATACGCTTGTCCATAGGGATAAGGAAAACAGTCTGCTGTGCGCGGCTTTGCTTTGTGGAAGACTTGACCGAATCCTTATCGACGTGACCGACGTACTGGCGCCAATTGCGCTTAATCACGCCGACAACACGAGCGGTGGGTTGCGGCCTTCCTTCGGCGCTCTTTCCATGTGTCTTCTTCACCTCTTCCTGTAGTGCACGCTTCTCTTGTTGTGTGATGACTGCCTCACCTTCGTCTGCGTCGGCGTTGTCGTTTTTGTTGACAACTTCCTCTTCCAGAATCTTTGACGACGGAGCCTTCCATTGGTCCTTCGGCAGAACTTCGACAACCACGATGTCTCCAGAAATCGCTCTGTTGCTATTCTCTCTTCCGATGATGAGCAATGGTTTGTCGAACGCCGGTACAAACACAGATCCTTCCAGGTAGTTGTAGGGTGATACGTTGAAGGTTCCTTGATGCATGGTTCCAGCCTTGACCCCAGTAATCATCTTTGAGACGGAGAGATAGTCCGGGTAGAGAAGTTCGCCCTTGGTTTGCTTTCCGACTCTCTGCTCATGACCAGTGCTGACCATATCCAGCAGGCGTTCAGAATCATCAAGACCAGAGACATAATCGCGTAATGAGAGACCAGTAATCCCATCGATTTTCGACTTGCGGAGGTTGTCACGATCGTCACTAAGCATGACAATCGAAGGGCATCTAACGGACTTGCGCTTGCTGACAGCTTCCTCCAGATGCTCGGCATACCATTTCACAGCGCGTCGAACAGCGCGGTCATTCCGGTCGTTGATGGTCTCCTTCTCCTCGCGAGTCACGTATGTCTGAAGTCTGAAATCGTTGAAAAAGACGTAGAAACGCTTGCCATCATTCTTGGTCAAGCTGATGAGACGATGGTAGAGCGGAAGTGAGCGGTTTTTGACTTCCTCCAGAACAGTTTGTAGAACAATGACATCATGAAAAGCAGTCTCGAGCTCAAAAAGATCCATTCCGGTGAGGAAAGCGTTCGTATCCGGGATTATGTAGTGGCCATCAGGAAATGATTTCGTTCCAGCGGGAGTGTCAGAAAGCACAAACGGAGCAACTAAACACGTCAGGATCGAAAGTCTCAAAAGTCGAGAACGGCATGATTACCCTTGTTATGGTAGTCGGTAGGGGCAATCTCAAGACAGGCGGCGCATAGTCGTGACGAGCAAGGAATATCTTCGCGCAGGTATAGCTCGCGAACAATTTTCTGGACCTTGCCACTCTTGGTTGAGCGGATGTAGACCTTGCTCGAGAGATTCGGAGCGGCGCTGTCGGCAGCGTATGAACGCTTCAAACTCGTCATGATTAGTTGACGACGAGAATATGTTTCGTCAAGAATTGTGATGGTATCAAAAAATGTCGAACTATGACGGCAACAAGCAAAGATTGGGAAGTTGCGCCGGATGAACCCCGGATTTGATTGGCTGGTTGGTTGGACTTGCCCAACAACGTCACTGAGAGCTACCGACATCTGCTCCTGCCGCTGCTAGATTGCACTATTCAGACGCGCAATCGAAGAGCTGTCTCCGAAGAGAGAAGCCACGACGTTCCACACATCAACATGTCTCTCGACCCGCCAGCATACATTCTGTCGCTCCAAAACAACATCCGGGCGCGACCAATCTCGTGGGAAGGAGCTGTACGCGCAAAGACAATCACCGAGCAGGACCTCAAGAAGATCAAGTCGATAGACAAGGTCCGCAAGGAACAGCGCAGACAGACGGTCGAATCGGATCCTGAGAGTTATGCCGCCCTCGTTCTGGGCTCCGACGATAGCCCCAGCATCTTCCAATCCGCCGCCAAGCGTTCCGACATTGTGCAGTACATGCTCGTCCTGACTGGTGACCTTATTGAAGGTATGTTTCCTCCAGCTCCCTTCAGCAGTTGCCCAGGTCGCTCACTGGTCGTACAGATATCCCGTCCTTTGTGACCAAGCTGCTCGAACACGCCGACCCCTACGCTCCTTTCGTGCCGCTCCTCAAGCAGACCGCAAATCCCGAGGATCCCATCCCGCTACTTGCCTCATGCGTCCTCTCAAGCCTTCTTTCACATGGCCTCATGACTGGTGGCGCCCAGGCCGAGCAGATTGACAAGGCCCTGCCCAAGCTCTACTCGTACATTTCAACCCTCGCAAAGAAGTCGGACAACAACCTGCAAGACATTGCTGTCCAGGAATACTCTGCTCTTCTACGTACCGCCAAGTCGCGTCAGCTATTCTGGGAGCAAAGGAAAGACACGGTCACTCCTCTTTTCAACATCCTCACCAACGCTACCGGAGGCGGTGTAAGAGACACCGACTCGACCTTGATCAGTGGTGGAAGCATTCGCAGCATTGCCGATTCTCAAATCATCAACAACGTCGGCCTTCAGCTCCTATACCACGTCTTACTTGTCATCTGGCAGTTGAGTTTCGAGGGCAAGCTGGTTGGTCGCGGCCTGGATGAGTATGTCAATCAACCTCACCCTTGTCGCAAGCCCAAGCTAACACTAACACTCCCACAGGGAACACGACATCATTGTACTCTACGCAGCTCTTCTCCGCATCTCGCCAAAGGAGAAGACCACCAGACTCCTGCTCGCTACCCTCACAAACCTTCTTTCCACCAACCGTGATACCCTGATGCCCGCAGTCATCCCCGCTCGTCTTCCCGCTATCCTTCAGAACCTGCAAGGTCGCCATCTGAACGACGCCGACCTTCTTGAAGACCTGAAAGCGCTCCAGTCGATGGTTGAAGAGTTCCAAAAGACACAAACCACCTTTTCCGAATATGCTTCAGAAGTCAACTCTGGCCACCTCCGTTGGTCGCCACCCCACCGCAACCAGGCCTTTTGGAGCGAGAACGCTCGCAAGATCTTGGAAGAGAACAAGGGAGAGTTGGCCAAGAAGCTCGCAGAGATCCTGTCAAAGAACTGGGACAACGACAAGCAAGTCCTCGCTATTGGCTGCAACGACGTCGCATGCCTTGTCAAGGAAGTGCCCGAGCGACGACAACAGATGGAGAAGCTTGGTTTGAAGGCTCGTGTCATGGAGCTCATGCAACATAGCGACGAATCCGTTCGTTGGGAGAGCCTGAGAGCGGTTGGTGAATGGCTCAGATATTCCTTTGAGAAGTAGGACATCTGCCGTATCTCGTCTCGGCTTGATCCCTTGCACTCTGCTTCACGTGTTTATAAACCGCTTCTCTGTTCTAATCCACGTCATTTTGTCTAGGCATTTGCTGGCGATGTCGAGGTTTCCTTTTGTTCCTTCCTTATTGTACAGCGAAATGGAGTATACCAATACAATGCACACTTTTCAATCCTGATAGATTGCCCTTCCACACTTGACTTGAGAACTATGCGACGCGATTTTCAAAGACCATCGAGTACTTCCGCACTTCAATCTATGAATACACACGCGCTGTGTCTGTCCACAGTACCTGCAGCAGCTTGGTCAACAAGACTTTGCATTTCACACACTAACAATCGTCACGTCATGGATACCCTGTAACAAGTCATCCAGACTATCGGCCTGTCCCGTGCAGTACTCAGAGTAGTGCATTGAACATGCGTGCTGTGTGGCTGGGGTTGCCATGGCCGTTGCTGTAGTAGAAGCGGGTCATTATGCCGCACGGAGTTCTCGTAATTGTGGGGGGAAGAAGGGAACACGATCGCTATGCTGAAGCACGTTCTTTCTCAACCTATTCGCGCCACAGCTTTGGAACCGGGGGTCTGTCTTGGTTGGCTAGGCAGGATATAGTGACTCGGAGGCAGATTAGCTTGTATGCTCGCGTACAATATCAAGCAAGAAACAAATCATTCACTCCTCGATCTTGGCTAGTATCCTGTGCCAATATATCAGTGTCTGGACATGACATGGTCAATCCGTATCTTCGCTGAGCGAACGAGTCTGAAGCGTGCAAACCAAAAGCTTCGCAACAGTGGAAGAACCACGACTGTTGCCAACGGATTTCACCTGCCCGCATTTCTATTCTAAGCCTCCGGAGCGAAGCAACGGTTCAGCCGCATGAAAGAAGCACCCAACCAGCAGCACACCGAGACCTCGGAAACAGCGACAAAAAAGGACGCGTAAACCATCCACACACACATCTCGCCATCTCGCCATCGGCCGAATGTTTCCTGACATGCTCGCGCGGGGGTCGAGACAAAAGTAGGGCAGTGCGGAGAGACATGAGCACGTAAGCCACCCCTGTTCGGAGAGTAAAATAGGTAGGCTGGCAAGGTTCATGGAAAGATGGTGATCTGGATCATCGCCAGCTTCCTTCTGCCTGCCACTTGCTATACTGCCCACCATTGGTCTGTCTTGTTGGCTAGGAGATGTCTTTCTGTGCCTGGCTCGTCTGCACAAGTTCAGTTGCCGTAGTGAGGAGCTGTCGAACATAGAGAATACACCGCACTACGGCAACTGAACCTGTACAGCTTTCCCAGAGCGGCAGAGCGACGAAAGATCAGCTAAACAGCTAATGCAAGCCAAGAATCAGACTTGGTCAAAAGTGGCGCATGCATGTCCTGTTTCCCGCGAACACAGAGCCAATCAAGGTGGCGCGTCTGTTCGGGGCGGAGCTGTCCTGGCTGGGCCATGTTTACCAGCCTCTCTTTTCTGAGAGTCGGGAAAGCTTTTGCGGCGTAAGTATATAAATTCGCATGGGTAACTCTCTCTTATTTTCTCAGCTTTCTCTTGCAATTCTCTATCTGTGTTTCCTGCAAAGTAATACTGTGTCGTCTTTGTTTCTTTGACCTTTGCACTCTGGAATAATCTTCGTCACGAAATACAACTGTCGTTTATCCATCACGGTAGTTTTTTGAAGCATCACAAAACCCTCGACAACATCGACAACGAAATCACAAAATATCAAGATGCGCACTTCAATGTTCTTCGCCGCTCCCCTCGTGGCCCTTGCAGCTGCTCAAGAGTCTTCTGCCAATGAGACCGTACGTTTGCTCCCACTCCCTCTCTCACATCCAAAAGTCAGCTCATGCTAACAACACACTTCCACAGTCCGTCCTTAGCACCATCCCAATCTCCAGCAGCTCTGTACCCTACACAAACGGCTTCACCTCCTTCCTCACCCAGACAAACTCCCTCGGCGTCGTGACTGGCCAACCCCTCCCTGCAACCTCCGTCGGTGTCGCCGCCAGCAATGTCGGTGTCGCTGCCACAAATGCTGCAATCTCTTCTGTAGCGGTTCAACTCGTTCCCGCTGGCCTCGCGCCTGGCACCGTCACAACCCTCATCTATGGTAATGTGACTGCAGGTAATGCTACCAGTATCGTCGTCACAGTAGGAGCCAGCACCACTCAAGTATTGAGTGCCGCCATCGTCGCCGCTACCGGTTCTGGGTCGTCAACCTCTGGCGCTTCGGGTGTTGCCGGTGCTGGCGCTTCGAGCTCGACTGGTGCGAGTGCGAGTGCTTCTGGCTCTGGCTCTTCATCCCGCGCTTCCGGCTCTTCGGCTTCTGGCACATCTACTCGTGCTTCTTCTGCTAGCGGCTCGCAATCAGCTTCTGGATCCGCTGCTTCGGCATCCTCTACCGGTGCTGCTGGAAGTGTCAAGGTTGGCGCTGGCGCTTTGATCGGTGCTGGTGTTTTCTTTGCTGCTTTCTTGTAAGAAGAAGCAAAAAGTGAAGTGAGTGCTTTGTACACACGCTACCTCTTTTCTGGTACGCCTTTTTACTCGAGAAACACGATGGACAGATTTAATGGAATTAATGCTGGGCACGAATTGGGGAAATTGGGGGAATTGGGAGTTTTACTTTTTCTTTCCTTCGGTAGACTTTCTTGCATTGCGACTGGAAAGATATAATGACGTTGTTGTAGTAATCGTAACATGGACAAATGCAAAGAAGAAAACCACAATCAAAGCCTCCCACACCTCGGATGCTTCATCTCTCGCACACTTGGAATACTCCATCTCTCTCGCAAATCGTCCATGCCATCTCCCTCTCCCGATGCATGGTCTATTGACTGTAGCTCCAACCTGCCGCAATGCAAAGTTCCTATCTCAACACCCTCGCCGCAATGTATGATCTCCATTGACTCTAATCTCACGCAAAAAGCAAACTCCCCTACCATCACTTTCTCCTCGAACTCTGTCCCCTGGTTCTAGGTGCCCTGATCTTCGGTCTCGCCTTCGACTCTGATGGAACAGGCATCATGGGAATAGTTCTCGATGTACCCTCTCTCGTGAACGAGCCTGGTCCAGCCTCGGCATTCGAAAACATACCCTGTCGATTTGCCGAGGGTTGGACGTTGGGATGAAACGCCGGTGCGCCTGTGTTGTTGAGCTGCGGAGGCGGACGAGAGAGTGAAGAGCGTATGATCGGAGGCAGGATGATTTGTTGTTTGTGCGTGCTCGATGGGGAGATGCCTGGGCTTGTTGTGGATGAGGAGGTTTGTCTCGATAGGATGCTGCTGCCGAGACCGGAAGGAAGAGAAGGCTCTCTAACGCGTCTTGACTTGGTCGGAGGCGTAGATGCATCACTTTCAGAAGGTCGTTTCTTGCCCTGGCTGAATGGTTGTGAGATTTGAGGAGCACTGCGACGGTTGGTGCCTAGCTGCCACTTTGGCTCCCATTGAGGAGAGACGTCTCTGGCTTCAGCGTTCCTAATCTGTTGTTCGAGCCATGCCGAGTCATGGTTGGCGACGAGTATCGCCCTGAGGTGGCGCTTATCACGTTTGAGCTTACGGAAATACTGCTTCAACTCATCGATGTGTTGTTGAAGGTCGTTCAGACTGGTTTCGACGCCATCAAATATAGCACTCGCGGCCGTACCAGGGGAAACTGCGGCCGGCGAGTGCGGAACGAAGAGCTCGTCTCCAGCTCCGGAGGACCGAGATTGTTGTTCCTGATTTGATGCAGAGTACATTTCGGTCTGGCAGTCGAGAGCAAGGGATGGGTGATCGAGCTTGACCAGTGCTGATGCTATTCGTTATTATGCGAGGTTACTGTGCGCAGTGCATGCAACTCACCCTCTGGAACTCGAGTCTATAATGAATATAGTATCGATACTCAATGGTGTGTATGGACAGCTGGTAATGTAGCGCAGGTAAAACTTGAAGTTTGTTGGTGTTGATGCTGGTTCACTATCGATTGGCAAGCGCGACTGCCTTCTCTCGATCGACTTACGCACACTCTACTAGCGCACACTGCGATTTACCATCCTCAAGCGAAGCGAGGTCTGCATCATAAAGTGATTGAATTCAGCAATAGTTGAGCTATGGCAATCGGGCCTCAGCGCTGAACGCTCGCTGTCAAATTAACAACATCTTCTATGTTACAACTGCGTCCTTGCCACTTCTCGACTTGCTATCTCTTTCCTCTGCTTGCCTTCCGAGAGTACTGTCAACCTTGCAACATGAATTCTCAGCCACCATCTGGTGTTGATTGCTCAAGCGTTGTGATCCTTCTTGCCGACCTTGAGCATGACGTAGACCTCCGACGCTGTGGAATGGGTCATCTTAGCAAACTCCTCGATGACATGCTTGATGCCAGTGTCGTTGGCAACACGAGCAGAGAGACGCTGTCCAGCCGAAAACTCCAGCCAGATCTCCTGCTCACTGTCGGGCGTGGTAGCCTCCATATTGCCAGCCTCAACGCCAGCACGGATGTGATCAGAGAAGGCGCGGATAAGCTCACGGCCTTCGGCAGTGCCCTTCTGGTCAAGAAGCATCGAAAGCCACTGGGTGCGTTCGTAGTGCGCAGGGGTTTCGCTTGTCTGCGAGTGCAAGTCAGTATGAGTACAAGCGCGAAAGGTGGGACCAGTGCTGTACCTGTACGCGCTGCTGGCCGCCGGCAGCAGTATCTCTTGTGGCCTGGTGTCTCTTTGTGTGTGGTGGAAGCACAGCCTCTGGGGTAGGACGAGCCTCAATGGTAGCCACGGATGAGCCAGCGACCTCGACAACAGTCTCAGGCACGGAAGGAATGTCGACAGCGACCTTGGGAGTGGAGCGACCAGCAAGAACAGCCTCAGGCTTGGAGACGTGTTGAGCAGACTCAACGTTCGAAAGGACCGAAGGGGCTTTGACAGTCTTGGTAGACACCTGCGGCTCATTCTGAACGCTCCGAACGTCGGTCCAAGATTCGGGCTCGGTGACGGGCTGTTGTACATCGATCCAAGCATTCTGGCTAACAGGGGCGATGTCACGAGAGGTATCGGTCGTCTGAGGCTGCGATTCAAACTGAGGAAGCGAGACGGACTCGAAGCTCATGTTAGACAAGCTGCCAGACACCTTCTGAGCTCGAGGGGTCAATTTCGAATGAGGGCCGGAGTGAGGGCCGCGGGAGCGCTTGGGGGTAGGCGGAGCGTTGCACTCGCCGGCAGCGGATACAGTAGGAACCACGAGCTTGTTGGCAAGAGGCGCGGGCGCAGGTGGGGGTGCAAGTGCGGGACTCTGCTCTTTCAGCGTGCGATGAGGCGGGGCCTTTCTCGTAACGGTTGTTGAAGGCGCCATGCCAGGCGAAGAGATTGAAGTTGCGGAATCACGGTGAGGTGGAGAAGTGACAGTATTGCGGAGGCTGACGTTGGCGACGACAGATGCACCTGGAGGGGTAAAAGGTTTGGCGAAAGCCGAGAAGGACGACTGAGGGTGTATGTGAGACTGGTGTTGATGATCTGGTTAGTGAATGACGGATAATAGCGAATAAGAGGCGTACGTAATTGGCAGAGAATGGGCTGCCAGCAGCGCTGTTGACTGCCGAAGCATCTTGCATCTCAACATCACCGTAAAATGCAGGCGCAGGTTGCTGCCATTCAGTGACGCGAGGAGTGGGGGCAAGAGGTGAGGACGATTGGTCGTAGATAGCAGGAAGTAGAGCCGTAGTTGTAGACTGCTGTGTCTTGGTTGCCATCAAGTTAATCCTCTTCTTCTCCACAAACGTGGGTTGACCGCCTGGGAATGCCATGGTTGTATTTGCGTAGGCGGATGTTGATGTAATGATGAGAGGGTGCTGATTGAATGGAGATGTGCGCTCGACGCCGAAGCACTTTGATGTTGAAGAGCTTGTGGAAGAGATGGCAAGGTGAGGATGAATATCAGAGCTGTGATCGGTTTGCCCGTGCGGTGAAAGGAACAGCGCACTGCGATACGGCGTTACGAGAAGGCTAGAAGGTTGGAGAAATGGCGTGTCGTGACAGTTCTCCAACACGAGAGAATGGTGCGAGGCTCGGTGCCGACTCTTGTGTGAGAAGAAAGTCGGCGCGTCAACGCAACCAAAGAACGACGACTCTTTCTCCAGCAAACAAACAAAACCACCTTGTGCGACTGTCAAGATGATGAAACCTTTGATCAGAATGCGAGGTGACCGAAGTCCTCAATCCATACTGATCTGACCTTCTCTGTGTGATCTGGTAGCCTTGTCAAGTAGACGAAGTTGTGAGATTCTCCTTCGGGAAGCTACTGTACGACACAGAAGGCTATCCTAAAGATTGACCTGCGAGACACTCAATTGAGGCACCGGTCAATCGGGTCTGGAACCTCACACAACGAAGTAGGTAGAGGCCTCAAAAGACATGTCAGGCTTCGTGCCAGCTTCTCAAGTCAAGTCAGGTCGAGTAGGGCGATCCTCAAGGTAACCTGATAACATGCTGCGTTTCATTTTCACAATTGACAGGAAGACTCAGACTGGTATTCTTCCGACGGAACGTTGGTCAGGGGTACAGAACATAAGACGCATCTTATCATCGCAAGCAGGATGCAAGAGGCAGGACCATGGGAGAGCTGAGGTCAAGGCCGAAAAGCCAAAGTCCGCAAAGGCCGCAGACCGATGACGGCATGATGCATGCAACTCTGGAAAATACTCCGACACTTGAGCCTTCATTCACTCGTCTTTGTAGCTGTCCAAGTATTCCATCCTTTCTGCAGGACAAGCAGGCTATTAAGACTGATGGCTGGAAACAACTCGACAGACATCCTGATTGTAGGCTTCCTCGGGCGAGCCATCTTCAAATTCATTGGCTGATCTTTGTCGCACAGGCCGGCGCATTCGCTGCTTTCACCGTCGACTTGTTCGTCTATCCTCTCGACACTCTCAAGACCAGGTTTCAGTCGCCAGACTACAACCGGCTCTACCTTGACAAGGCGACAAATGCTGTCAACAAGCAAGTCCTCTTCAGAGGCCTCTACCAAGGCGTGGGCAGCGTCATCATAGCCACCCTTCCGTCCTGTATGCGCCAATCAATGTCACCCGACTGGTGCTCAATCTCTGACCTTATCCAGCAGGAGCCTTCTTCACCACCTACGAGGGCGTCAAGTCCACCTTCACCAAATACAACCCGACCCTCTCCGGCTCCTCCTCAGCATTACTGCCACAGCCCCTCATTCACTCGGCCGCATCCTCAATCGCAGAGCTGGTCTCTTGCGCCATCCTTACTCCCGCCGAAGTCATCAAGCAAAATGCGCAAATGGTCGACACTGCAAGAGGCGACAAGGTCAACGCGACGCTCCAGACGATAGCCAAGTTCAGGTCAAATCCGCTGGCTCTGTGGAGAGGCTACACGGCCCTCGCAGGACGCAATCTACCATTCACTGCCCTGCAGTTCCCAATCTTCGAGCGACTGAAAGAGGGCATCAAGAAACACAGAGAGGACAGAGGAACTCGGACAAACACCTTGCTGGAGAATGGTCTGATCACAGCCGCCAGTGCTGGCACCGCTGGTGCTTTCGCCGCTGTCGTCACGACTCCCGTGGACGTGGTCAAGACTCGCATCATGCTTGCTGCGGCATCAAGTGCAGCGGAAGATCAGGCCAACGACAGCAAGACGAAGCCAAAAGGACCAGTCGACGCGACAGGGCGCCCGGTCAAGAGTAGTGGAAAAGGTCTTAAGGGTGTGATTCAGAATAGCAAAGAGGGCCTCAAAGACGCGATTCAGAATGTCGCAAAGCCCGTCTCAAGGAAAGGCAGCATCCAGATCGCCAAGGAGATCATCGCGGACAAGGGTGTCATCAAGGGTCTCTTCCGAGGCGGTGCGCTGAGAGCCGTGTGGACACTGATTGGATCTGGTCTCTATCTCGGTGTCTACGAGACCGGTCGCGTCTACTTGGCACAGCGACGAGGTGAGGATATCGACGACGAGGATATCTGAGAACTCATCTGCAGACCATACACGACTAGAACAGTAAAATCTTCTCATCCGCACGCACGCACTCGCTCGTTCCATGTCCGCTTCAGCTCTTGGGCCTTCTGCCTTTCGATGCTCATATACATTGCCTCCTCCATCCAATTCCTGATTGCGCCGCATGAGCTAACCATGCTTGACTCCAAAACAAGCAAATGGGGAAAGGCTTGTCAGTGTCCGGCGGCTTCCGGTCGGACCATTCCTTCGTCAACGCCACAAACTGTCGCCAGGCTGCCATGGTGCTTATCTCTATGTTCGAACCAAGCGATTGGTAGCACCCCTTCCTGGATGAGGGACTAGGAGCATGAGCGGCATCTCCTGCCGGCTGCCATTGTATTCCTCCTACTGATCCACGACACGTACTCACAAGCTGAGGGCGCAGACCCTCAAAAATTCGATCCAACTCTAGCTGACGCCACGTATCCAGAGAACAACAGCGAGTCCTTGCGATGCCGACCGATCAGGCTTCGCATCTGCTAATTGGTCGAGCTGTTTGATCAAGTGGCGCTCATGGCCCAGCCATGTTGACGTGGGGGTCCCATCGTTGCAAATGACAACGTGTTGACCTTCCTGATGCTCGCTACTGCACTCGTACTCGTACGCTTAGACTGACTATAAGAGGTCCCTCATGCTTGCTCGGGAGTTGATCTTGTAAATTCCCCCAGAAGTTACTCCACCCGTCCGTCCTATATTCAAATGGCCGACAAGATGTCATTCCTCGAGGCTACCAAAGCTCGTCGCTCTCTCTATGCACTTGGTAAAGAGTCACCCATATCGGATGACAGGATCCTTTCGATCATAAAGCATGCCATTCGCTACACACCCTCGCCATTCAATGCCCGCTCTTGCCGCTGCATCGTGCTCTTCGGAGATCATCATGACAAACTCTGGGACATGGGTGCTGAGGCCATTCAAAAGTGCATGCCAATGGCTGCAGACATCCTCATCCCCAAAGTCCAAGGGTTCCGCGCTGCTTACGGCACTGTACGTTGCCTGTGTTCACTTCGAAGAAGTTCCATTGATACGCAAGCTAAGCTTTGTAGGTCTTGTTTTTCGAGGATGTCGAGTCTGTGAAAGAGCTGAGCCCTCGGTTTGCAAAGATGTCTGAGGAGAACCCTGAATGTGCGTTGGGATCTATGTGAGAGCTAGATCAAGGGTATTAATTTAGTGCTTTAGGGTACGACCACAGTAGCGGGATGAATCAGTACGTCGGTAAGTGCCTTAGCCAAGACCTAGGAAAGTACCGCTCGACTGACTCTATCTCTACAGTCTGGACGGCTCTCGAGGCTGAGGGTCTCGGATGTAATCTTCAGCACTACCAGGGTATGATGGCCAAGGAGATGAATGCAGAGTGGAACATTCCCGAAACTTGGCAAGCGAAATGTCAGCTTGTCTTTGGAGAACCATTATCAGGCCCTTTGATGGACAAGGAGAAGACTTTCCGAGACATTGATGAATGTCTCAAGGTTTACCAATAGCTTCATAGTCACAAGATGTTCGTCGATTGGAGATGTGACACACTACTTATGCACTCCTGTCTGCGGTGAATCATGTAGGATCTGTTTATAGAGTTGAGATGCTCGTAATATGCAGATGAAGACGTGTATCTAGCACGCGTCGTTGATTATGGAACATGGGACTCTGAGCCCGAATTGTAGAGCATTATGCATGAGCAATGTTGAGCGACCGCCTGCTCGGCTTCGACAGGCTAGACTTCAACGACCGTGCGTGATGGATGTACTTTACATAAATATATAGGACACGCACAACTCTGCACCGGATCTCATGGTTCCGAGAGCACCATCGGAGTAAACATAAATCTCTTAGTGCGAAGTTCAACATGAACCTTTTCGAAACCGCTTCTGACGTTGACTAAAACAGGAAAAGGACCATGTTTTGCGCGCATGCGGTGTCTCTGAAAGGTCTTGCGACTATTCACGCACAATGTCAGATCTTCAGCTCAAGACCGCCACTTCCAATTCCGTTTGCCTTTGCAAAAATTATGCTCTAGACATTTGTGACGACCATTGGTAGGGCCACTCGTGGCGACGGCCGAGTTCATCATATACGTCCTGTGCCTGCCATCCCAGGTTTCAACCATTCCTATTCACAGATCGCTCAACGAAAAGACTATCGATCCACCTATGGTCATGGCCGAATCACATTTGCCTTTGTTCTTTGCCTTGGTCGCTGTGGCTTTGTCGGTCTTTTACTACGTCTTCACGCAATACCGCCGCCTGCCACCTTTCCCAGTCGTCAATGCTTACAGAAACGATTTCAATCGAGCAAAGGCACATCACGAATATCAAACAAGAGCGAGGGAACTCGTTTCAACGGGTCTGGCTCAACACCACGGTCGTCCTTTCACCATCATTACGCCCAACGGCCCGAAAGTCATCCTTTCGTCTGCACTGTCAGATTGGGTCAAGAACAACAAGGATCTTGATCACCCGGCACTTGTGAGAGATGACTTCCTCGCTGGCTACTCTGGCTTCAATGCTCAAACCGTCTTACACGAAGGCAGCCAAGTTGTTAACTTGATCAAGTCTAAACTGTCCAAGAACGAGACCCATATCTCAGTCATGAACACCCACATCACTGGAGTTTTGGATCAGTCTTGGGGTGCAGATCAGTCCTGGCATTCCATCGACTGGCAGAAGGATACCACATCACTCATCTCGCACGCTGCTGCGTCTGTCTTCGTTGGGCCTCACCTTGCCAAAAACCCAGAGTGGCAGAGTCTTACCAACAAATATGTTATGAATTATTTCACTGCTCTCGGTCAGATTCGAGAGTGGCCTGCACCACTCTGGCCTGTTGCACATCTTTTCAATCCACTGTCTCGCACATGCCGTCACGACATGAAGCGTGCTCGGATCATGATCACCGAAGAGCTCAGAAGGAGGAAGAGTGAAGAAACACATTCAACATTACCCTACAACGATACAATTGAGTGGTTGTCTGCGGCTGCTGGTGAAAAGCCTATCGATCTAGGTGCTATGCAGTTGGCTCTTGCTATTGCAGCGCTTTTTACCACATCTGAGGCGCTCCGCCAGACAATCTTGGAGATCTGCAAACATACAGACATCGTCTCGCCTCTGCGCAATGAAGTCGAAGAGGCCATCGCTCAACATGGTTGGACTACGGCTGCTTTGATCAAGATGAGACTGATGGACAGTGTCATGAAGGAAGCTCAAAGGACTCTTCCGGCTTCTGGTGAGTTCATACCCAATAAAATATCAGTTATATGCTAATCAATATCCATAGTCGGCCTTGAGCGCAAAGCTTTGCGCGACACGATGATGCCTGATGGCGTCAAGATTCCGGCTGGAACTCACATTGCAGTTGACGCTTCTCTCATGTGGAGCCCAGAAGTCTACGCGTCGCCAGAAACATTCGATGCCCGTCGTTACTTGGACCTTCGCGAAAAGACGGGTAGTCCGGCCCATGCATTTACTGCGACAAGCAAAGAGCACATCACTTTTGGTCAAGGTAGATCTGTTTGTCCCGGACGCTTTTTCGCTGAAACCGACATGAAGCTCTGTCTTGCACAGATCCTGCTCAAGTACGACTTCCGTCTCGAGGAGACATACAAGAGCACTTCGATAGTTATGGGCTTCTATCCCGTTGTGGACCCCTTTGTCAAGGTCGAAGTGCGCCGCAGGAACGCATCAAGGATATGATGTACCAGTTTTATAGGAATAGCCTTAGCTACAAAAGTGCACACTTCTGCTTGTTGACTTGCGAACCCGGCGGGACAATGGGCAAACATGTGCTAAAGTCATGGTGATATATCGAGTGTCGAGACGCCCATGCCATGGAGCGGCATTGGAGCATTCCAGGTTATTCTCAAGAGCCCCACGGAAGAAAGGCCCCACCGGCAATGACCGAATCGTTTACGGCCGCAAAGACACAACACAGACCACCAATTGTGTGCCGATTCTGACTTTCCTGCAGCCGTCCTCTTCCTCATCCTCGCTCCCTCGAACCTTAGTATAGCGGTCAACACATTCAAGATCGCGATATGGGTGCTCGGGGCAAGAGCGAACATGTGGTCAAGTGGTGCAGGTCCACTGCGTAACGTAAAACCCAGGCTTGGTTGTGACTTGGCCATGCAATAGGATAAGTACCACGAGATAAGGAGTCGTGTTTTGCATCGCTTTTCGCAATTCTCAATTCTTCCGACATGTCAAGATCCCTACGCACTGGCCAAATTCTGGTTGGTCTTGCGTCGTTTTCTGCGACTGCATTGTGTGCAAACTCAACACTCTTCCATGGAGGCACCATTATCACGTTCGACGAAGCATCGCAACTCCCTGTAGCTCTTCATGGCTCTTCGCTACTTGTCACTGGAGATTCTATCGCCAAGATTTTCGAGAGCTCCGATAACGTGACTCTTCCTACCGGCACTGAGATCATCGATGTCGCAGGCAAAATTGTTTCTCCTGGCTTCATCGACACACATCGTCACAGTTGGCAAACGTAAGGCTTGATATCCTCTCAATCCTGTTCCCCGAATCACGACTGACGAAAAGGGCCAGTGCATACAAGACTCTCGGTTCAAACACTACCTTGGCAGAATACTTTGGCCGCTACGGTGAATTCACTCAAGCCGGAACTGTTTTTAGACCTGAGGACATCTACTACGGCACTCTTGCCGGTCTTTACGAACCTCTGGACGCAGGAGTTACCACTATTCTTGAGCATGCTCACGGTACCTTCTCGAATGAGACATCGAACGCATACCTTGAAGCTGTAATAGATAGCGGTGTGAGGATGGCATTTTGCTATGCCTTCCACGAATTGAGCAATGGCTTCAGCTTCGAAGAACAGCTGGCCAACTTTGCCGACTTGATGAAGAACGAGAGACTCAACTCACAGGATTTGGTGCAGATCGGTATTGCCTACGACGCTTTCATTCAGGACAACAACAACACTCGAGCTATCGTCAACCTGGTCAACAGCAAAAATGTCTCTGCGCTCACCATGCACTTCCTGGGCGGTCCTTGGGGCAATACGAATTCCCCCAGCAAGCTCGATCAGCTCGGTCTTCTCAACGGCACTACCCCCGTCGTCTTCTCTCACGCAAGCTACGTCACCACCGATGATGCAGAGCTGCTACGCAAGCATGACCAATACATCTCCACCACCCCTGAGTCTGAAATGCACTTCAAGCCCGCATCTGGTTACAGAGCACTCGTCTCCGCTTCTTCTATCAGTATCTCGGCAATTGGAACGTTCCTCGCAATTCACCTATGTCCGCAAACCAAGCCTTCACTCTTGCAACTCGCTCTGGTGCTCTTGCCTTGCGTCGTCCTGATCTCGGCGTCCTTGCCACTGGCAACAAGGCTGATATTGTTGTCTTTGATGGCGATTCTCCGAATATGCTCGGATGGTCTGATCCTGTGGCTGCTGTCATTCTACACTCTCATGTTGGAGACATCCGTCACGTCATGGTCGGTGGTGAATGGCGCAAGAGGGACGGGCAACTTGTCACCAAGCAGAACAGAACAGAGGTCCAGACCAAATTTCTGGATTCTGCTAAGCGCATTCAGAAGATATGGCTCGAGACGCCTTTGCCGGAGATGGATGGCGAGTTCAATGGAATGTCAAATGTTGATTATGTGGATGCTTATACTATTGATGCTGTTCGTGGTAATGGTACTGGATACTAGCTTGCTATCAGAACATATCATGAAGCTATCACGGATTTACATTCATATCTTCTCCGCGACCTAATTGGGTCGAGTCCAAAGTTTGATGGACTTTGAATCCGTGACGCATGATCTACATGAATCCTTCCGTACTTCCGTCGCTCAAAAGTATGCCCCCGCGCCGCTGCTTACTATATTCGACTCCGATCAAGCCGCACTTTCGTTGTTCCTTTTCTTACACTCAAACTCTGTAACAGCTTCTGCAAAAGACGGGACCCGATCCTTGGAGCGTGGCTTGCAGGACGTATTTCAATGACCTGATTATTCACATTGAGGATCCACCGCCGACTCTTCGCGATGCACAATCCAGGCAAAATCCTCGAGCACGTTCACAGACATTTGCCTTATACGCGCTGGAGACACTCGATCCAATGCACTGTCGTATGGACGAGCTTCATCGCTTCTAGTATCTTGACTTGGTCCATATGGGTCAATGGCTGCTTTTTCGAGATTCCCGATCGTATTGCCAAATTTTTACCGAGTCCTCTACTCATGTTGACTGTCTTCTGGCTTCATATTGTACCAGTCTGCTGGATTGCAGATAAGGAGGGCAAGAAATTGGGTGCGACGTCAGGAGATGCTCACGGGCAGATCAGATACAGCGCGTCGCTTTCCACACTAGCAAAGTGTCCCACTTCGGAAGTCATCGTGTGGGCAAATTTTATCATCTCCGGAATCACCACCTGGATTATCTGGACCAATGGCTGCTTCTTCGAGATACCTGAGTCTCTTGCAAGATTCCTGCCTCATCCTATGATCGCGCTGGCTATCTTTTTGCTGCATTCCCTTCCGATAATCTGGGTTGCGGACAGGGAAAAGAAAAAGGATGGTGCAAAGACTCGTTTTTAGGGCAGAAATTGATGACTATTTAGACTGTTCAAAGTCGAAGGAAATCTTCTAAGACTCGTTGCTGGTTTCAAGAGAGACATCGAGCTCAGAAGAACATCTTGATAAGCATACAGGGGTAGTTCCTGCCGAGGTGAATCCCCATACATCATCATGAGGATCAGGCCGAACCTCCAACCATTCCGAGAATTGTTTGCGCTTGTAGTCCTTCCATGAGTTTGAGTCTGGCTCTCTCTTCTGCTTCGTAAGATTGCTAGCTGAATAGCTATCTTCGTTTGAGTCGCAAGTCTTAGCGTACTCATGCTCTATCTTGAGCTTCCGCAAGCTCTCATACGGCCACGGTGTCCTCGGACGCTGTATACGATCTTTGGGCTGCTCAAGGACGGAGATAGATGGTAGACTGAAGCATGCTACGACCACTTCGTGCTGAAGCGAGTTGCGATCTTCCCAGCCTTGCGGATATTTTTCAGCTGGTATACGCATGGGAGGTGTCGTCTTGATCGTCTCGTCGCTATTGGGTATTAGTCCGATAGTATTGTGACACAGTCCACAGCTCACTCACCGCTTTTCAGAGATGCTCTGTGACGGCCGGTGCTCTGTCGCGTCATGTTGTGTCATGATCGTCGTGTTATTCAAACTCGAGTGCTTGCACACTATCACCTACACATATGAGGAACATCAATTTATATGTCAGAAGAACATCACGTCTACGGAAGACATGGACCAGGATGACTGTTACAAGTGTGGTGATTTGTGATTATCACGACTGCATGTCAGACACAGCTCATGCCACTCCAGTCACGCTTGTAGCTCAAGTACAAGTAAATCCAGTAAATCCATGTATGAAAGACGGGCCTTCTGTAGCGGTGCGAAGCGAAGGTCTGTAAGGACATTTCGGATTCCACTCCTTAGTCACCCCACTACAGACCCCAGTCTTTTGTCCAAAGACAAGGTACAAGAGTCACCCCACTCGACCCAATCAGGGATCTCAAGCGTTCGAATGGCATGTACGTGGCATCCTATAGTATGACAACCCGGAGTCCAAGCCGAGCCAATCGCTGAGCTCAATCGCAAGCACGATACGTTGCACGAGATGGGAGCCCCCGGCGTTTGCGACCTACACACCACTCATGGCCTGACACTGTGTAGTCAGCCGCCAGCAAATCGAAACGTCAGGTGAAGCGAGCGACATGCTTCGCTAGTATCTCTCCGATGGTCAAGCAAACTTATGTCGTGATACAGGTTGCCTAAATCGCGGACGTGAGAGTGACATGTGATGAGCGTGAGGGCGACAAGGTCTATAAGAGCAACTCCAACCCTATTCAGTCTGGATTTTGCGATCAGGAAGACTCAGTTGCCTTCATCTCGGTATTCCCCTCGAGTACAAAACCAGCGACAATTACTGCTCTCTCCTGTCCCCTGGGTCACTTACACCATCACATACCACAAAGCACTCAGAATCAGCATATACCGACACTCAAAATGGCTGTCGTCTGGCCCTCCCCAATGTCGCAGCCTCTGATCGACTACGACATGCCTATAGTAGACCACATCCATGCGCGTCACCGAGGAATACATTGGCCATTCAGCACTTACAAGCCCGAGCAAGAGATATTCTACCCAGATGTCGATGTACGCGACTACGAGACCGGCTACGCCATTGATATGGAGCTCCCAGGCTTGTTGGACAAGAACAGTATCAAAGTGGAATGGACGTCCAAACACGACATCATGATCAGCGGAATTCTTGCCCGACCTGAACTGCCAGTAGTAGCGAAATCTGCCGACGCTAACGGACGACGTAACGAAGACATCAGTGTCGCAACTGAGAGCAGTGAGAAAGACAAGTCTGCTCCCATACTCTTGGTCGCTGAACGCAGGACTGGTCACTTCCGTCGCAGGTTTCATCTACCAACAGAAGTGGATGCGGCAAATCTGAGAGCAAAGCTTGAGAACGGTCTGTTGGAGATAAGGGTTGATAAAGTAAAGACAGACCAACGAACTTCTGGACAAGCAAAGATTGAATAGTTGGTAGCCCATCTTTGAGACTTTTTGGGGAATGGAAGTGTCAATCAGTGTAGTAAGGAGTTGGTGTTGTGATCCTGCCGAATGCTCTCTTATCTCCCATACTATTTATATGCAAACTCCAGATCTTCAACAGAATCCACTCCTGCAAGACCTTCACCCTTTGACTTCTGATTGATCAGCCTTGCCACTGGACACTCATCACATTGCACCTGATCAGCAACGCTGTCGAATTCCGATTCGAGCTTTAGATTGAGATCTGCCTCTGCCTTGATCGCAACTTGCAGGCGATCGATCATCTCTGCAGCAGCGCACAGAGTGGTGGTTTTGCTTGGTTTGTCGATTGTTTGCAGATCGAAAACCGGGTCCTTGCTGACTATCTCTTCGATCAAGACACTTAGACTTCCAATGCTTTGATTCAGCCCGTCTCGGTATTTGCGTTCGGCGGAAGTATGGTTACGACGTCCGCGTGGATGAGCTGCTTTGATGTCTGATGGGATCTCGTTTCCGACACTTTGGAGAGCGTTTTGCGCTGGAGATCCGGCACCTTGGTAGGCTCGAGACATGGTGGTGGTAGATCAATTAGATCAAGTTTAGTTCTGCAGAGCTGAGCAAAGGGACTGTCTTGGTCCTGAGTGGAAACGCCGTATTTGAGAGAGGTGTGTTAGACTAAGAGGCTTCTGAATATGCGCAGGTCATCGGACGCGGGCACGCCAGGATGGAGGTGCCATAGACTCGCCAAGCTGTAGCTCAAGCACAGAGAGCTGCTCCTGCCCCGTAACCAATCGATATTTGCAGGGATAACCTGGAGCATTCTCGTAGGTTCGAACGTCAAAGTCGCATGCAGAGAATTCGGGAGTAACTCCGTGCCTGACATACCTCCACGGGCAACACTCCGAAAGCTACACTATTCTACCTCAATGAAATTGCCGGCTGAGCATTAGCTTGACCATTTCCTGCTGCATATAATGAGGCCCAGTATCCTCTCAAGGCAAGTCAACCTTGATGACATGGACGACCTTTACTTTACTCATCTGCAAGATAGTCCATGTTCCTCGTACGCACCTGCCCTCGAAGGCCATGTACCTACGGAGTTCGTTACCTCCGCTTCTGATCCTGAGCATGATGACGTCAAAGTCAGCGGGACATGTACCGACAACCAATCGTATCTCACTCCGACATGCGGCTCTGCAGAAGTCTTGGACTATATGCAGCTGGCTGTAGCTTCGAGTAAACCCACCACCCGAGGTCGTCGAGCCGCCCATGCATCCGTGGAAATGAGATACCGGGCAAGGCTGAACGCTCAAGTCGACAAACTGGAATACGTCCTTCACCGAATCGCTCCAGTCACAGACATGGAAGACTCCTTCTCTGACAGAGCTCGAACCCGACCCAAGTGTCAAACCATCGACAGCGCAACTAGCGAAATCTCCAATCTTTGGTCTCGCTACAAGAAACAGAGAGGGCAGAATAAAGATCTGTCATACCGTGTCCGGGGACTGCAAAAGCTAGCCTTTTGCGAGAATTGTCCTCTGATGGAAGCTGCGCATTCCCAGATGAGTCCCACGCATGACTGCGGACAGATATGTGTGGACGTATTGTTGGTCTGACTGCACACACGTGGTATTACGTTCGAAAGTCAGGCATAGTTTATAAGCAGCAAGGGTCTGCGGAGTCGGATCTCTAGACCGCGCCATTTACAGAAAATGCACATCACAAGTCGTCAAGAAGAGTTGATCAAAACTTCAACAATCTCATAGCATTTACTGCCGTGTCTAGCGCTGACCTGGCTTACGGGCTGTGGTCCTTATCGCTCAATTGGTCGATATCTGCAGTCGGCATCATTAGCTCGTGATGAGAATATGTGTTGAACTTTGTGTGCTTGGCAGCGTCGAAGGAGCGAGTAGACCGCTGGTCACATTGAGAGACACTTGCGAAGATGTAGTGGATTTGGATGACTTGGCACAATGCAGCAGCAACTAGGCGATGCACCGCGAAGCTGAACCAGTCATCTCTCAACCAAACATAGACCCGTGACATGCAGCAGACACTTCAGGCGAATTTTGGCTGTAGTCTACCGGATATCCTCTCCAGTATCCTCTGTGGTAATAGGTTCTCGTAGACGTGTCCGACCCATTGACAGCATATCTCTCTCGTAGAAGCAGGATCGATGATCTCCTCTACACCAAAGTGATTCGCCGTACGAATTGGGCTCATCAATCTTCTGTACTCGCTCTCGAGCTCCGCGTATCGCTCATCCCGCTTTTGTTTTCCATGTTGTCGTTCAATCTCCCTGAGCTCGAAAGAATGGCCGACTTCAATGCCGCCTTCGAGAGGGAGTGAGCCCCAGTTTCCCGATGGCCATGCAACGCGCATACGAGGGTCCCGACAATCGAGCATCAAGCCTCCTGCTACGCCGTACACACGTCTTATAATGACACTGAAGACTGGCATCGTAGTGCTATAGTAAGCTGTGGCCAGCGAGATACCGTGGCGCATCGTCGCGTTCCTCTCAGCAACTGTGCCAATCGCATAGCCAGGGATATCCACAAATTGTACCAGAGGGATGTTGAAGATATCCAAGAACTTGAGCATGCGTGCAATTTTTTGCGAGCCCAGAGCGTCCAGTGCTCCCGCGTTGACTTCGCAATTCAAAGAGACAATTCCCACTGGCTTTCCTCCGAGTCGAGCGAGTCCGACAATTGCCGTTCTGCCCCAGAGTGCGCCAATCTCGAAGAAGGAGTCAAGATCGACAACCTCCGTGATGATTTTGCGAGCGTTGTACATCCGGTTCTTCGCTCGAGGGATGATTGAGCGAAGTAGCGCTGATTTGCGAGTCGTTGGATCTGATGGCTCGACCACTGGAGGGAGCATGGTTCCGCTATTTGGTAGATAGCTGAGTACAGTACGCAATTGTTCGAAACATTCAGCTTCGTCAGCTGCGAGATTGTCGATAGTGCCGTTTGTGCAGTGGACCCCTGGACCACCGAGATCAGCAGGTGTAAGGTCTTCTTCGAAACTGGCGTTCTTGACGACATCTGGGCCAGCGTTGAAGAGCGAACCGATATCGCCGGCCATGACGGAGAAGTGACATGCGACGACGCGAGCCGCTCCAAGACCGATGGCTGGACCGACTACAGCGCCTAGATTCGGGATGCCTAGGTTGAGTTGCTCCACGACGTATTGAAAAGACGGGAGAGGTGGTATGTAGGAGAAACCGGTTGTGCGTATTGTTGTGACGGAGCCCCCGCCTGATGACCCGTCGACTAGCTTCACGATTGGAAGTTTGAGTGCGATTGCGAGCTTCTCCATATAAACCTTTACACTGGAAAATTAGCTCAGTCCATGCGTGGTACGAAAAGCAGATGGAACGAGATGCTCCGTCTGGACACGAATGTAGCAGGCCTTCAGTAGTCGGGCAGGAGGTTTCCAGCGGACAAGGATGGGTGCGTCGTACCGTCTTCTCTGTGGAGGCACCATCGGCATGACCAGCTCGAATGGAGAAGTCGTCCGCCGTCAAAATAACTTTGCGACCTCGGAGCGTACCAAAACCTGACAAGATGTGAATCACTGATTGTAAACCGAGCGGCTGCACAGTTCCTACCCTGAACATTATTTGACGGCACAAATCCAACTGGCTCCTCCATAGTTTCACTAGTCTTCTTCCACTTCACAGTACCCGAAATACTTCCTACCGGTCGAAAACTGGTAGGATCAAGTAGCTGTTGGATTCGTTCTTGGACCCATAGTTTGCCAGCCTTCTTCTGTCGCACGTAGCCTCGATTGTCGGTATCAGGTGTTGCGGCAATCTTCTGCAATGTCGTGACTTGACCGAGTACGTCCGAGTAGTCAGCTGGCAGTGTGTTGACGGCTTTCGCTCGTCGCTTCCCGGTTTGTCGTTGTGGAGGATCTGCTGTGAGGTGCGAATGTACTTGATCAAGACGTTCTTTAGCACTTTTGCCTGACATCTTCGCTGTCCTTCGAGCTGTTCACTAACTAAAACCTGGTTAGAAAGTTGTGAACCAGACAGGAGTCTCAGCTACAGACTCACTCGATCTTCCAAGGCACTTCTTCATGGTATAGAAACCTTGCAAGGTGCAGTGGGAGCTTGTCCACACCCTCGGCTCCAATTCGAATCGAGGGGAAACATGGCGTCATTTCTGTCCAGCTTCGTGCATGCCGAGGCACAACCACAGCCTGCTCTCACCAACATCTCCATGAGGCACTAGGTCAATGGGAATTTGGAAATATACGAGGGAATATTTATCAGTGTTTGGAGCGTTCTGTGTCGCACGAACACGCACTCGATCATCAAGTGTCGGTCGCAAAGTCACGAGGTTAAGAAGTCCAAACCCGCTATGTCCAGGCCGCCCACCCGACCGATCAAACGCCTTCTCGTCGCAAACAGGTCAGCAAATCGAATTGTTTGACCTTCCCAGATTTAAGCTGTCTGACTCGAAACAGAGGAGAGATTGCGACGAGAATCATAGCATGTGCTCGAGAGTTGGGCATCGAGACCTTCGCCATTTATGTCGTCGACGATGATTCGCATACTCTTGGAGCAGCTCACGCTATCAAGCTTGATAATGCTTCTGTATTCATGAGCATCAAGGACTTGCTACAAGTCGTTAAGACTCATCATATCGATGCTGTTCATCCAGGATATGGGTTCCTCTCTGAGTCGGAGGAGTTCTCAAAGAGATTGTGGAACGAGGCTAATACCGTTGTTATTGGTCCTGGATGGGACATTCTCGCCAAAACTGGAGACAAACTGCAAGCTAAATCACTTGCCGCACAGTGTGAGTAAACTGACTTTATGTTGCTGGCACCAATCCGTCATCTGCAGAGTCGTAAGTGTGCTACAAGCCCTCGATGGCGGCAAGACAACACGCATCGAGTGCAGATCATCGCCGTACGCTTATTGGCTCGACTCCTGCGATACGGTTGTTTCAGGACCAACAGAATGCTCCATGTCCGCATGTGTGCAGGCAAAAGACGATGCACAGATGCTGACCGCTTTCACAGGCCAAGTACCGTCAAGTCCGGCTCTCGATCAACCCACAGACAGTCTAGGAAACATCCAGAAGTTTGCAGCAAAGGCAGGCTACCCTCTGATGGTCAAGGCTGTCGATGGTGGTGGTGGTCGAGGCATTCGCCTCGTTCGCAAGCAGGAGCAGCTAGAGTCATCATTCAAGCGGGCGCTTGAAGAAAGCCCTTCGAGACAAGTCTTTGCAGAGAGAGCAGCGGTTGATGATTTCCACCATATTGAGGTTCAGATCATTGGTGATGGTACCGGTAACGTGACACACCTCTGGGAACGTGAATGCAGCATACAAAGGCGTTATCAAAAGGTCGTCGAGTATGCTCCGAGTCTGATCAGCGACCGCAGACTGATCGCGCAGGTTGTCAATGCTGCGCTCAAGATTGCAAGCCATGTAAGACTACTCGTAGACTGACGCCTGCTCAAGCCTAGACTGATATCGACCAGGTCCGGTATTTCTCATTAGGGACCTTCGAGTTCTTGGTCAACCCAAGAACAAAGGAGTACTACTTTCTCGAGGTCAATCCTCGACTACAAGTTGAGCATACCATTACAGAAAGTATAGCAACCACAGATCTTGTGCGATGCCAGCTTCTTCTTTCTCAAGGAGCTACTCTTGATGTTTGCAGCTTGACGAGAATAAGTCGCGAACCTGAGACTCTACCACCACTGCACAGTATACAACTACGGATTACTGCCGAGAACGTCGAGAATAATTGGTCGCTATCGATTGGCAAGGTTACGCGATTTAGATTTCCGACAGGTAATGGCATCCGCGTCGACACGCATTTGGTCAACGGACATGCCACAACGGTGTCAACCGACTTCGACAGTCTTGTTGCGAAGCTGGTAATTACAGGCTCTTCCTGGCATGAGACTGTACGAAAAGCTCAGCGTGCATTGGAAGACACTTCCATATCTGGCGTACAAACCAATATCGGCATGTTGAAAGCAATTGTGGCGCACCGGGACTTCCTGGAAGGTGACTGTGACACTCGTTGGTTGGAGGATAACCAGACGGAACTGCTTGAAGCCAGCCGACAATATTTCACAACACACAAAAGCCTCATCCCAGACTCGACATTGTCTATGGTCAACTCGACAGCAAGCGCCATCCTCCGCAAAGGCGACGCATGGTCTGCCATGATCTCCTCACCAACCAGTAAAGGTGAAAGCGACGCACCATGTCACGTCAAGTTGACCCGGGTCTTTCGCAACGATTTCCCAGGACACTTGAGTGCCGAGCTACTCTTCTCAACACCATCCCAGGAACCGATACCTTACAAGATTACACTCTCCTCAACATCTGCAACAGCTGCTGCGACGACGTCACAACAGCGACGTGGCGACCCATCGAACTCATCCCACATCATCGTACCCTTCCCCGGCAAACTGATGGAGGTGCTGGTGCAAGAAGGAGACGTTGTAAAACAAGACGATGTCGTATGCGTCATACAACAGATGAAGATGGAGCTTGAGGTTCGCTCGCCGAGGAGTGGAGTTGTTACATGGATCACCGAGTCAGACGATGGCGAAGACGTTGCGGAAGGTATGCTGGCTGCTATAATCACGCCACAGAAAGGGACAAAGTTGTGAGAGTTGTAGCGGTGTTACATTTGTTCCCTGTGTAGATGACGGGAGCCTTACTCCAAAACACAATCTATTCTCTGAATGGCTTCCCTGGCAAAGCTGTTCTCGAGACGGGGTCTTGACGAAGCGGACAGAGATCTGTCTTGTAAACGGCGACATACCGATGGCTCAATCAAGCTAGCTTGTGGTCATCAACCCCCGTAGGAAGGAGCTGCGGTTCTGCTCTTATCTGATCTGATTCCAGCGCAAAGCCGGAAATAGAAAACAAGAACGATCAGGCCAATCCAGATAGCCAACTCCGAGCCGTATATCACCAGCCCCAAGACTTTCAGATGCGGCTGGAAAACAACAGACAGGAGTGACGCAAGATCTCCACTGGCGTCTAGCGCTGCAAACTTCAATGACATGCCAGCATCGGACCTAGTCTTGATCATGTCTACACAATGTCGCAACACGCCACCAGCGAGTAACGCTGCCGCAAGAATAGCCATCAAGGTGGAAGGCCAATGAGTACCTCTATCACGACCCAGGCGAAGAGCAAAGACCAGGCCAGCTTCGATGCCGCCGAAAATGAGGGCGATGAAGGTGCTTGCGAGAATCGTCTTTTTCAAGGTCCATTTGTCGCCGTAGTGCTTACACTGCGACCAAGTAATCAAGCTGAGGATGATCAGGATGTTCGGCTGTATCTGAAGTGCGATGTTGTAATCGTCGACGATGTTGTAGATGCCCAGTGGAATACCAGCGATGGACCATGCAAGGAAGAAATGTGGAGAGAGTTCTTCCGTGGAGTGACGATGAAAGTTCTTCCACATCTGGGGAAGGAGCTATCAAGATCTTGTCAAGGATGATTTACTAATATGGTCAAATTGAAGCGACTTACCTGGAGCGACCAAAGGACTGCACCAAGAATGCCAAAAGCATTCGCAGCAGCAGATTTATCCATGACTCCCACGCTGGAGGGAGACCTGAGGGAATCTTTGGTCCGATGCTGTTCAAAGTGGATGTAGTCGTTGGATACAAAGGTGACGCGGGACTTAGCCCAAGTCAAGTTTGCCGTCAATCTGGAGAAAGTGATCTGGAACTAGCCAATGAAGGATCCTGCCAAGCTCAGTCTGCTTCAACCGCATCCAGAGCACGGGCTTCCTTATTCGTTTATGTGATCTTGAACCGTCCAGTCATAACGTTTCTCAAGACTCGGATGTCGCAGCATCAGAGTAAAGTGAGGCGCGAGGGAAAAGTTTGACATCAGTCTCCAGGACCATGTCTGTACATTGATCTACTTTGTCATAGTCCAGATAGGACATCCGTCAGCTTATCTTCGCCGCGAACTATCAAGCCGTGGTCTTGCAAAGCTACCACGAAAGCAGATCGAAACTCAGCCCAGTCTTCGAACATGAGACTTCTCCTCTCAAGGATCATGAAGCAGTTGTGTCTACTGTCACAGCATTGTATGGAGTCAGAGGGCACTTTGGATGATGTTCCCAGGCACATCTCCTGTGGCAGGGGTGGAAGGGGCAACATGGTATGTGGTGAGCGGTTCAGCTGGGAGAGACCATATCTGACCAGAGCAAAGACTTCTTCAGATGCTCTGCTCAGCTCGCCGCCGCTTGTTGCAGGCTTTTTGGAAAGCGGGAAGCTCATACCCGGCCGACCGCCAGGGAATCCGGCGTATCAAGTGGTCGAGGGCGTTTGATGGTCTAGGATGCAGTATTCATTGGAAGTGTCCGTGTCTTGCATACGATCGCCTCCTGTTGCGTCGGTTGTTGGCCGAGTGCCAAAGTGCTTCATACCTCATCAAGCGGGTAGCAGTTGTCAAAACTCAGGTAGACAATGGTCTCGAGACCATATCCAAGCGCGACTCAAGTTTCAGTGAACAGTTCGCGGCCTGTAAATGTGTCATAATCGTTCAAGTTTAACCAGACGATGCTCGAACCAGTCGGAACATGATCATAAGGCTCACACAACTCCTGCATTGGCGAGGACGCATGCGACTGATCCGAGAATTGAGGGAATCCGGGTATCGATGACTTCGTACTGCCAAACATATCCGGTGTCTCCAGAAATGATCCTCCAGCCACTATGAAATTGTACAGATCATCATGATGCGACCTGGTGATATCAAAAGACGGAGCATGGCCTTTGTTAGGTAGGGCAATAGTTTCGGGCGCAATCTCGCGGCCCAAAATTGATTCAGACAAGGGCAACCGAGCACAATTGACGTTTAGTTCCAGACCATAATCTTTGGGCGTTGTGTTTGCATACTTCTTGAACAGTCTGTGAAGATGCCCGATACTGACTCCGACCTTTCCAGCAACACTTGAGACGGTCCAGTCCTCGTCTCGCTCCCTTGACTGTTCAATCAGATTCTTTGCCGCTTCGAAGTCGGCTCTACTTTTCATGTCGCGACGCCATAAGTTGTTGCTGGGCTCACATCGCTTGCAAGAACGGTAGCCGGCCCTTTTCGCTGCGGGAATGTCGTCGAAGAAGACAATGTTGTCTCTTCTTGCGACGCGGGCGGGGCAAGTTGGGCGACAAAAAATCCGGGTCGAGGTGACGCCATAGTAGAATGCGGAATTGGCTGCCGCGTCTCGAGTCCTGATGGCCGTCCAACGAGACACTATTATTGCGTAATCAGAAGGTCTCGGTGCGAACGCCATAGGAATATCAACAGCCTCAAGCCGATAGAGTTGATGATAAGTGAAGTGAACAAGGACAACGCAGTTGGATTGAGAGTTGATAGGTAATATTTTGAGCTCCAGCTTGGCGTCACTTCTGGTTGGTCAGATTGCGATCACACTCGAGATAACGGTAGCGTGAAGACTCGCACCGGTACACGTGTCGGTGTGCTGGAAAGCCGAGAGCGGAGAATGGCCTTCCCGCTTCTCTGCTGCCTCTTCCCTAAACGAACCTTGTTGTGTTTCGCCATCATCGCTGTCGGTCGTCGAGTACTGGGATTTATTGAAACCGAAGGTGATGCGACCTCGTACAGCATGTCGTTCTTGCCAGTCAGTCTTCTGCCGACCTTTGGATGATGTCGTCCGCTCAACGAATGCGACAGAACGCGACGACGAAAGTGCGACCGTGATGACAGCATTGGACGAAACGTGTGCTCGCTCTGTCGCAAGCGCCAGGAGTCCTGCATAGCTTCGATCTCTGTACATCACTCAAACGCTTCTCGGTCTCCAGTCTCGAATGCTGGGAAGGTAACGGCCAGTTCGAATTACGTCTTGCAGGCCAGACCAGTTGATCTACAAGCAAGCCCACCAACCAGGCACTTTGCTTCAATCGCGCCACAACCGAGCGTCGACCTTCCCTTCTCCCTAAGTACTCTGACTGAGGTCTCTGGTCATTTTCACTCAGGTTTACCACCTGTCGCCGTGGTCGCTCATTGTTGTAATCTGTACTTTGACTACGTACATGATCAGTTCCATACCCTGTTCCAGCGGCCAGCCTTCATGGCGAGCCAAGCCAGATGATCGTGCTAAACAGCATCTTCAAGAAAGTCAATCAGCTCAATGTCAAGACTGCGCGATCTCATGACGTTGCCACGATCCTCAGGGACGTTCAAGACGTCATGTCACAGCTGGACGGCTGGGAAGCGTCACTACCAGGATACATGCAAGATACGCAATCAAACTTGTCTCATTACGCGGCACAAGGTCTCGGTCGAGTCTTCGTTACTGTTTACCTTGGTATTTACCACTACGGTCAACTATTAACATATCAGTTCCTTCACCATAACGCAAGTGATGATCCCACAACTACCATTCTCTCACAGCGATGCAAGGACTTCGCTGAGAAGCTTTGTGACATGGTTTACACTGCACTTGACACTCCCGGCTGCGACGTTCTATATAACATGGTCGGACACATCCTTGTTATCGCATCGACTATACAGATCCATACTTTGCTGTTCTCCTCCGACAACAAGAGCGTCATGGCTGCCCGAGTCAGATTGGAGCGCAATTACACCGTTCTGCTGAGACTGCGAGAGCTCTGGTCAACTCTCGATTACTGCTTGATGCGGCTGAAGGTGTTCCATCGAGCTTGCGTGCTACCGATGGAGACGAGTTTTAAGCTAGACGACTGGATGCTGAAGTTCCTGTCCGAATTTGCTAAGCCCGTGAATGAAAGAGACCAGGATTGCTGGGCTATCGGCGAGATCAATTTTGCCCCGTCTTCGGACCAGGAAGGGGAATCACTCACGTCAATACTTAACATACTGCCAGATACGTAAAGTGCCAAAATCACAATTTATTTCGTGTCTTCTCCCACGATCAGCCAACTATTCGTGTGTATGATGCCTCCCTCATCATTGTACCGAGCATGGCGAAGAAGCACGATGTGTTTGGCGCACCAGCATCGTAACTTGCAGCGCTGCAAGAACGAAAGATCTCCGCATTGTCATTTCCAACGTATATCAATTGCACAGTAGACGAATTGCGCGACAATTCGTTACCAGACTTTTGGTCTACTTTTGCGGCTTGGTGCAGTCAGCGCAATAACAGCATCTTATCTAATCCTGCGCTGATGACCCTGTCCCGATAATCGATGTGCTTTCAACATCCAGTTGCTTTGGCGACAGTAAAATTGCGTATACTGAGAATGTGGCGCGTAGTCGAGAGTCTATTCCAGTCACGGGCCGTAGCTTTGGACGCAGGTGGTGACCCCAGAATCCAAGTGAGACCACAAGCCCCCTCGATTACGTCTTATTCAACACATGCGTTTTGATCAAAGGAGTCGTCTCCCGAAAGAAGCGCAACGATGTCGTATATTTACAATATACAGTGCATATTGCAACTTGACGCTCACTACAGTGATCTCGATCACACGCCGGGCTGTTGGTGATACACTATGTAAGAAGCTTTTCTTTACTTCTCCTTGACGAATTTGACATTGCGAGCCAACCAACAGCCAACAGTACAACCCTTGATTCCATCGTCTTTTCCATCCTTGAACACGACTGTCCAGTCTCCTGGAGGTGTTGCGTCCAACCCCCTTGGATTTCCCAACGCCCACACTCCTTGCTTACCAATTTGTCGCATCAACCAGATCGGGCCTTGTCCGAGGAAGCCATCGAAGGAGCCATAAAGAGCACCGCGCTCTCCAGTCACGGTGAAGACGCTGTCACAGTCATCGCTTCTGTATCTTCCAACTATGTCTTGGCTGGAGGATTGTCCAAGATCTTCTCTGTCGACAGGCTCGAGACGCGCAGCCTTCAAGACCCTGTGGTCGGATGTCCTCTTGACATGGAGAATTTCACCCTCGAGTGTGAGATGCATACCATCAGACTCCGCTTCCAATTCAGATACCAACCTGGCAGTCTCTCCTGCATTGCCTGGTCCATAGTTGACAGAAATGGTTCCAGGCTTCTCTCGGTCGCCGTCTTCGATTGCGATATACAGCTGAGTCTCTTCGTCGAGGTACTTACCCTCCCACGCTGTAGAGACGTTGATTATCTGCTTCTCAGGTACACTGATGTCGAGAACTTTCTTGACGACATACTCGGCGGGAGCCCCCGGCGCTGTCTCAAAATTATGCATGATGACGAAGGAAAGACGCTCTTCAGGAAGCTGCATTCTCATGTGACGGAAACCACGAAGCGCGCCACCATGAGCTATGGCTGACTTGCCTGCGACCTTGAGTCGAGCAAGACCGTAGCCATATGCTGCGAGTGAGCCGTCCCTGTACTTTTGCTGGACCGATGTCTGCGCATACAAGCTCTCAGGATCCGAGAGACTCCGGTCTAGATACATCTCGTAAGCGATCATGTCCTCAAGCGAGGCAGCAATTCCAGCATCGCCAGCCCACTCGATTCTGTTGCTTGCAGCGAAGTATCCGACCTTCTCGTTGCCTTCGTAGCCAACGATTGGAAGAGGAAGACCATTCGTATTGGGACAGAGACTAGCAGTAGTCATACCTGCAGGTATGAACAGTCTCTCAGCAAGCAACTGGGCAAGTGACATGCCGGATACATTCTCCAGGATGCGTCCAAGTACGTGGAAGTTGACGTTGGAGTAACTGTATTCGGTACCAGGACCGAAATGATAGCTCTTGATTCGGTCCAGGGATTTTGGTGCGTCGTGTAGCAAGGAAAATTGACCATCAGGACGAGCGCCCCAGAGGGTGGTTCTGGGTGTGAGCGTGAGTAGTTTATTCGCATAAGCAATGCAAATATAACTTACAATGCCCAATAATCACGAATACCTGACTGCATATTGCACAGATCAAGTACAGTAACACCACTATCGCCATCGCACGCGAGGTTCGGTAGCAGTCTTTGCAGCTCATCTTCAAACTGCTCTGCAGCATCACGACTGCGCCCGGTCATGACAGGAGATGGTCGCTTCAGCAACGACACCATGACCAAGCACACCATCTGCTTGGAGATTGAACAAATGGGAAACTGCGTTTTGCTTGTCATTGGTATGCGACGGTCCAAGTCGGCATAGCCCCAAGCGCGCTGTCCAAGTAGCTTGCCATCTTTGACGACGGCGACGACACCACCAGGGCCACGACTTAGATGAGGCACGGCAGCAAGTATGCTATCGATGTCATCGTTCTTGCTTGACATTGTTGAAGCTTGCAACGCGGGCTGCGGGACAATGATGTTGCGTGACACGACGGACTCGAAATGGAGTTCGTGACACGATTCAGTTGACGGCCTAGGTCGTGGGGGGCTGGTATTTTTTGATGGTTTACGTAAGCACCACTGACAATCTTGGAACCCCTTTTCTACGCTTGCTTCCGGCCATGCTTCTTGTCTTGGAGCAGATGGAGACGCCGTCAATGATAGAGATGCACAAGAAACTTTGCCAATGCACGATAGCTCACAAATTGAGTATCGGTCACGACTGCAAACCCCGGCAGACACGAACTAGGTGCACGGACAACTTGAAATTTCTGCTTGGGCAGAATTCACACAAGCTGTCGCCCGTCGGGGCGGAACATCTCAATCGGGAAACTCCGTACGCTTAGGGGTCAACAAAGTACAATGATGCGCTGAGCAGATTTTTATACCACTTCGAAATCGCATCCGTATTTCCCAGGATCGACCAAGTACGTCGAGTCCGCCGTCGGATTCACAAAGCCTGCTGGTGCTGAATACGCATCACCTTGTGCTGTAGTGATCACCGAAGAAGTCACGGCATTGGACATTCGCGGCTGCAGATTGCCCAGCCACCAGGGCGGCATGTAGTCAATTGCGCTCCACCCGAGACTGTCGATCGGCTCAGATACATGAAGCGGGACAAGCATCTTCGGCGGAGGTCTCAAGGTAAAATCAGTTTTTGGCAGTTGGAACTGAGACAATGAAGACCATGATTGCGACTGATCTTGAGGCTGCCAGCCTCCAAGCTCGAGATCCGGGATTTGGGCAGTGGTAGGATGGCAGTTACCTCCCAGCCGCGGTGAAGTGGACGTTCTGGGTCGTACTGTTGGAGATGGTCCCCTATTCTGCTGTATGCGCGGGAGACTGCCCGCGTCCGACTCGTCATCGGAACCGTGATCTTCTATCTCCAGCTCCATGTCGCCCAACTGGAGAAGATCCAGTCGCTCCAGCATATCGTGGACCAGAGGATGACCTTTGGTCGCGGGCAGCGGGTGACCCGGCCACGCGTCGGCAACAAGTAGCATGGAGTACATCGTCTGCAGGCCAGTCACGAGCTTGAATTGCTGCAGTTCCAAAATTCTAACATAGCTTGGGAGGGTCAATTGGGCACTCTAATCCATGCGGGTTGTTTACTTACTGTTCGGGAAACACCTTTCGCTTCGACTTCTTGGGGAAACCGAAGATACAAACAGCATCGGCGGACTTGCATTTTGCGCAAGGATAGCCGCCAGAACATCTTGCTTTCTTGACACGACAGCGATTGCACGCTTTGCTGGCACGCTGGGTGGTTGAACCGTCCGTGTGGTCGATTCCGTCTTGTGGCTCCATTTAGGTATTTCCGAGCTGACCATGGTGCACACCCTCTGCCCAGGCACAGAAAGCATGGTTATATATCCCACGAAGACGCTGGATTCAAGCTTTTAATCTAGTCTGGGCAGAGAAACCGGTTCAACGCGCGTCACGAAAGCTTGGGGACAGTCAAGTATAGCCGTGTGGATGAGCAGTATGCTGGTCGGGTCGTGCTCGATCTAGCCTTAGCTCGTCGAGTTCACTTTCGGAAGGCTGCGGTTACTCATCGCCGTTCCTTACCAGGTGTCCTGGCCAGAGTGGACCTCAATCTACAATTTTGACTATTCAGGCATAATCCGTTGCAAGATGGGTTGGTGATGCACCTCGATTAGGTCAGTCATCGAGTCTGAACAAATGTCGCTGACCTCCTACAAAATGGTGCGCTTCCCACACCTCCCCCCGGAACATGACCGTCTCGCTGTAGCTATTTCGACCCCGAGCCCCAACTGCGTCCACTACCTTTGCGGGGTCGATCCAATTGGACTGTCTCCAAACCTTGATTGACTGGCCGACACCATCGAATTTGCGCGCTAATAGTGCTTTGACAGACGGCACGCATGCACCAATCAGCTTTTAGGATAGTTGCCGGTGGACAATCTACCAACGCTTCTTGTTTGCACTTTTTCCTCCGATACGAAACACTGTCGAGCATAGCCGGGTCTACGGCTCAAGCTCTCCCGAATTAAGTTTCACACTGGTTGTGACTTCTATGTGATATCACGACTAGCTATCTTGACATCGTCGCAAAGATTCTCGTGTTTCAAGTAGATGATGCGACTGGAATTGCCGGTGTCGTGACTCACCTTACTCGAGAACGTGATGACAATGGTATCATTGGTGAATGCTAGCTGATCTCATAGTCGATCTAAGACTTGCACATCAAACAACATTGCTACTGATTGGCTAAGCGTGCATGTTTTTTGTGGCGAAGAAAGAACAGAACTTTTCATGCATACTGAAAACCAAACCCGACAAGATTTGCCCTGCCGCAGTCGAATCGTATCGATGCGAAAAGCGAAGTGTGGGAACTTGTCCAAGTAATGCTCTCATGAATCTCCAGTCATCTGGAGCCCTTGCAAAACACGTTGGACACACCGCCTCGCTGCCGCTATTAAATCCTCTTCAGGTGGGAGACGCACGCCGGTAAGCACCCGAGCCTCCAGCGAGCTGTCTGACGTCCACTTCACCGACAAAAGTGACAAGTTTCTCAGGTACTGCTGGCATATCCACATCAACTGCCCACTCCTCAGCGGTAATAACAAAGCCAGATTCTCATCCATAAGGAAGAATGCAGCCAACTGTGTAAGATTTCCCATAACCAGCCACACTCCCATGGCGATAGCATGGCTCATGTGTGTCGAGGGTGACTCGAGCCCTTTGAGCTTGGCAGGTTGATCGTGCATGTCGTACACCTCGAAGAGATCGTGACAGGTAGGAAACTTCCAGGCTGGGTCATCAAAGTCGTGGACCGTGCCGATCTTCGTGCGATTCCCAAGAAAAAAGGGTACGGAAGCGCAGACGCCGTCCACGAGCTGTTGGATGCGTTTGACAAGTAGGAAGGAGGTGACTTCTGTCCTCGTGGACTCATCAACGTCGCGAGTCCTAGAATGTTGCTGCCCGTTGATGATCTGGAGAGACAGATATGACAACGTCAATCTATAGCTTCGCCAGATGTTGAGAAGCCTGGCGGCTCGGATGGACGTGTATACATGACAAACCTTATCGAAAGTCTGAATCGGAGGAACAGTCGCTTGCTCTTTGAACCATTGAAAGGGACCCCAGGATTGACAAACTCGATCATGCCAGAGGATAAGACAGTCGTCAAATTTCTGCACCTCATTCAAGAGTGCGTCAGTTGCCATCGACGACAAGCCTTCACTCAAACTGGAGATCCGGAACTGAATGTCGGCTACTTGGATACCAAGCGCGTCGAGGTGACTGTCTGGGTCCAGCGAGGAAGCAGTGATAATCGTGCTCCAGCGGCAGAGCTCCGGGTGAACCCTGCGATGCTCGCGAATGGCAGCAGCAACATCCACATGCAGGATATAAGCTACGAATTGGACTGCGAGATTTGACCAAGATTCTCTGCGGCCAAATTCTCTCACCAAAGCGAGTGCACCAAGATGATGCACGATTGTAGCTTTGTTGGCCGAGAACAACGACTCGAAGCTGGAGTGGAATTGCAGAGTGAGAGTCGTCAACAAGGTGATATCGCTCCGTCGCGACTCTTCCTTTTGCAGATCTCCAGCCAATGTTCCAATAGACAGGCTCAAGTTCCTAGCGACCCGTTTGTCTGTTGTTCCATCGTCCGTACGCCAACGTGAATAGATCGATAAGGCAAGCGCAGAGACCGCTCTCGTAGCAGACGAGTTCCCAAACGTTGTAGATACTGCAGGCTCGAAGAGTCCGAATAGTCCTGGATTTGGAGCTCCGATCGTGTCCTGATCAATCATGTAATGACGCGAGAAAAAGGCAAGCGCCTGAGCTTCTCGATCATCAGCCAAAGCTTTGGATGGCGTTGCAAGTGCTAAACGATTGCGTGATACTTGGGTGCCCGATGTATGACTGACCGCAGTTTGTGTCACGTCCACAAATTGGAGACTGAGCGTTCGCTTTGGCTCCAGCCATTCGCATGGAATGGATGCTAGAGTACATCGCGCACAGCGAGGCTTGAGCTCGTCGCATTTGATTCTACGTCGCTTGCAAGTCGTACAGGCCTTGGATTTGCCGAAGTTGACCATAACGTGCGATTCAATGCTCTCAAGGGAAGGCGCACCCACCACCTAGCCTGCCACGTACCGAGTATATGTACAACACCGTATGTCGACGAGCTGAGGTAGAAGGAAGCGCATCCTTGTTACGGCGAGACGAAGTGGGGATTCTAGGCTCATGAAGGATTGCCGCGGGATAAGTATTCTCACGTGACTGCTGACCCTGAATGTCACTGGGATGACAAAAGGCCTTGGGTCCCCGAGGAATAAGGTTGACTATTGCCATCGCTTACGTCTAATCGAGTACACCACTGAGGCGGGTGTTTCTAGACCTGCGGTCAGCTACCGTCAGAGTGTCACGATCAGAACTTTCAATGAGCTGCTCACTGCTAAACAGGAATGTCTCGTTCCCCCTCCTAGCCAAGAGACAATGCGTCGATGTGACAGTCAGCACACCGTAAAGACTGGTCTCGCCAATGGCAGATTGGGTCCCTAACGTGATCTCGAGGTTTGCGAGATGTCGTAAGTAACAACTGTTTTTTTGACGTTAAGCCACTCGTGACGGGACTCTTCACAGTAGATCATCGTATATGCCGCTGCTCTTGCGCCTTTCGCGACGCGTATGTAAGGCCTAAGATGATCTTAAGCTCGATATGTTATACGTAGGCAGTTTTGACCCTCTTACGTTGATCGCTATACGCCGACTATTCTTCTAAATTTCGTTTTTACTAAGAGGTAAGGATTGCACCAGAGGTCGTTGCATGGATGGCCAGAAAATACACTCGACTTCACCATAAGCATAACGTCGCTGCTGAAGACAGGTTCACGTTCGTCTTGTACGAAGAGCTCCATCTGAAAGAAGCTTCTATTGACATTTCGAGGCATTCAGTGTGGTTTGTAAGAGGTGTTTATGAGCTTGTTTTCTTCGAGACATACTAGTCAGTCTGAGCAGATTTAGGTGTTAGATCGGGGCGCAAAGCAAAGCCATGGGGACTATTTAGCGTACAAGGGACAGACTGAGATCGTGGTCCAATCCTGTCGCTAGTGGGAGATTTTCGCGGGCGGTCGAGCTCTGTATCCAAACGAATTGAACAGGGATCTCGAAATCAAGCTGCGCCTTCCCATTTCCTGTCAGACGTACCGAAAGCTTAAGACTGTATCGTCTAAATACAAGAGAAGAGAAAAACGATGGTACCGCATCTTTCGGTTGAGGTATGTTCAACCAAACACCGTTCTTGAGCTGCCAGTTCCAAGGTGATGTAGGGGCTGAGCAGTTCTGCCAATCGGCCAACCTCAGATCTGTTGCTTTAGATTGAGACTCACAACTTCTGAAAGGAAGGGGCAAAGTAGAGCCTATCGCAATGTTGGCAATGTAAACAGCGGTATCATCGAAACAATGGTTGATGACTTCAACCGCCAAGAGATTGTGGCACGAAGCAGAGGAGAGTCTCCGGGAGGACTACGCAGACGGCAAGAGACAGGGACGATGTGTGGCTGCGATCGTCCATCCAAGCGCAGCAAAAGTGGTTCAGGCTCAGTCACACTCATCTCGAGTGTTTGTGAACCCTTCGAAAATAGCTTTTTGAGTGAGCGAGTCCCGCTGATGGCATAGTGTCCTCTGAAGTCGTCCAAGGCAAGTTGAGGCGGTACGGAGCAGGCAAACGAGGAAAGTTGAATGACTTGACTTTTAGAGTCCACCATCGAATCATCCCGGTAAAACGAAGCTCTCAGTTGATATACGATTTCCGCGGATGCCCAAGTTCCCTCCTCCGCGCAGGAGTCATGCGCGTTACTTATCTTCAAGGAAGGTGGTAGATAGTGGTGGTCCAACTGACAATAGCTTAGACTGGATCTGTGAGTCGGACGAAATTGGAATCTAAAATGTGTCTGATATGATAGTTGTTTCTTGTAAGAGGCCGGGTGATTGAAGCGATGAACGTCGGTCAAATCCAGGAACTATGACACTTCTTATGAGTAGTCAGACATTTGAGCGATTTCGGACACATACAGTCTCCTCGCGGCATTGAATCGCAGCGAGAGCTGCTGCTGATATACCACAGCTAGGACGACCATATCCCAGCCTGTTGATAACGCGTCCTGCAAAGTTTAGAAGAGTGCTTTGAGATTGCCGATGACAGATACTACCTTGCAAAGTGATTTTGAGGATGTCACATGATTCAGAAGCTGGCATGTCTACCCGAAGTATGCCATTCACTCCGTGCTGCTGGAAGAACCTTGGTATACAAGCCTCAACAGGTGATATGGCGCTAGATATGCCTGTGAAGTTGAATGAGATAGCGAAGGTTGGCATTGCTAAATATGGCATTGCTCTAACAAGGATCCCGTTTGTCGAAAGATGGTTGCTGCGAGTGGTTCAAGTATTTTTTCGCTGGCTTTACTCTTCCTAACTACAATCCGACGAAGGAAGTGACTCAATTCCATTGAAACCCCGCCCGGCGTCGCTCGTCTTAGCACGTAGACAGGACTCAATTCCATTAAAACTTGGCACTCAATTCCTTTAAACTTAACACACTCTAATCCGGCCAAATTTCCGACAGAAAATAGAACATATTAATCCACTCGACCAACCAGAATTTCAAAAGCATAGAACCCCTAGTAGCCATCATATCTGTTTGCCAAAACGTCGTCAAATCTCGAAGTTCGTCGCTACGTACAGGCCT